AAATTAGCGGGAAAGAACGCCCTGTTAACTTGATCTAGTTTGACATTATGAAGAGACATAGAAGGTGTAGAATAAGTGGGAGGTTTGGCGCCGGGGAAATACCACTACGTTTATGTTTCGTGCAGTTATGCAGTGTGAGCGCGCCCTGGATCCACGTCGCACGAGCTGTGTGGGTGGACCGAGGACCGGGTGAGCAAGGGAGGTGCCGGGAGGGTCTCGAGGCTGGGAGGACGAGACGAGGGGGGTGGGAGGGACGGACCGTCGAGGCCGAGGCCTGGGTGGCGTACGAGCGGACAGCCTGGATGGCACGGCGGGAGAACATGGCTGCTGGTGTCGTGCTTGCGAGGGTGAGAGCTGGAGAGAGGGAGCCGAGAGCTGTGGGAGCAACCTCGTCGCCGGAGCTCGCCCTCGCTGCTGGCTCTCGCCTGCTCCTCGTCTGCTCTCCCAGACCTACAAGGACCACGTGAGTCTCCCACTCTGGCCAACACCCCGTCCCCCCTTACCCTCCCTGCCCTCACGCCGTGCCGCCGCCCTCGCCCCATCGCCTTTGTCCTCGCCCTCCGCGAGCGAGGAATATCTCCCGCGCGCTGCACTCGTCGCACACGGCCTCGAGCAAGGCCACTGCCGCGTTCAGGCTCGTCCAACTGCCTCGATCGACCGACTCGCACACGCGCCGCACCCCTCGAGCGCCCTCGACCCGAGCACGAGCAACCCGTCACCCTCGTCCCCCCTCCCTCGCGCGACCAACCTCATCTCGTGCCCCACACTCGCCGTCCCCGTGCACCGACTACCAGCCTCGCACTCGAACTCGAAGAGCCCACTAACCTCATCCCCCTTGTCCCTCGCGCAGCTCCCCATGTCGTCCTTCTTCCGCAGCGCCGCCGACTCGGACAGCTCGTCGTCGTCGTCGTCGGACGAGGAAGAGCTTCGCTCGTCCGGCTCCGACTCGGATTCGGACGCCCCGCAGGCCAGCAAGGCCCCCGCCGCCGCCGCCGCCGCGGGTGCCGCAAAGCCCCGCGGCCGCTTCCTCAAGAAGGCCGGCTCGGGCTCGTCGTCGTCCTCGTCGAGCTCGTCCGAGTCGGACGCCGACGACTCGGACTCGGACTCGGACGCCGCGCCGTCGCGCCCGTCGGCCGCCGCCGCCGCCGCCGCCGGAGCCGCTGCCGAGGGCGGCGCCAAGAAGCCCATGGGCTCGCGCTTCCTCAAGGGCGCCGCGTCCGACGACTCGGACGACAGCGACGACGACAAGCCCGCCGTCGTCAAGTCGGCCAAGGACAAGCGCAACGACGAGGTCGACGCGTGCGTCAAGGCCATCGAGAACGGCGCCAAGATCAACGACTGGGTCGCCATCTCGAACGGTGCGTCCTCTCTCCCTCTCCCTCTCCCTCTCCCTCTCTCTCTCGCGCGCACTCTGACACTGTCCTCCCTCGACAGAGTTCGACAAGGTCGGCCGCCTCGTCCAGAAGACGGACCCGATCCCGGTCAGCTTCTACCGCATCCTCGCGTCGCTCGACGGCATGGTCGCCCAGGCGCAGAGCGCCAAGAAGAAGATGAACGCGACCAACTCCAAGTCGCTCAACTCGATGAAGCAGAAGGTCAAGAAGACGCAGCGCGAGCACGAGTCGAGCCTCGCCCGGTACAAGGCCGACCCCGACGCGTTCGAGCGCAGCCTCGCCGCGCCCACCCTCGCCGCCGCCGCCGCCGCGCCGACGCCCAAGAAGGCCGCCAAGGGCCCGATGACGGTCGCCGCCGACGCCGACGCCGACGACGACGACGGCTTCGAGACGGTCGGCGCCGCCAAGCCCAAGTCGGGCGCCGCCATCGCCCAGGCCCAGGCCCAGGCGTCGTCGGACGGCATCTACAAGGCCCTGACGGCCGTCCTCGAGGCGCGCGGCCGCAAGAACACGGACCGCGGCGAGCAGATCCGCACGCTCGAGGGCCTCCTCGAGGTCGCGTCGACGACGTACCAGAAGATCCGCGTCATCCTCGCCCTCATCGCGGCCCACCTCGACTACAACCCGGCGAGCAACACGCACATGCCGCTCGAGGCGTGGAGCGCCGCGCGCGAGCAGCTCGACGCGCTCCTCCAGCTCCTCCTCGCCGACCGCAAGTTTGACGTGCGCGAGGAGGCGCCCGACTACGACGACCAGGTCGAGCGCACCCCGTCCGAGGCCGAGCCCGTCGTCGTCGTGCGCGGCAGCGTCATCTCGTTCGTCGACCGCCTCGACGACGAGTTCACCAAGAGCCTCCAGAACCTCGACCCGCACGCCGGCGAGTACATCGACCGCCTCAAGGACGAGCGCGTCATGTACAACACGATCGTCACGGCCCAGGTCCACTTTGAGCGCATGGGCGACCAGGGCCGCGAGCACCTCGACCGCGTCGTCATGCGCCGCCTCGAGCACATCTACTGCAAGCCCGACGCCGTCACGCTCGCGCTCGAGGCGTCGCTCCCGTCGATCGCGTCCCAGTCGTCGATCTGGGCCTCGTCGACCGAGTCGTCCAACGCGTCGTCGTTCTCGGCCCTCGCGCTCGTGCGCGCCCTGTGCATTCGCCTGTACAAGACGGCCAACTCGCTCCTGCGCACGCGCGCCATGCTGTCGCACATCTACCACTACGCCCTCCACGACGACTACTACACGGCGCGCGACATGCTCCTCATGTCGCACCTCCAGGACACGGTCGGCAACGCCGACGTGTCGACCCAGATCCTGTACAACCGCACCGTCGTCCAGGTCGGCCTGTGCGCGTTCCGCCTCGGCCTCATCCGCGAGGCCCAGTCGACGCTCCAGGAGATCTTCGCGACGCAGCGCGTCAAGGAGCTCCTCGCGCAGGGCGTCCAGGCGCAGCGGTACACGACCTTGACGCCCGAGCAGGAGCGTGCCGAGCGCGCGCGCCAGTTGCCGTTCCACATGCACATCAACCTCGAGCTCCTCGAGGTCGTGTACCTCGTGTCGTCGATGCTCCTCGAGGTGCCCCTCATGGCCCAGGCCGGCGGCGACCGGGAGCAGCTCAAGAAGAAGGGCATCTCCAGGACGTTCCGCCGCATGCTCGAGTACGCCAACCGCCAGGTGTTTACCGGCCCGCCCGAGAACAAGCGCGACCACGTCATGCAGGCGACAAAGGCGCTCCAGCAGGGCGACTGGCAGAAGTGCGTCGACCTCGTGCACGGCATCAAGGTCTGGGGGCTCATGCCCAACGAGAAGGAGGTCAAGGACATGATCACGCGGTCCGTCCCTCTCTCTCTCTGTGTCTCTCTCTTCTCGAGCGCCTGAGCGACCCCGAAACTGACTCGGTCCTTCGTTGCCGTCCTGCAGCAAGATCCAGGAGGAGGGCCTCCGAACCTACCTGTTCACCTACGCGCCGCACTACTCGTCCCTGTCGCTGCAGCACCTCGCCACGACGTTCGACCTGCCGCTGTCGGTCGCGACGTCGCTCGTGAGCAAGATGATCTGGACCGAGCAGCTCGACGCCAAGCTCGACCCGGTCACGCAGGTCGTCGTCCTCGAGGCGCAGGCCGTGTCGCCTCTGCAGCGCCTCGCGACCCAGCTCGTCGACCGCGCCGCACAACTCGCCGACACGAGCGAGCGCTACCTCGACGCCAAGCTCCAGGCGGGCGAGGCGCGCGACGGCGCCGACGGCGCGCAGGGCGGGCCGGGCGGCAGCGGCAAGGGCGAGCGCGGCGAGCGCGCACCGCGGCGTGACGGCGGCGAGCGACGCGGCGGCGGGAGGGGAGGTGCGCGCGGCGGGCGTGGCGGTGGGCGCGGCGGCGGAGCGGCGAGGCAGTTCAACCAGGGCCACCTCGGACGGTCGATCCAGGTCTGAGCTGAGCGGTGGGGCGCATGCGCGGTGGGGGGTGGTCGTGTAGCGGGCGACAAACGCCTCGCGCGTTAGAACGTTGTACTCGCAGGATCCTCTTTCTCTCTCTCCCTCTCTGGCTCGAGAGCTCGAGTCGAGGAGGAGGAGCAAGCGCAAGTTCTCTCGCTTCCGCGCTACTCGCTCTTCTGCGCCGACAGCTTTGCGTGTGCGTGCACAAGCTGCGCGGCCGCTTGAGAGCGCGTGCCGCAGCGTTGCCGAGGGTCCGTCATCGAGCGTCGAGAGAGGAGCGGGGAAGGTCCGGCTCTCGCTCCTTCCCACCACTCTCGCCCGCACCGACTCGAGCATGCTGCCGCCAGAGCTCATCACTGCGTGCCTCCAAGCCCTCGACCCGGCCAGCCCCGACACCGTACCGACCCTCCTCGCCGCCTCGCTCGCCTCGTCCACTTTCCGCTCGATCGCGCGCTCCTCGGTCCTGTGGCGACCCATCGCCGACGAGCGGTACCACCAGCACCGCCCACCCTCGACCGCTGCCGGCACCCCGCCCTTCCACGCCGAGGCGTTCGCCTACACGGCGCACCGAGCCCGCAAGGAGGTCCGCTCGCGCTCGCTCGTGCGCGACCTGCAGCGCCCTCGACACCGCCTCGAGCTCGCCCACGAGCTCCGCACCGAGCTCGGCATCGACGTCGTCGAGTCGCGCCTGAGCGCACCCGACCAGTTCACCGAGCACTCGCGCCCGGAGAGCTGGCTCTCGCTCCGGCACTGGGCCGGCGAGCAGCGCCGCCTCCTCCTGCGCGACGAGGCCATCGATGTCTGGCGCGGCATCGCCGAGCGCGACGCCCGAGGCGCCGAGGCGCCCGACGACTACGAGCGCGGCCTGAACGCGTTCGCCGCTTTTCGAGGACTCGACCCGGCGAGGCTCGCTCGCGACCGGTTCGACCTCGAGCGCAACCACCCGCGACTTCTCGAGTCGACGAGGTCGCTCCCGTTCGAGGGCGCCAAGCGCCTCGAGTGGCTCGCGCGCGAGGTCGTCGAGTACATGTCGAGCATCGGCCTCAAGAAGGCTCCCGACGGCGCGTTCCACAACCTGGGTGCGTCCCACCTCTCTCGTCCCTTTCATTCCGTCTCCCGAGGCGCAGGAGAGGCGGGCGCAGAAGGGTCACTGACCGCGCTCCTCCTCGACCCGGTCGCAGACAACCACTACGTCGAGCTCATCTGGCGACGCGCCAACACGCCCGACCCGGTCGACAACGAGGGTACCCTCCCGATGACGCTCGTGTCTATCTTCGTCGCCCTTATCGGCCGCCTGCCCGTTGCTCGCGAGCTCAAGATTCGCGCCAGGCCCGTCGGGTTCCCGGGCACCCTTCTCGCCATGCTCCGGTACGACGACGACGACGGCGGCACCGGCGACAGCCACGACGACTCGGTCTACATCAACGTGTACGGCGACGGGCGGCTCCTGAGCGCCGACAAGCTGCGCGACATGCTGCGCTCGATGGGTCAACCCGTGTCGGTCGAGTTCCTCAAGCCTGCGTCCGCTCGCGAGATGGTCCGTCCCCTCTCTCCTCTCGTGCCCTGAGTCAGGCTCGACCGCCTCGACTCATCTCTCGTGCGCCGACCCGAGACTGACACTGTCTCTCCCGCCTTCGCAGTGTCTCCGAGTCGGGCGCAACATCCTCACGTCGATCCGCGCCGGCGACCAGTCGATCGGCGTCCCGATCTCGCACGAGACGGCGACAGCGTCGCTGTACTCGGTCGCGCACGCCCTGTTCATCCTCACCGAGCCGCTCGGCGGCGACCGGGCCGTGCCCGTCGCGAGGGGCACCGAGCAGTTTGCCGAGTGGGTGCGCTCGCTCATCCAGAGCGAGTTCCCGCTCGACGTCGTCCACCTCGAGACGAGGGTCGCGCCCGTCCTCGGTGCGACGCTGCGGCACAGCATGCTCGAGCTGTGCGCCGCCATCAAGGACGAGGACGCGTCGGCGCCCGAGCCCAAGCTCGTCAACGGCGTCATCCGCCACCGCATCGGCCACGTCTTTACCCACCGCCTGTTTGGCTACGACGCGGCCGTGCGTGGGTGGGACTACAAGTGCGAGGCGTCCGAGCAGTGGATCCGGCAGATGCGCGTCGACACGCTCCCGTACGGCCGCAGCCAGCCGTTCTACCACGTCGTCGTGTCGGACGGCAGCGCGCGGTACGTCGCGCAGGAGAACGTGACCGAGGTGCCCGTCGCCGACGACGTCGTCGAGCGCTTCATGGACCTCGAAGGGTTCGGGAGGTACTTTCGCAAACGCGAGCGGCGCGAGGGCGACGGCCGGTGGTGTTTCGTCCCGAGTCAGGAGGTCGAGGCAGAGTACCCGGACTCGTAGAGCGTCGAGCGAGCGGGGCGAGTTTCGTAGCCGGCGAGGACGAGCTGCATCGTCGGCGCACGTTGCACTTTCTTTTGGCCTCGAGAGGACACAGCGCTTCGAGAGCTCGAGAGGCGAGCGTGCGAGGCCTTCGACAATGATGAACACCTCAGTCGCGCATGCTCGGACGAGCGACCGAGGGCGACTCTGCGTCGAGAAGGTCCAGGAGGAGGGACGCTTTGACCTCTCGCAGACGGAATCTCTCGTCAGCGCTTCCTGCGAGACGACGAGCAGATTTCGCAAGGTCCTCTCTGCCTCTCGTGCGACGATAAAAGTGGCACAGAAACCGGTCCCAGTTGCACGCCCGCCGCGCTCGTCCCCCCTCCTCCTCCTCCTTCGACCTCGGCGCCGCGCGCGCAATCTCTCTACTTGGTCTTGCCGAGCCCGGCCGCATGCTGCGTCGTCGCCTGGATGCACCGCGCCATGTTGCTCCGGAGCTTGCCGTCCTCGAGGCAGAGGAGGCCCGCGATGGTGCAGCCGCCTGGGGCTGCGAGTGCGGCGAGAGGGGAACGTGCGCGGGAAAGGGGAGGGGGAGGAAGGAGAGAGAGAGAGAGAGTCAGGCGTGCTCTCGACATGCGTGACAGGGGTCAAGAGGACGAGGGCGAGGAAGAAGCAGGCGAAAGAGAGGGAGAGAGAGAGTGGAACAGGGAGAGCGACGCACTCGTGACGCTGTCCTTGAGGGCCGCCGGGTGCACACCCGTCTGGAGCACCATCCTCGCGGCGCCCTGCATCGTCTGCGCAGCGAGCTCGAGCGCCTCTGAGCGCGGGAGGCCCATCATGACGCCGCCGTCGGCCATGGCCTCGAGGACGACGCACACGAAAGCTGGGCCCGAACCGGCGACGGCTGTCACGGCGTCAAAGTGCTGCGAGCGGCGGCGGCGGCACGAGTGAGTTGGCGTGCGAGTGAGAGAGAGGGAGAGGAGAGAGGGAGGCGGGGCGCACCTTCTCGTCCATGAAGCGGCACCGGCCGAGCGGGGTGAAGAGGGCCATGAGGATGTCGCGCTGCACGGGCGTCTTGGGCTCGTTCGGGTCGAGGCTCGACACGACCGTCATGCCCTCGCGGATCTGTGGGGCGCGTGCAGGAGTGTCAGTCGCAGGGTCCTGAGGCGAGCGCGAGGACGCAAAGAGCGCACCTTGCTGGGCGTGTTGGGCATGCTGCGCACGACGGTGCACGACTCGGGGACCCAGTCGCGCATCATCGAGATGGTGGTACCGGCGAGGATCGAGATGAGGAGCTTGCCCTCGAGGGCGTCCGACATGCCGGGCTGGAGGAGGAGGTGGGCCGCGAGTTGGGGCTTGCAGCTGCAGAGGCGAGCGGGCAAGGTCAGGGTCGCGTTTGACCGAGGGACGTGACGACAGTGAGGACGGACCAGAGGAGGATGACGTCCGACTCTTTGACGCTCTTGACGTTGTCGGCGGCCTGGCGGACCTGGACGAGGCCGCCGAGGACGCCCAAGTCGGCAAAGGTGCGCCTGAGTTTCTTTGCCGACTCTGCGCGGTTGACGGTGGCGATGAAGCGGTCTGGGAGCGAGTCGGGGTTGCTGTTGGGGTCGAGGATGAGGCTGCCCATCGGAGTGGACGGGCCCGAGTCGTCGGCGAGGCGGGCGCCTGCGCCGCGGGGCGACTGGAGGTTGTCGAGGACGCCCGAGAGGACGGCGACGCCCATGGTGCCGCAGCCGAGGACGCAGAGCTGGTACGGCATGGTGCGAGGGCGATGGGAGGGAGAGGTAGGGTGATCGAGGTGGGGGTCGCGGTGAGGAGGAGAGGGGAGACCGAGGTGGGCCGGGGGTGGTCGGGGATGGGTTGGTCGGCGAGAGTCGAGCTGTGCTGCTGTGGATCTGGCCTGTTCGAGTCTGCCGAGTGTGTCGAGGTCGAGAGAAAGCGAGATCAAGCTGCTCGAGCGAGATCCGACCAAGGTTGACTCCCGCATCTGCCCCGACCTCGACAGCAGCGTGCGAGCTAGTTACTGCCACCATGGGCCTCGTCGACTACGGCTCCGACTCGGACGACGACTCGAACCACTCGCCAGTCGCTCCCACCGCCCCCGCCGCCTCGTCCTCGTCCTCATCTTCATCAGCTCGAGCTCCTCCACCTCCCTCTCGACCCTCGGGCCTCCAGCTGCCACCGCCAAAGGCCTCCGGTCAAGCACCTGCACCGCCACCCAAAAAGCCCAAAGCCCCCGTCCGCATCCTCCTCGACCTCCCTCCCCCGTCCTCCACCTCGACCTCCCCCGCCCAACCCGACTCGGACCAGCCCGCCAAGAAGCGGCCAAAACTCGCCCTCGGCGGTACCAGCTCCGCCTCGGGCTCGGGCGGCGGCCTCGCCGCCATGCTCCCAAAGCCCAAGAACGACTACAAGCCCGCCCCGTCGGCGTCGGCATTGTCGACCAGCGCGAGGCCCGCTGCCTCTTCCTCGTCGGGCACGGGCATCGACGGCCTCTTTCCAGGCGGCGAGACGGGCGGCGCGAGCCCGAGCGGCGCACCGGCAGGCGGGCCCATGTTCCTCCCGCCCTCGGTCGCCGCCAAGCACAAGGGCAAGGCGCCCGCAGCTGCCGCACCGCAAAAGCCCGCCGAGCCCGCCGTCGACTTCTTCGGCATCGGTGCGTCGCGCTGGTTTCCCTGCCCTCGATGCTCTCGGCGGCCTACTCACGCTCGCCCCTCGCCCCGTAGGCTCCGTCACTTCGGCCCCGACACCCTCTGCCTCGTCCTCCTTGACGTCGTCCAAGCCCTCGCTCGGCATCTCGTCAGCCCCCTCGATCTCGTCCGCACCTCCACCCTCGTCGAGCGCGTCGTCGTCGTCGTCGGGCCAGTCCGCCGCCGCCGCGTTCGCCCAGCCGACCGCCGCCAACCCGTACCCGGGTTTCACCATGCTCCCCTCGGGCGAGTGGGTCGCCAAGGACCAGGCGACGTACGACATGTGGGTCGCCTACTCGGCTGCCCAGGCCCAGGCGGCCACACCGGCAGCGGCGCCCAAGGACAAGTCGGCGCGCGAGTTTGACGAGGGCGCCATCGCCGAGCAGGGCGGGCTCGTCGACGTCGACGAGGCGCAGCGCGCGCGCGAGGCGTGGGCCAACAGGCCGAGCCAGGTGCCTGGCCAGGACGGCAAGGAGACGTACAAGACGTCGGCCGACATCAAGGGCGTGCGTCCCTCTCTCTCTCCCTCCTTGCCTCTTCCTCTCAAGCCGTCCTGACACCCACCACGTCGACGCTCGACAGATCCCGAGCCAGATCGGCGGCATGGCGCGCCGCAAGCACCAGCTGTCGTCGCTCCTCGCCGCCGCGCACGACAACCGCGCCGAGCTCGAGGAGCGCATCGCCCAGGCCCGGGCCAACCGCAAGGGTGCCGGCAGCAAGTACGGTGCGTCCTACTGTCGCCTTTTCTCTCTCTCGTTCGCTCTCCCTCGGGCAGGACTGACTTGGGCTCGAGCGCTCGCAGGTTTCTGAGCCAGCGGCCCGTCCTCGTCGCCGTCGCGCCCGTTCCTCTCGATCTAGCGCTCTCGTACCGTGTGTCCTGCAACGAGCGAGTTCTATCATTCGCGCGCGCGCTACAAGTCAAAGTCGCTGTCCGAGTCGTCGCCGCCCTTCTTGGCCGCCCTCCTCCTCGCGTCGCTCAGCTTGGAGCCCTGGCGGATCCCGCTCCTCCTCCCACCGCCGACAAACGCCTGGTCGTCGTCGTCGCTGTCGGCCCCGCTGCCGTCCTCGTCGCCGCTCGTCGGCCGCTCGGGCCGCCCCTCGCCGTGCGTCGCGCCGCCCTTGGACAAGGGCTGCGCCGCGTCGGACCGCGACGCAAACTGGGACGAGACGGGCGCGGCGTCGTACCCGACTTTGAGGTGGAAGTCGATGCCGCGGAACGCAAACAGGACGCGCTCGACGTCTGCAGCGCGCGGGCGAGAGAGGGTCAGTTCGTGCGAGAGAGCGAAAGAGAGAGAGAGAGGGGACGCACCCCTGAGCGTCGCGTTCATGCCGTTCATGCTGCCGAGGCCGACGATCTGGCCCATCAGGGCGCCCTTGCGGTACACGAGGAGGGTCGGCACGTTCTTGTCCGGGTAGTTCTCGATGCAGTGGTCCGACACGATCGAGACGAACTTGGACGACGGGTACAGCGACGCGAGCTCGGCAATGAGCGGCATGAGCTTCTTCGACTCGGGGACGCTGTCGGGTGTGGGCGGGCGGTGTCAGTGGCCTGCGAGAGAGAGAGAGAGGACGAGAGAGCGGGACGGACCTGTCCTTGAAGAGGATGCAGACGACGCCGATGCCCCAACCTTCTGGCTCGCCGGGCAGCTCCTCGTTGCTCGCCTCGGTCACCTCGCGCGTGTAGTCGACCTTGCCAATGTTGTACACGCGCCCGAACCGCCGCTTGTCGAGCGCGTCGCGCTCCCTCGCCTTGCGCGCCTCGAGCGCGTGCTCGAGGTCGGCTCGCGACACGATGTCGTCCTTGGCGATGTCGAGGTCGTCGAGGTCGAGCTCAGACAGGGTCGGGCTCGCGGGTGCAGGGGGAGGGCTCGGCGAGCGAGAGCCGGACGACTCCTTGGGCGGGATGATGCCGTGTCGCCTCAGGGCGTCGTTGAACTCGGTGTCCTCGTCGTAGTTGATCGGTGCCTGTGTGTGCGCGTGGTCTGTCAGCTCCTCCAAGTCGAGAGAGGGGAGGGAGTCGAGGGAACACGCACCATGGCTGATGAGACGAGAGAGGGTCGGCGAGGGCGTGGGAAGGCGCGGCGGCGAGTGCGGGAGGGTCGTGTGCAGCTTCGGAGCGGCTGTGCAGCTGTGCTGAGCTTGCGCGCTCGTGGTGGGAGGATGGGCGAGCTGCACCGCCGCATTCACCATGCCGCTCTCCTTCTCGCCGCTCGCCGCAGGTGCCTCGCCCGCCTCTTTGCGTGTGCGCGAGGCTTTGCTGTGCTGGTCCAGGGCTCGGGCGACTTTGCCCCTCGCTCTCGGCTTCTCCTGCACCTCGCTCGTCTCGACCACTTCGTCCGCACTCGCTGTGCGAGCGGGGCCGGCGGTACGTCCTGCTTTTCTCCGCGCACGCTTTCGGGCAGCACTATGCAGCCAAGCTTGGGGTCTGCGCCGCCCCACTATTCCAGGCTGGTCGCTGGCAGGCTCTCGCGCGCCGTCCTCCTGTCGACCTGCGTGACTCTCCCCGGTCTCGCCTCGCCGACGGCTCAGCTGCCTTTCCTGCTTCTCGTCGACAGAGCGAGCACTTGGCTCGGAAGCTGACCCTCGTTCGTCCACCGGCTTTCGAGGCCCGGACGCCGTCCCGCGACGCCGCACCGCGCTTCCTCCTCCCTGTCGCTGTTCCAGTCCGGCAGCTCTGCGATTTCGCTGTTCCTCAAAGCTCGCACACGGCCCAGGCTCGGCGTTGCTTGTACTGCCGGGCGTATTGCTGGACACGATGACCCGGTTCAGAGACGGCGAGGGTTCAGAGAGCTGCGTTCCCTCGGAGCGGCGCAAGGTGACTGCGCCTCGTTCGGCCTCGCTTGTGGCTTCGTTTTGCTTGTACTGAGTATGTATTGCAGGGGCGGTGAGCCTCCCAAGCAACTGGCCGCGTGGCCCAATGGCAAGGCGTCTGACTACGACCTCGCTTCTCTCCTGAGAGCGCGCGTATAAATCAGGAGATCGTGGGTTCGAGCCCCATCGTGGTCACAGTTCATTTTTTTGGTTCCGCTCAAAGTTGAGCGAGTCGAGATCCGCGGATGTGGTATCGGCGCGAGAGGCGCTCGAGAAATGGCTTCGCCGCGGTCCGCTGCAACGTCCAGATCGTCGAGACGACCTCGCAGGTTAGTGTGCCGCACGCGCCGGCGGTCTGCAGATCGCGAGACGAGCAGGCGGGAACGCGCGAGGCAACTTGGGAAGGTCGCGAGGGTCCGTGCGGTCGGCGGCTCTGCAGCGCTCTGGTGCTTGCCTCTCACTGTCGTCACTGTAATCGCCACGTGCAGTACCTCCCCGAAGACCGGAAACGAGGTCAGCCAAAGGCGCGGACAAGCTCGAGATCTGAGATGGAGGGAGCGAAAAAGAGCGAGCACTCGACGAGGGGCGGCCGGGTACAGCTCGATGTGCTTCTTAGCACGTACAAGGCGAAGTGAAGCTGCTTCCAAGCCCAGGCGAGCGTGCAGCAGAGGCCGCGGGCGGGATCTGGATCCGAGACTCTGTTGCGTGCTCGAGTTGACCTCGTCCACCTTTCAAGCTCGCCTCTCGCCCTCGCGTCAGCACCTTGTCCACCAAGCACACCTCGACAGCAACCATGGTGAGCATCTCCACCCTGTCACGGCACCGACGAGCGCTCCCTGGCTCGTCCCCACCCCCCCGAGGAGGCGCGCCGCCTCGATCCTGTCGTCGGCTCCCCCTCGGCGACCAACACCGCTGACTGGACCTCCCTTGCAGGCCAACGCACCCCACGGCAATGTCCTCAAGGACCTGCACGCGCGCGACGCGCCCCTGCGCCAGCAGCTCCTCGCCGAGTCGGACCAGCTCGTCGACATCCGCCTCACCGAGCGCCAGCTGTGCGACCTCGAGCTCGTCATGAACGGCGGCTTCTCGCCCCTCGAGGGCTTCATGGGCAAGCAGGACTACGAGAGGTGCGTCCACCCTCACCCTCTCTCTCTCGCTCGTCCTGCTCCCCTTTGCTGACCCTGTCGTTCCCTCGCAGCGTCGTCGAGACCCTCCGCCTCGCCGACGGCGCCCTGTTCCCCATGCCCATCACGCTCGACGTCTCGCAGGAGCAGATCGACTCGCTCAAGCTCGCCGAGGGCACCCGTGTCACCCTGCGCGACTCGCGCGACGAGTCGCCGCTCGCCATCCTCACGAGTGCGCCTCTGTCCCTCTTCTTCCTCCTGCGTCACAAAACACGGCCTGATCAGTCGCCTCGCTCCACAGTCTCGTCGATCTACAAGCCCAACAAGTCGAACGAGGCCGAGAAGGTCTTTGGCGCCGACGACAGCGCCCACCCGGCCGTCCACTACCTCCACAACTCGGTCAAGGACTTCTACGTTGGCGGCAACGTCCAGGCCATCTTCGCGCCCGAGCACTACGACTACGTCGAGCTTCGCTGTGCGTCCACCTCGCCGCCCTCTTTCCTCGTCACGACGGCGCAGAGCTGACCTCGCACCTCTCTCGCCCTTGCACAGACACCCCTCGCGAGCTGCGCGCCTACTTCGACAAGCTGTCGTGGCGCCGTGTCGTCGCGTTCCAGACCCGCAACCCGATGCACCGCGCCCACCGCGAGCTCACGGTCCGCGCCGCTCGCCAGCAGCGCGCCAACGTCCTCGTGCACCCGGTCGTCGGCCTCACCAAGCCCGGCGACGTCGACCACTTTACCCGCGTGCGCGTGTACGAGGCCATCATCCGCACCTACCCCAAGGGCATGGCGGCGCTCGCGCTCCTCCCGCTCGCGATGCGCATGGGCGGCCCTCGCGAGGCCGTGTGGCACGCCATCATCCGCAAGAACTTTGGCGCGACGCACTTTATCGTCGGCCGCGACCACGCCGGTCCGGGCAAGAACTCGCAGGGCAAGGACTTCTACGGCCCGTACGACGCGCAGGAGCTCGTCACGCAGTACAAGGACGAGCTCGCGATCGAGATGGTGCCGTTCCAGATGATGTCGTACATCCCGGACCAGGACACGTACATGCCCGTCGATGAGATTCCCAAGGGCACCGTCACGGCCGACATTTCGGGCACCGAGCTGCGCCGCCGCCTCAAGACGGGCGCGCCGATCCCGGACTGGTTCTCGTACGAGGCGGTCGTCAAGGTCCTGCGCGAGTCGTACCCGGCCAAGGCCCAGCAGGGCTTCACGATCCTCCTGACGGGCTACGTCAACTCGGGCGCCAACGCCATCGCCAAGGCGCTCGAGTCGCAGTTCCAGCAGCAGGCCGGCCGCTCCGTGTCGCTCCTCCTCGGCGACACGATCCGCTCCGAGCTCAGTGCCGAGCTCGGCTTTGCGCCCGAGGAGCGCCACAAGAACCTGCAGCGCCTCGCGTTTGTCGCCGCCGAGCTGTCGCGCGCCGGCGCCGCCGTCATCGCGACCCCGATCGCGCCGTACGCCCACTCGCGCAAGGCGGCCAAGAGCCACATCGTCCAGAACGGCGGTGCCGGCGGCGGCAACTTCTTCCTCGTGCACGTCGCGACGCCGCTCGAGCACTGCGAGAAGACGGACCGCCGCGGCGTGTACGCTCGTGCGCGCGCCGGCCAGATCCAGGGCTTCACCGGCATCGACGACAAGTACGAGACGCCCGACGACGCCGACCTCGTCGTCGACCTCTCGAAGCAGTCTGTCCTCGAGGCGACGCACGCCATCATCCTGTGCCTCGAGACGGCCGGCCTCATCGGCATGGCCTGAGCGTGCCCGCCCGGCGCCAAAAAAAAGGTCCCCTCTCTCTCTCTCTCTCTCTCTCCTACCCTCTCGTGGACCAACCCTTCCCTTCCTTCGAGCCTCTGTGTACATTCCCTGTCTCCCTAGAAGGCCCTCTCCCTCCCTCAAGCTGTCCATCGTCCCCCTTCCATCTCCTCGTTGGCTCCCTCTCTCGCAGTGCTCTCTTTTCGCACGAGGTCGCAATATCAGCATCTCTCGGTCCTCCTGCGACTCTCTGTGCCTCTCTGCGAGCGACCGAGCGAGACAGAGAGAGCGCGCGAAAAGGGGAGCTCAATTGCACTCGAAGTACGTCGACGCTCGCGAGCAGACGACTCGGTCCACCCGCCGGCCTCCAGCGCTCCTCGCAGCCGCCTCGACGGCGACGTTGCGCGTCCAGGTCCATCGCGAGGTCGTGTCGCCGAGGCCGAGCTGTCCGTCGTCATCTGCGCGAGAGCGAAAGGTGAGAAGGTCGCTCGCGCTCAGGCCCGTCGACGCCGTGCTGCACGTGCTCGAGAAAGGAAGAGAGAGAAACGAGGTGGGACGCACTCGCTCCTGTGACCCAGACTTGGCCGCTCTTGGTGAGGAGCACAGTGTGCGCCGCCCCGCACGCGACCTGAGCGACCTCGTCCTCGTCCTCCTCGCCGAGCTCGACCAGGACCGGCTCGGCTCCTCCCGGCTCGCCCTCGCCCACGCCGAGCTGACCGGCCTTGTTCGAGCCGAACAGGTAGGCGGCGCCGTGCGCCGTCACGACCGCCGAGTGGAACGCGCCGCACGAGACCTGGACCGGGTGCAGGCCGTCGAAGAAGGCGATGTGCTGGAGCGAGGGGCGGTCGTAGCGAGACGTGGTCGTCGAGGAGGGGTTGGCGACGAGAGAGGGCGACGGGAAGGGGCCGGCCTGGCCGTAGCGCGAGTCGCCAAAGGACCAGACCTCGCTCGAGGACGGCGACGACTGCTCGCCGCCGACGAGGACGAGAAAATGCGCCGCGCCCGCCTCGATCGAGCGCACGTCCCGAGTAGTCGCCGTGCGCGAATCTGCGGCCGGCTCGGGTGCGTCCCGCCACGAGAGGACGTTGCCGGCGCCGTCGCCCGAATCTCGAGCCGACGCGAGCGACTCGTACAGGCGCGGCGACCATTCTCGAGGACCCACGCCCGGCCTCGGGCGCTTGCACGTGTCTGTAGGGCGAGCAGATAAGAATCTGAGGGCGCAGGAGGGAGGGAACGAGGAGAGGGAGGAAGACGCACTGTGTACGACGAGGACCTCACCTCGTCCGTTGAGGCCTGCGCCGTCCACGTCGGCGGCGACCTTGGTCCCGCTCAGCAAGCAGAGTACGCCGTCGTCGGCGAGTGTCGCACAAAGCTCGTCGTGGCCGAGCCAGCGCTCGACGTGCGAGGAAGGGAGCTCGCCAGCGAGCGGGTGGCCGAAGCAGCGCAACTCGCCTGTCGAGGTGCCTGCAGCAGAGGCGGGCGCGTTGTGAGCCCGTATCGAGAGGGCGAGAGAGTAAGAGAGCAAAGCGGGACGCACGGAGGAGGCTCTGCGACCAGCTTGCGGCCGCGAGCGAGGCGGCCTCCGGGAGCTGGACGGCGTCAGGCAGGAAGGGGTCGTCCGAGTCGGCGAGTTGACGGAAAGCGTTTGAGCCGCAGGCCAGGACAGCCATGTCACACGAGAGCTGGAGTGAAACCTTAAAAGCTTTAAAAGCCTTATATATTCTTTTTTTTCGACGAGCTCTCCTCTCTCACTCCACCGCTCCTGGCACTTGCTGCACAGTCGAGCCTTGCCGACAGCTCGCCACACCTGCAGCACCACCCTGCCCGACCCGAGCATGAGCGACCGCAAGCGCGCCAACGTTCTCGGAGACGGCGACCGCGATGGCTCGCCGCGAGACGCAAAGAAGCCCAGGAGGTGCGTCCCTGCCCTCTCCAGTCCGTTTAGAAGTGCACCCAGGGCCGCTCAGGCTGCCCTGCGCCGCTCCAGAGGGCGACGGAAGACTGACTCGCCTCATCGTCCTCTCCCCCCGCTCCATTCCCACACCTCGTTCGTCGCAACAGCAATGCGGTCCGTCCTGTTCTCTCCACGATGAGCGACTGCGAGCCCCTACTGACCCCCGTGCACAAACAGCCCTTCGCGCCGTCCTTTGTCCCGACCCCTCTCTCGGCCGCGCTGCCACCTCGCCCCGCCGGCTCGCCCTCGCCCGCCACGACCGGGCCCGCCATCGACATTGCCGCCAAGCGCGCCGAGATTCAGGCCAAGCTCGCCGCCATGAAGGCCGCCGCAGCAGGCGGCGCTCGCCCGGGCGCACCTCCTCCGCCAGCAGCAGCCGCCCCCTCGGCTCCACCTTCCGCCTCGCTGCCGCAGCGCCCTCTCGGCGGCGCGCCCGGTGCGCCCAACATTGACGGCGGGCTCGCGGCCAAGATCGCCGAGGCCAAGCGCAAGGTGGCCGAGATGGCGGCGCGCAACCAGGCGGCTCAACAGGAGAAGGTCAACCCGTACCTTGTGCGTCCCTCTCTCTCTCTCTTTACGAGGCCAAGCACTGACGCTCTCTCCGTCCCGGCAGTCGTCCTCGTTCAACAAGTCGCAGGCCGACCCGGCGCTCGACCTGTCAAACGGCGGTCGCGGCGGCCTCTCGATGGCGGCGCACCCGCTCCTCATGGACCTCGGCGCGCCCTCGACCGCCGCCGCCCCGTCGTCCAAGAAGGACCGCTACAAGCCCATGGCGCCCAAGTTCTCGACCACGCGGGCCAACGCGCGCATGCCCGCTCCGGCGGCGCGCCCGGCGTCGACCATCTCGTCGGCGACGGACCCGACGGGCGATGCGCTCAAGGAGAGCGAGTTCTTCGACGAGCGCCTCGGGTACGGCTCGGCGGGCGTCGTCGGCAAGTCGCACATGGGCAAAGGGCGCCAGCGCACGACGTTCGCGTTCAAGCGCCCGGGCACGTTCGTCGAGAAGGGCGAGGCGATCCGGGCCGAGGCGCGCCTCGACGACCTCAAGCGGCGCATCTACGAGAGCTCGCAGAAGGCGGGCCTCCAGAGCGACCTCGAGGACACGGCCAAGAAGGTGCGCCGGCCGCCGCCGCCCGACGTCGAGTGGTGGGACGAGAGCTTCCTTCCCGACAAGGACTACGAGACGTACTCGACCGAGTTCCTCGACCGCTCGCCCCTCATCACGCACCTCGTCCAGCACCCGATCTCGATCCCGGCGCCGCAGGACAAGATCCAGGTCGAGGCCAAGCCGCTGTTCCTCACCAAGAAGGAGCTCAAGAAGAAGCGCCGTCTGCGCCGCCAGGCCGACATGCAGGACAAGCGCGACCGCCAGAAGATGGGCCTGCTCCCGCCCGACCCGCCAAAGGGTGCGTCCCCTCTCTCGCTCTCGTCGTCGTCGTCGTCGAGCGCGCACTGACCCTCGGTCGCCCGCCTCGCAGTCAAGATCTCGAACATGATGCGCGTCCTGACGCAGGAGGCCATCGCCGACCCGACCAAGGTCGAGGCCCAAGTGCGGCGCGAGATGGTGGCGCGCGAGCGCAAGCACCTCAAGGAGAACGCCGAGCGCGCCCTGACGGCCGACGAGAAGCGCGACAAGCGCGAGCTCGAGTACGCCAAGGACGAGGCGCAAGGCTTGCACGCCGCCGCGTTCAAGGTGCGGTACCTGTCGGACCCGAGCCACAAGTTCAAGGTCAAGAAGAACGCGATCGACCTGCACCTGACGGGCCGCATCTGCCACAACCCCAAGTTCTGCCTCGTCGTCGTCGAGGGCGGCGCCAAGAGCATCAAGAAGTACCGCCAGCTCATGCTCCACCGCATCCGCTGGACCGAGGAGGCGGCGCCGCGCGCCCACCACGACGCCGAGGCCGACGCCGCGCCAAAGCTCGAGGACCACGGCGGCATCCTGCGCCCTGTCGGCCCTTTCACCGCGCCCGACGAGCCCGAGGCCCCACAGTCGTTGGCCGACAACACGTGCGTCGAGGTGTGGGGCGGCGCCGAGCGCGAGCACCTGTTTGCCGACCTGCGCAACGCAAACTGCCCCTCGGAGGCGAGCGCGCGCGAGGTCCTCGGCAAGCTGGGCTACCTGTGGGACGTGGCCAAGGCGCACGGCACGGGCGAGGACGAGGTGTGAGCGAGCGAGCGAGGGGCGACGAGGGGCGGCGAGAGTCGGCGAGGAGCGGCCGGAGCGGTTTGGCAAGGTCGACGAGGGTCGTGATTGCGCTCGACGAGCGTCGGTCGGTGCGCTCTGCAACGACTATTTCGTGCTCTCTGTCCCTCTCTGTGCGCTGCGTTAGACGGCCGAGCGAGCAAGCGAGCGAAAGAGAAAGAGACAAGGCCCGAAAGCCCGCACGGCCCTCTTCTTTTCGGCTCTCGCCCTCTCGCTCTCGGTCTCTCGCCACATCCGCCGCACGATCGTCTCGACGAGATGCACTCGCTCTGTGGCATACCGTCGCTACAGCTTGACGGCGCCCGCCCCGCCCATCGGGATCGGAACCCCTCTCGCGCGCCCGGGCCCTCCTCCTCCTCCTCCTGCTGCTCCAGCACCGCCACCGCCGCCTCCTCCTGCCAAACCGCCGAGCATCATCATCGCCGGCGCCGCCGGCTCGTGCACGCCGTAGCCGTACGCTCCGACGCCGCCGCCGTCCCACCCGCCACTGCCGCCGCCGCCGCCGAGCAGCTCGTGCTGCGGTACGAGGCGCAAGCCCGGCGGCAGCGCGAGGTGCGGCGCCCTGCGGAACGCCGTCGACGGGTACGTCCCTGCGCCGCCGCCGGGGTAGGACGAGCCGAGCGGCGGCAGCGGTGGCGGGCCGAACGCGCGCGAGGAGGAGGACGCGGCAGCCGCTGAGGGAGGCGCGCCGTACTCGTCGTCGCTGCCGCTGCTGCCGCCCGAGTCGCCGAGCGCCGCCGCGTGCGCGTGCGCGTGCGGGTGCGGCGCAAAGGGCGCCTCGTCGCTCGTCGAGCGCGTGCCCAAGCCCGTCCGCCTCGCCCAGCTCGCCCTGGCCCACTCGTCGCGCTCGCGCTCCCTCTCGCGCTCGCGCTCGCGGTCGTGCAGCAGCATGGCCCACTGTGCGACCTGCTGGCGGACGCCGCCGAGCTGGGCGCGCACGCCCGCGAGCTCGTCGGCGGCGTGCTGGGCGTGCTGGGCGTGCGCGTGCGCGAGCGAGGCGAGCTGCGACGTGTGCGACGCCGTGGTCGACGACAGGGCGGCGAGGGTTGCGGGGAGGGAGGACGACGAGGGGGGGGCGGGGGTCGGTGCGGGTGCGGCGGGGTTGGAGGGAGGAGGGGGAGAGGGCGAAGAGGGACGAGGCGGGGTCCGTGCGCGCCGAGTCGGCGAACGCGACATCGCGCGCTGCGGCTTGACCTCGCCACCGTCGCCGCTCGCTCCAACATGGAGCGGCGCAAACTCGCCCATGGCGCCCCTGAGCGCGCCGGCCAAGGCCCTCACCTCGTCGAGCGCGTCCTCGCACCGCCGGACGCGGGCCCGGAGCGCCCAGTTGTCGCCCTCGAGCTCGCGCATGCGGCCGTCGACGAGGGCGAGGTAGTCGCGCAGGGGCTCGTACACGCACTCGTGCGCGAGGTGGTCGTCGAGGGCGGTCGAGCCAGAGGCGGACGACGAGGACGAGCGCGGGCCGAGCCAGGGGCAGCCGTGCGGGGCGTGCGGGCACGGCGAGGGGACGGCCGGGCAGGTCGACAGGAGGTGGGCTGGGTGCGAGGCGCGGGGGAGGTGCAGGGCGCAGTAGGCGCAGGGGACGTGGGCTGCGGGGCACAGGGAAGCGTGGTTCTGTGTGGGGAGGGTCAGTGCGGTACTCGAGGGTGGGGCAAGGGATGAGGGTGCGCACCTGGGCGTCGTCGTGAGGGATGTCTTGACTGCACAGGTCGCAGTGGTCGGGGTCGGTGCGGTCGACGGACGAGGACGAAGAGGAGGACGAGGAGGACGAGGGGCAGGCGTGGTGGGACCAGTCGTCGCGGCGCATGTGGGTTGAGCAGGTGGTGCACTGGATGGCGAGGTCGGCGACGAGGTGTCGGATGGCGCGAGGGGCGTCTGGGCAGTTGTCGAGCGAGTCGAGGCGGGTTCGGCACACGGGGCACGAGGGGGCGAGTTGGAGTGCGCGGTCGAGGCAGGTGCGGCAGTACATGTGTTGGCAGGTCGGGGTTGTCACTGGGTCGTCGAGCGGGTCCCTGTGGGTGCGAGGGAGGGAGCGAGGTGAGCCGGGTGGGTGGGGGTCCGAGGAGGAGGAGGAGAGGGGCGCACCTGCAGATGGGGCACACGAGTGGCTGGGGCGGGTCGTCGACATAGTCGAACGAGGGCATGCTGGCCATGCTTTGGTCGGTGGTGCTTGCTCAGGAGAGAGAGGGAGGTTGCGTCCGGATCTCGCCAAGTTGCCGAACCCTCTCTCTCTCGACACTCCCCGCCCACACTCGCACTCGCTGCTCGAGGGTAACCTGCACGCGCACCCTGCACCGACTGGGCCAACCTAGACCCGCATCCAGGTGCGCCCCCCTCTCTCCCTCCCCCTCGCCCCTCGTCGCGTCAACTGACACGCTCCCCCGCCTCCTCCTCCCTCCCTCTCGCTCTCTCACTCGCCCTACACGCCGCTAGACCGATCCGACAGCCTCATCAACACCACCCGCCATGTCTGAGCGCTACCGCCAGTCGGCCACCGAGACAAAGGCCAACCAGCAGATCCTCCACGCCCTCATCCGCGACCACCCGCACAACAAGGTCTGCGCAGACTGCAAGCGCAACGACGCTCGCTGGGCTTCGGTCAACCTCGGCATCTTTGTCTGCCTCCGCTGCAGCGGCATCCACCGCGGACTCGGCGTCCACATCTCGCGCGTCCGCTCGATCGACCTCGACACCTGGACCCAGACCCACATCGACACGATGCGCCGCTGGGGCAACCACCGCGCAAACCTCTACTGGGAGGCCCACCTCAAACCGGGCCACCTCCCACCCGACCAGTTGCGTCCCCTCCTCCTTCCCTACCTCCCTCCCTCCCTCCCCCACCTCGCTGACCCTCCCCTCCCTCCCTGCGCCGCAAACAGCAAGATCGAGAGCTTCATCCGCAGCAAGTACGAGCTCAAACGCTGGGCACTCGAAGGCCCCGTCCCTGAACCCGAACAGCTCGACGACGTGCGTCTCCCCCTTCCTCTCTCTCAGAGCACCACGACCCCGGGACCGACCCTCCCCCTCTCTCTCTCGCACAGCGCTCGACCACATCCTCCTCCCCGGCCTCGTCGGCGCCCCCTTCGTCCACCTCGACACCCGTACCCGGCCGCTCGCGCAAAGCCGCGCCAACCACCTCGGTCGACCTCCTCGCCGCGCCCTCGTCGCGCACCTCGTCGTCCCGCACCGCCACGCCCGCCGCACCGCGCCCGACCACCAAGCCCGAGCCGAGCCTGTTCGACCTCGACTTTGACGCGCCCGCGGCGCCGCGCCCGCCGTCCAACGCGCCCTCGCCCGCTCCTCGCACCGCCGCCTCACCCGCACCCGCACCAGCGCCCAAGCGCGACCCCAAGGCCGACATCCTCTCGCTGTTCAACGCCGCTCCGGCACCTGTGCGCTCGGCCCCGCAGCAGCAACAGCAGCAGCAGCAGGGCTCGCTCGGCGGCCTGAGCGGCGGCCTCGCCGGCCTGTCGTTCGGCGCGCCCGCCTCGGCGTCGCCCGCGCCGCCCGTCCCGAGCGCAGGGTTCGACGCGGGCTGGGGCGCACCGGCACCCTCGGCGTCGGCGGCGGCGTCAAGGGGATTGACGCCCTCGGCCTCGGGCGGGTTTGGCGACTTTTCGTCGGCGCCGGCCGGTGGGCAGCAGCAGCAGCAGCAGCAGCAGACGGACCTGTGGGGCGCACCGCCGACTGCGGCTACGGCGGCTGGTGCAGCAGGGGCAGGCGGCGGGATCTGGGGCGCGTCGTCGGGCGCAGGAGCGGGAGCAGGAGCGGCGGCGGCGCCCGACCCGTTCGCCGAGTTTGGCGCCTTTACGTCGCCGGCGGCGCCCAAGGCCTCCTCGTCAGGAGGCATGGGCGGGTACGGCGCCGACATCTGGGGGGCGTCGAGCGGCGGCGGCGGAGCGGGAGCGGCAGGAGGAGGCTCGAGCGCGAACGGTGCCGGCGGGTTTAGCGACATTTGGGGCTGAGCGGCGGTGTCGAGGGGCGAGAGGCGATGGCGAGGCGTTGCTGTATCGAGGCGGTTGCAGTGCGAGGTCGACTTGGACGTTCTTTCGACCGATGCAGCTCTGCGTGCTCGACGAGGTCCGAGCGGACGAGCGAGGGACGAGAGCCTGCAGCGACGACTTCGTCGCCCCTCTCGTTGACGTGCTCTCTCTCTCTCTGTGTCTCTCTCGTTCAGGTTCGTGCAAGCGAGCGAGGAGAGCCGAGAAGAAGAAGGTGGCTTTGCAGGTGAGAACAAGGAGAAGGACCTAAGGGAGAGAGAGAGGTCGAGACGAGGGACGGAAGAGGGATCTCAAGAGAGACAGAGAGGGAGGGAGAGACTCTCTGCGTCGTCTACGCACGCACGAGCGTGAGCACAATCTTGTCGTCGCCGACCTCCTGCTCCTCCTCGATGACGACCTCGCGCTGGCCGTCCCACTCGCGGCGGGGCCTCGGCGCGCGCTTGAGCGTCTTGCCAATCACGTCGCCGCTCGCGAGGATAATGTCCTCGAGCTCCTTGCCGAGGCCGTCGGCGAACGAGAAGTAGACGTCGATGTCGTCGGTCGCGACGAGGCCGGCCTTCTTGCGCAGGCGCTGCACACGGTTGACGACCTCGCGCGCCGTGCCCTCCTGCTCGAGCTCGGGCCGCTTGAGGACGTCGAGGAGGACGACGACGTCGCTGTCCGTGTTGGACTCGTAGTGCGGGCCGCCCTCGACCCGGGCCGGCAGCTCGACGTACCGCGTCGCGGCGAGGTCGCCCTCGACGAGCTCGACGCCGTCGACCGTGATCTTGCCCGTCGCGAGGTACTGCTTGACGGCGTCGCTCGACACGCCCGGGAGCGCCTTCTTGACGCGCGCGAGGTCCTTGCGCAGCTTGCGGCCGAGGACGGCATAGTCGGCGTCGGCGCGGAACTTGACGCCGCACCGCTCCTCGTCCGACGTGAGCACGACCGACCGCACGTTGAGCTCCTGCTCGACGTACGGCAGGAGCGACGCGACGTCGTCGAGGTACTCCTGACTCGGGTGGAACACGACGAGCTCGGCGAGCGGCGTCTTGAGCGGCACCACCATGCGCTCGCGCACCGTGCGCCCGAGCTCGATGACGGCCTGCAGGCGCGACACCTGGCGCTCGATGACCGAGTCAAAGTACTCGTCGCGCGCCTTGGGGAACGACAGGAAGTGGAGCGACCGCAGGTCGGATCCGACCTCGAGCGACGCCTCGTCGGCCGGGAAGAACGGGCGCAGGCCCTGGTAGATGTGCTCGGTGATGAACGGCGTGAAGCACGACAGGGTGCGCACGAGGGTGAACAGCGTCTCGAACAGGGTGTTGAGCGCGTGCGTCGTGTCCTCGAGGCCGTTCTCGCCCTTGAGCCGGCGGCGGTTGAACCGGATGTACCAGTTGGTGAGCTCGTCGATGAGGGTGAGCATCTGCGCGACGACGGTGTACAGGCGGTACGCTGCGGGGAGTGCGAGATCGAGTAAGCGAGGGCTCGAGTCGGGCCCGACAAGGATAACGAGGAGAGAGGAGAGCGGGACGACGCACCCTCCATCTCGGTCTTGACGTTCTTGATGAGCGTCTGGCACCGCGCGAGGATCCACCGGTCCATGACGTTCGAGCTGCCCAAGCTCTTGGGGTCGTACTTGAAGTCGACGCCCTGGTCCTTCTTGAAGAGCGCGGCCTGGCCGAGGAAGAACCGGAACGAGTTGAGGAGCGGGAGGAGGACGTGCGAGATGACGTCCTTGACGCCCTCCTCCTTGAACCGGAGCGAGTCGCCTCGCACGACGGGCGAGTTGATGAGGAACAGGCGCAGGGCATCGGCGCCGTACTTGTCGAGGATCATGTTCGGGTCCGGGTAGTTGCGCAGCGACTTGGACATCTTCTTGCCGTCGGCCGCGAGGACGTGGCCGCACACGATGAGGTTCTTCCACGGCGCCGTGTCGAACAGGTGCGTCGCGAGGACGAGCAACGTGTAGAACCAGCCGCGCGTCTGGTCAATCGCCTCGGAGATGAAGTCGGCCGGGAACGACTGCTCGAACTGCTCCTTGTTCTCGAACGGGTAGTGGACCTGGGCGTAGGGCATGCTGCGAGACCGAGTCGAGGACCGAGTCAGACTCGCCTTCTCAACGGCGAGGACGAGGGCAGAGAGAGAGAGCTGGGGACGCACCTGCCCGACTCGAACCAGCAGTCAAAGACCTCCTCGACGCGCTTGAGGTCGCCCTTGCCCTTCTTGCTCGGGATCGTGATGTGGTCGATCTTGTCGCGGTGCAGGTCCGTGATGCCGGTCACGCCCGACAGCTCCTCGAGCTCGGCGATCGACGAGATGCAGACAATCTGTGCGTCGTGCTCGAGTCAGTCTCTTGCCGGCGTAGGAGAGAGAGGAGAGGGAGGGAAAGAGCGAGAGAGAGGGAGCGCACCTCCTCGTAGTCCTCGCTCGCCCACAGCGGGAGCGGCGTGCCCCAGTACCGGTTCCGGCTCACGTTCCAGTCGCGCGCGTTCTCGAGCCAGTTCTGGAACCGGTTCTCGCCGACCGAGGCCGGGACCCACCGCGTCGCCTGGTTGTTCTTGACGAGCTTGTCCTGGTGGCTCTGCACGCGCACGAACCAGACGGGGATGGCGCGGTAGATGAGGGGCGTGCCCGAGCTGCAGGTGCGACAGGGGAGAGAGAGAGTCAGTCGAGGGCGAGGGCGAGGGTGAGAAAAGGCGAGAGTAAGAGAGAGGGACGGACCGCCAGCAGAAGGGGTACGAGTGGGTGAGGGTCGTCGCGACGATCATCTTGCCGTTGTTCTTGAGGTACTTGACGATGACCTTGTCGGCGTCCTGGAGGTACACGGCGTGTCAGGGGATCGAGGAGCTTGTCGAGAGAGGGAGAGAGCGGGCGCACCTTGACGTAAAGGCCCTCGAAGTCGGTCACCTCGTCCGTGTAGACGCCCTTCTCGTCGATCGGGCACGGCGGCATCTCCTCGCGAGCGACGATGCCGTTGGCGACGGCGATGCGGTGGTCGTCGTCACCGAACGCCGGCGCCTGGTGGACGATGCCCGTGCCGGACGTGTCGGTCACGTACGTGTCCGAGACGACGCGGAACGCCCGGCCCTCGAACTGCGCGCACAAGGATGGCTCGTCAAAACCTCGGGAAATGTGCGCAAAGGCCGAGAGGAGAGAAAGGAGGGCGCACCTTCTCCTTGAAGTACGGGAAGAGCGGCTCGTACGTCTTGCCGACGAGGTCCTTGCCCTTGTACGACTCGACGAGGGTGTACTTCTTCTCCTTCTTGGCCTTGGCAGCGTCGCGGTACAGGGTGCCGAGGAGCTTGTCGCACAGGATAAAGTTGACGTCGCGCTCGGTGTCGTGGATCTTGATGTAGGTGAAGTCGGGGTGGACGCACAGGCCCAGGTTCGACGGGAGCGTCCAGGGCGTCGTCGTCCACGCGAGGAACGACGTCGTCGGGTCGTCGGTGAGCGTAAAGGCGACGGTGACTGCGCGAGGGAGGATGCGAATGGAGGAGGGCAAGGTGAGCGCTCGGGCCTCCTCCACGAACGACGACGAAACGGACGAGGGAGCGAGAGGAGGACGCACCAGCCGGGTCCTGGACGTCCTTGTAGGCCTGCCCGGCCTCGAAGTTGGACAGCGGCGTCGTGCAGCCGGTCGTGTAGGGCATGACCTTGAGGCCGCGGTAGACGAGGTCCTTCTTCCACAGCTGGCCGAACACCCACCAGACCGACTCCATGAACGACGAGTTGAGCGTCTTGTAGTCGTTGTCAAAGTCGATCCACCGGCCGAGGCGCTCGACCGTCTGGCGCCACTCGCTCGAGTAGCGCATGACGATGGCCCGGCACTCGGCGTTGTACTTGTCGATGCCCATGGCCATGACGTCGGCCTTGGACGTGATGCCGAGCTTCTTGTCGATCTCGTGCTCGACGGGAAGGCCGTGCGTGTCCCACCCGAAGCGGCGCTCGACGTGGTAGCCGTTCGAGTGGGCGAAGCGGGTGACGACGTCCTGCAGGATGAAAGGGAGTCAGCTCGGGAAGAACCAGGTAGAGAGGTCCTGAGGCTCGCTTTAACCCCCCCCATCAGGAGGTGCCCATGGTGAGGCAGACCCGTCGCGAAAGGCGGGCCGTCGTAGCTGAGGGCGCAGAGAGGGTCAGTAAGGCGGTAGCGGTACGACGTGATGCCAAGGGGGAGGCCGGGACGCACAAGCTCCACAGCGGCCGCTTCTCGTCCCTCGACTGCTTGAGGCTCGTCTGGAACTGCGGGCGTGGAGGACGCAGTAGGTCGAGGAGACGAGGCGGGAGGGGGACGAGGGCAGGGTCAGAACCAGTCGCTGCGACAGGATAGGATAGGCGGTGGGCGTACAGCATCGATCTCCTTCCAGTACCTGCGGGGCAATGGCCGAGTCAGTGGGAGCCCTGCTGCAGGCGGGAAGAGGGAGAGAGGGAGAGAGGGAAAGAGGGGAGCGCACTCGAGAGTCTTGGCCTCCTCCTTGGGGAACGAGAACGAAGCAGTCGCGTCGTGTACGGGGAACTTGGCGTCCGGGTTGGTCGACTTGGGCACGCTCATGTTGGGCGGTGTTGCGGGCGAGGGTGCGGAGAGGAGAGAGATGAGGATGAGGAGAGGGGGGAAGGTTGCGAGGTGGGAACTCGACGTGCGGGTCTGCGGGACTGTGGAAAGTCCTGTCGAGGTGCTGGCTGTGCTGCCAAGGTGCGAGCTGCAGTTCTCGCTGAGCGGTCGCTGCTGGACGAGGTCGGGTCGCTTTCGACAGGTCGAAGCGGCGGTCGAGGGTGCTGTGGCGCGGGCGGGTCGCTCGAGGTGCGGCCGGCGGCGAAAGAGCTGTGCTGAGCTGACTGGCGGGGTGCGCAGGCAGCAGCAGGTGGTGCGAGAGCGTGAGCAAAGGTCCGGCCCTCCTCTTCCTCAGCTGAATCCTCCTCCGCGGCGACGCCGGCTTGACTCTGCTTTCCTCGCCACAGGAAGCTGCGACTCGCCGAAAGCGCTTCATCTGGAGCTTGCATTCTGCCGTTCGCACCGTGCCGCGTCCCTCAAGCGAGAGCCAGAGAGCACAACTCGCTCGGACCCGTCCGCTCTCGCTCGCGAACGGCGCTCTCGCTCTGAGCTGGCAACGCCGAGGGCTGGCGCCATCGCCAGGACCCGCACACGCACTCGTTCTGTCGGCAGCCCGCAGCGTGCGCGCGCCAAGCTCGCCGTGCCGCACGCTGTCTCCCTCGAGCCGTCCTTCGCCTCCTCCTTCGACCACCTCGCGCTCTCCCTCAGCCGTGCAGCCCGCCTTCTCTTGCCCGGCCCGAGCCAAGAGCGTCGACGATATCGAGCTCGATGGTGTGCAGCGTCGCCCGGCCGCCCCCGCTCGCGCCAGGCCGCCTGCTCGGTTCGAGTCGTCGCGCCAAAGCCGAGTCGCACGACCCGAGAGCACGGTTCGGTGCTCGTGCGTCGCTCGTCAGGAGCCACCGATCGCGACGCGACACTGCAGACGAAGCTCGAGGGCCCACGCGCGCCCGATTCGAGCGGTTGAGCCCGCTAGCGAGAGCAGGTGACACCGCGCGGCGAGCGCGTCGCCGGCCTGAGCAGATTCGCGCGCCGAGCTTGGCACAGGACGTGTGCCAGACGGCTGATCGTGCGACCGAAGCTACAAGCGCCGGTGCGAGGACGAGCGGGCGGGTGCGAGTGGTGTTGACGGGGCGGGGGGAGGAGGACGGAGGAGGCGGGGTCGGGGCGAGCTGGCAATCGGGGCAGCCGGTAGCAGCAGGTGCTGATGTGCTCTGTCACAGCCAGTGCGACTCGCTCAGCCGAGTAGAGCGGGACGAGAACGAGACAGCGAGCTGCCGTGAAGCTCTGCCGTCAACCACCTCAGCGCCTCGCCGTGCGCGCCTCTGGACGCTCAAGCGAGCCCATCAGCGCACTCGCACACGCTCCAGCACCTCGCCGTGCCGACCAGCACCGCCGCGCGAGCCGTCCCCGTTCTCGCTCCACCCCGCCCTCCTCCTCCTCGCTCTCCCCGGCACGACCGCGCCCAGCACGCGCACGCCCGAGGCGCGCTGCCCTCTCGCACGATGAATGGGTCCCTGCCTGCTCGTCCCGCGAGCGCGGGCACACCGCCCCTCCCGTCGCACGGCGACCGCAAGCGCGTGACGCTCGTCGACGACGCGCCGCCGCCCTCGAAGCGCGCAAAGCTCGAGGACGACAGCACCGTCAAGCCCGAGCACGACGACGACGACGACGACGACATGCCCGAGGAGGACCGCAAGCTCGAGGTGCGTCCTCTCGCCCCTTCCTCTCGGTGTGCCGGCAGCTCCACCTCGCAGCTCGCGCTCGACGGTGCCAGTCGAGCACTGGTTGCGTTCGCGTGCAGGAGACGCCGTACTGACATGCTGCGCACCGCCTGCAGTCGTTCCGCAAGGAGGCCATTTACCGCGAGATGCTCGCCTACAAGCGCCAGCTCCACCGCGCCCTGTCCGACGCCTCGGCCCTGCGCTCGCAGCGCACCGCCTACGAGGTGCGCCTCTCGCGCGTCGAGCTCGCGTGGAGCGCCCTCGTCAGCGACGCCGACCTCATCCTGCCCTCGACATCGTCCTCGTCCTCGTCGGCGAGCGACGAGCGCGACCGCGCCGCGAGCCCGCCCTTGACGGCCGTCGCCGCGCTTGACGACGAGGCGCTCGACGCGCTCCTCGCGCACCGCAGCGCGGCGACCAAGGCGCTCCTTGGCCGCCTCCAGTCCCTCCACCCTTCCTCCTCTTCCTCCTCCTCGACCGCCGACGACCTCTCGATCAAGTGCCGCGCCCTCCTCGCCGAGTCGGCTCAGTCGCGCGAGGCCCTGCGCGTCCTCCGCCAAGAGCACGACGACGTCCTCGTCCAGCTCGAGGCGGCCCACGCCGCCCTCGTCCGCGCCGAGCGCAAGTTCGACCGCTTCCAGAGCGCGACCGTCGCCGCGCTCGAGGGCCGCGCCGACCCTCGTGCGGCGAGTGCGGCGCTGCGCGGTGCGGCACAGGCGGCGACGGGGAGCGCGACGCCGCAGCGCGCGTCGGCGGGCGCGAGCCCGCTCCCAAACGGGCTCACCAAGGGCGAGACGTCGTCGGGTGCGGGAGGGGCCGCAGGGTCGGCGTCTGATACGGGGCATCCGGCGGGTGTGCTGGGCGGAGAGAGCGACCGGAGCGAGGAGCTGGACGAGCTGAGGAGCGTCGTCGAGAAGAGGGCGGAGGAGCTCGAGGAGATGCGGCAGGAGCGGGTCGCGCTCAAGCTCGATCTGGACAAGCTGAGGGGCAAGGTGCGTCACGCAGCGTCTCTCTCTATCTCTCGATCAGTGTTCACGGTGCTCGTGCCGGCCGGCGGGTGACCTCGACTGACTCGTCCGTCCTGCAGCTCGTCGACCTTCCTGAAGATCTCGTCGCCGAGGCGCCGCTCTTCCGCGCGATGCAGCAGCACGTCCAGTACCTCGCGTCCGAGTACGCGACGCAGAAGGGCGACGCCGACCGCGCGGCCAAGGAGGCGGACGACCTGCGCGAGGGTATGTCGTCGTTCCGGGAGAGCGCCGTCGTACGTCCCGAGTTTCCTCCTCTTTTTCTCTCTCGACCTCGCGGAACAATGACTGACGACCGACTCGTCCCCGACCTACAGCGCGAGGCGTCCGAGCAAGTCGCCGACCTGCAGACCCGCCTGTCCGCCCACGAGTCCGACCTCGCCCGACTGCGTGCCGCCCGCGACGAGCTCAAGGCCGAGACGTCCGAGCTGCGCGCCAAGGAGACGGACAAGCTGCGCGCGCTCGACGAGCTCAAGACGCTCGCCCAGGCGCGCAAGTCGCGCCTCCAGGCGTACGAGTCCGAGCTGCGCCGGGTCCGCATCGGCAAGGCGGCCAGCCGCGGCGACGTCGAGGGCGTCACGCTCCGGGTTCGCGAGGCCGAGGCCAAGGCCGAGCGCGAGGCGGCGGCGGCGGCGGCAGAGGGCGGCGAGGACGAGATGGAGGAGGGCGAGGTCGAGGTCGGCGAGGACGACGTCGTGGCCGACTTGTCCGCGCGGCTCAAGAAGGCCGAGGGCCTCCTCCTCGCCCTGCGCGACCAGTTGAGCGAGTATGCGGCGCAAGGAGGCGGCATGCCGGCGCCGTCGGCGCAGCAGCTCATCGACAGCGAGACGCGCGCACGGGCCGACCTCGCCGAGGCGCAGCAGCGCGTCGAGCGCCTCGAGGCGCTCCTCGGTCCCGGTGGGAGGGCCGACATCAAGGAGATGGCCGAGCGTCTCGAGGAGAAGCAGCGCGAGCTCAAGGTCGCCGAGGCGCAGGTCAAGGGCCAGGAGGCTGTGCGTCCCTTTTTCCCTTCCTTTCCCCCTTTCCTTCGCGAATCTCGCTCATTGTGCGTCCTCCTGCAGGCCTCGAACATGCTCTACGGCGAGATCGACAGGCTGTCGGCGGCATGGCAGTCGCTCGACGAGCAAAACGCGTCCAAGGTCTTTAACCTTGCCGCCCTCGAGGACAAGGTCCAACGCCTTAGTGCCGACGTGCGTCCACCTTTCTCTTTCGCACCCTTCTGTGTCTGTCGCACTATGCGAGCGTACACTGACTCTTGCCCTCGACCTCGTCGACAGAAAGCCAAGGCCGACAACCGCTACTTTGCGACGATGCGGCAGAAGGACGCCCTCACCGGCGAGGCGGCCGTCCTGCAGAAGCTCGCCGAGAAGCAGCAGCAGCGCATCGAGTCGCAGGCCGAGGTGCAGCGTGCTCTCGGTCAACAGCTTGTGCGTTCCTCTCGTTCTCTTTCTCTCTCTCTTCGCCCTTCCCATGTCCTCCTCGTACGGGACTGACCAATCTTCGACATGCAGGCTCACGCCGAGAAGGAGATCAGCATGCACCAGAACAACGTTCGAGCGTGGCAGGAGCAGAACTCGGACTTCAAGCGCAAGAACGCCGAGTTGCAGCTGCGCTGCGAGCAGACGGCCCTTCAAGTCGCCGAGGTGCGCCCTCTTTCTCCTTCTTGGTCATCTCCTAGTCATCCACTCACTCTGTACCTCGTTCGCAGCTCACCTCGCGCCTGAACGACCGCATCAACGAGGCCGAGAACGCGGCTCGCGCCAAGTCGATCGTCGAGGAGCAGCTGTCCAAGACGCAGCGCCAGCTCCAGCAGGCGCAGGCCAAGGTGACGTCGGCGACTGCTTCTTCGAGTGGCTCGACCGACCCTGCCGAGGTGCGGGAGCTTAAGAAGTACAACAACGACCTCATGGTGCGTCTCACATTTTCTCTTCTCGCCCGCCCTCGCCTTTGAGTCGAACGCCCTTTCTTATACCTTCTTGGTCTCACACAGCGTATGCTCCGGTGCTCGACGTGCAACATTCGCTTCAAGCAGGTGGCGCTGTCTCGATGCGGCCACACGTTCTGCCGCGAGTGCGCCGACGCCCGCCTCGCCAACCGCCAGCGCAAGTGCCCGGCGTGCGCCGCACCCTTCTCGCGCGAGGATGTCCTCCCCATCTTCCTCTGAGCGGACCTGGGCATTCGTCCCTCGTCGCAGCCTGTACCACCCGCCTCTCTCGGGCCCTTGTCCGTCTCTCTCTCTCGTTCCCTTTTACCCTCTCTCCTCTTCTGGTTGTACGTCTCTCTGCCTCTCAGTTTCGCAACTCGCAACAAAGATGGTCGTGTCTCTGTGTTCACTGCATCGAGAGCGTTGCACGAAAGCAGAAAGAAAGAGCCCGCTCGTTTCGACCCCGCCGCATGCTCTCGCGCTCGAGCCCATTCGGCGAGTTCCTTGTCACGACTTGGCTCGTCGGTCAAGGTCGTCGATCGCCCGCATGAGAGCGTCCCATCGTGCTCGGCGTGCGCTCGCGACGACGAAGAGGCCGTCGTCGGACAATTGAAGGGCGAACGTCGAGTTGAGGTCGAGCGGCGCCGCGACGGAGCGGTAGTACGCCAACAGCGGCAGATCGCCCGCACGACCGTCCCAGTCGTCATCGGCGTCGCCCTCGCCGTCGACGAACGTAGCTGCTCGAGGGATACGCAGGGCGGCGAACGACGACATGTGGTTCGAGACGATCCAGCGCGTCGTCCCTCGTGCGCGGTCGACGACCCAGGGAAAGTCGCGCAGCGGGAGCATGGGCATCTTGCCGCCCTGCGTGACCCTGTCGCCGGCGAGGAGCGTGTCGCGCAGCCACGGCAGGGTCTTGCAGCCGGCGAGCGTGCGGCGATGAACGAGGGCGAGGGCGCCGACCGAGGTCGCGGCGAGGTGCGAGAGGCGGATAGGCTGGGGCGAGAAGGAATAGGGGACGACGCTGTGGACGAGGGGGACGCAGAGCGCGAGTGAGCACGACGGCATGGATGAAGAAGAGGCTCCGAAAAGGAGATGGCGCTCGGGCCTCGACTCACGCATTGCCCGTGTGGCTCGCGAGCGGCTCGGCGAGGTCGGTCGACGACGTCGCGAGTAGAGAGCGGATGTTGAAGACGGGCGAGCAGAGAACAGAGCCTGTCGCCGAGGCGTCGTCGCCGTGAAAGTTCTGCAGAAGGAGCGAGGTCAGTCGACGTCGCAAAGGAAAGGTTTTCGAGAGAGCGAAAGAGGGGACGCACCTTGAGGACCCACGCAGTCAAGACGTCTCCTGTCGAGACCCACTCCTTGCCGCTCGTCTCGACCTTGACCTCGCCCTTGACCTCGTCGACAAGAGCATCGACCGCGTCTCGGCTGATGAAGGCGTACCGCAGCGTCGCGCCGTGCCGCCACTTGTCCCACAGAGCCTGCATGAGGAGCGCGACGAGCGCAAGGACGGAGAACGGCGTCCAGCCGAGGAGGACGGGCGGACGCTCCTGCTCGTCGCCGGCGAGCGCGGTCGACTCGGTCGACATGAGGGCGCGACGAGCCTCGCTGAGCGGGTTCGACTCGTGGACGGGAGGTGCGACCCACTCGACGTCGTCGCGCAAGCCTGCGGTGATGCCCGCGAGGACGTGCGCAAGGCCCGTGCCGTCGAACAGGCCGTGCGGTGCCGAAATGCCGAGCGAGACGGCGTCGACGAAGCGGACGATGTGGACCGACAGGAGCGGGTGCTTCTTCTTGGCGTGCTGCTGCATCGTCGTCGGCGTCTCGGCGTGGCGGAAGTGTGCGGCGACGAACGGGTGCATCTCGCCGGAAGTCGAGGACGACGACAAGGGCTCGAGAGGCTGCGACAGGTTGATGGCCTGGTGGTACGGCTTGTCGACTGTCGCGGTCGTGAAGCTAAAGGTCGGTCGAGCGTGTGTGCTCGTGTCGATGGCCCAGGTGCGGCTCTGCGGACAGGCTGAGAGCGTGAGTGCGGGTCCGGGGGAGGAGCGGGAAAGCGGCCGACGCACCTCGGCTTGCCAGACAGGGACGCCGCGAAGAAGAATCCACTCGCGAACGACACCCTCGACAGCCTGCCTCACCGCGTCGACGAGCGCGTCGCCGGCTGGCCCGAGTGCGCGAGGAAGCGCGAAGACGAAGCCGCGGCACAGGCCGAGGTCTTGGGCGCCTGTGTCGATGACGGACAGCTGCACACGCATCTTGAGAGCGGTCTGGCGGTAGTCGCACCTCGCCTGGCGGTGACAGCGAGACAAGAGCGGAGCGGGGAGCTGGCGGAGCTGATGAGAGCGTGAACTCTGCGGCCTCTCCTGCAGTGTAGTGTTGTGGTACGAGGGCACGCTCGCAGAAGGCTATCGCAGGCTATACGGCCGCGAGTGGACTCGCGCCGCTCGAGGCGACGCTCCCAGGTGGTCGAGACGGCGGCGTCGAATGCTTCTGCTCTCTCTCGGCTCGCAAAGCTCGCTAAGAAGGTGATGGCAGGTACTCGGCATTGGCAGGGATGAACGACGAAAGAGTGCGAGAGGCGAGGGGTATACAGGGCGGTGCGAGGGAAAGGGCAAAGAACAGAAGGCGTGGACGACGAGGAGAGCGGCGCCGGTGCTGCGAGTCGAAAGGCGCTCGTGACGGGGACGCGGTCGACTCGCCTTAACGTGTGGCGGAGCCGAACCGAGAGAAGAAGCCCGAGGTGCGGCGGTCGGCGCCGGCGCTATGAAGGAGGAGGAACGGCGAGAAGCCTGATCAGGAATCGGCCGAACAGGCAGATAAAAGGGGGCAGGGACGTACACTGGCTCGATGTCGCCTCCACCACCTCGGAGAGGCTTGGCGATGCGACCAAAGTTGAGGGTTGAGGCGACGGCCGGCTGGTTTTGCGCTGCGAGGGGTACGAGCCAAGGTCAGTACGTTCTTCCCTACGAGCGCCCGACGCTCGTCGTGCCGACAATGAGACGAGACAGAAGATCGAGACGCACCTCGGGCCTGGTCGAGTCGCTCCTTGACGGCCTGGAGCCGCGCCTCGAACTTGGCGTTCTGCTGGTTCACCTTCTCGTTGGCGTCCTGGAGCAGCGCTTCGAGGTTCTGGATGCGCTCGTTGCGCGCGATGAGTTTGCGCTCGGCGAGGGCGACATCGCGCTTAAGCGTCGTGTTCTGGTCGACGAGCTGCAGGGCGGCGAGGGAGGAGTGAGCGGCCGGCTGCGGCGAGAGAGGAAGGGAAACGGCGAGGGACGCACCTGCTTCTGAACGAGCGTGAGCTGGTCGAGGTTGCGCGTGAGGAAGTCCATCTTGCGCTGCTGCGCCTTGCTGTTCGAGTTCTTGGCCAAGTTGCGGTAGTTCTCGCGCGCCTCGTCCAGCGAGATCTCGAGCTCGACGACCTGCAGTGGAACGTGACGAGCGTGAGCTTGCGTGCCTCCGAGAGGCGGCAGGAAAGGGAGGCTGTGGCGAGATAGGGAGAGCGGGTGCGCACCTTCTCGCAACGGTCCTGCAGGTCGCGCATGAGACTCTTCTTCATGGCGTCAAAGTCGGCGAGCTGCTGTGCGACGGCCTTGTGCTGCCGCTCCATGTCCTTGGCCGCCTCCTCGAGGTTCTTGCCGCCCTCGATGCTTGCCGTTGTGATCTTGAACGCGCGCTGTAGGTCTCGAGGTGCGTGAGTCGCGAAAAGGGGAGGGACGAAGGGGCGGCGGATCTGCGAGGACGCACCTCGAGCTCGGCGTTGGCGGTGCGGACCTGCTCGAGAGCATCGTTGACGTGCTTGAGCTCCGAGTTCTTGAGCACGAGCTGCTGCTTGAGGTCGCTGCCGTCGTTCAAGGCGGCCTCGAGCTTCATGGCGTACTGCGCCTCGAGCTTAATCTGCAGGACGGGAGAGACACAGTGTCAGTCCTGCGCATCGAGGAACGAGGGCGGCTGTACAGGAGACGAAGGAGGAAGATAGGCGTACCCGGATGTCCTGCACGTTGGCCGCGTCGTCGCGCTCCTCGTCGGCGACCGTCTTGTCTGCGGACAGGCAGCGACGAGGTGAGCAAGACAGTCTTTGAGAATGAGAAGAGAACGCGAGGGACGCACCGAGAAGCTCCTCGTACTCCTCCTCGAGCGTCGACAACCTCGTCTCCAGCTCGTCCCGCCTGCGGGTGAGCATCTCGTTCTCCTCGGTGACCTGCTTGGCGCGGTCCTGGTGCTCGCGCAACGAGATCGACGAGTCCTCGAGCTGTCGGCGGAGCGTCGACAGGTCGTCGGCCGAGAGCGGCTTGTCCGAGTTGGCCGCCTCGTCGAGGCGAGCGAGCGACGCCCGGATGTCGGCCTCCTTCTCCGACAGACCGCCCTGCGAGGCGTCAAGAGCGTCAGGACGGGCGGAAGAGGGTGTCGAGGACGTGGGACGCACCGCTGCGAGGCCCGCCATCATGGCCGCCATGCGCTCCGCCTTCTTCTTGTCCTTGCCCTCCTGGTCGGCTGACTTCTGCGTCGACTTGGCGTCGGCGAGCGCTCGCTGCGGGCGTCAAATGTGTGTCAGGAAGGGCTCGATGGAGAGACGAGGCCATGCGAGGGAGAGAGGAAGAGGGGGACACGCACCCGAAGCTCTTCGAGTTCTCGCTCGAGCTCGCCGTTCTGCTCCTTGAGCGAGTCGGTCGTGATCTGCGCCTCCTTGCTGTCGTACCGGATGCGCTCGAGCTGCAGGCGTAGGTCGGCGAGCTCGCCGTTCATCGCCTTGTTCTCGCTCGAGGCCGTCGACTCGGACTCCTTGAGCGACGAGAGCTCCTCGCGCAGGTCGCGAATGAGCTTGTCCTGCGACGACAGCTGCGACTCCTGCGGGCGACGAGAGAATGTGTCAGTGACCGCGACGAAGAAAGGTGAGGAGGGCCGAGCGGGGCGCACCGTCTTGGCGATCTGGTCCTCCATCTCGTTCTGCCGCTTGATGAACTCCTCGCGCTCGTCGCCGCCCATCGCGCTCGTCGGCGTCTCGGGCCGACTGTCCCCTCCCTCTGACACTCGATCGAGCGCCGGTATCCTCGGCTGCGCCTTGAGCTTGGCCGCTGACGCTCCTCCCGCCGCGAGCTTCTCGAGCTCGCCCTCGCCGAGCCCGAGCGCCCGCTCCATCGACGCCCACTGCTCCTTGTCGACCGTGCCGCCCTCGCGCCAGACGGCGACCTCCTGCTCGAGGAGCCCGATGTAGGCGCCCGAGTTGGCCTGGTCGCGTTGGGCGCGCTTGAGGAGCGCCTTGAGCTCGGCGGGCGACAGCTCGGCGTTGACGCGGGCCTTGTTCTTGATCGACTTGGCGCGCATGCCGAACCGCAAAGTCGACAGCGTCTCGGGCTCGTTGTAGAGCGACGGCGAGCAGTTGATGATGAGGGTCGTGCGCGAGTTGCCGCCGAGCGACTCTTGCAGGATGCGCGTGAGCTTCGAGTCGCGGTACGGGATGTGCGCCGACTGTGTGGGACGACATGTGGGTCAGTGAGGGCCCGACGAGAGAGAGAGAGCGAGAGGGAAGGCTCGGGCGCACCTTGCCGTCGGTGAGGGCGTTGATGACCTGGCCGAGCGCGCTCAAGCTCTTGTTGATCTTCTTGGCCTCCTCGAGCGTCTGGCCCGTCGCGCCCGTCTTGGCGATCTTCTCGGAGCCGGCGAGGTCGACGAGGTAGAGCGAGCCCGTCTTCTGGGTGCCCGTTTCGGTGTTGCGCGCCTGGATCGTAATGACGAAGATCGAGTGCGAGCGAGACGACTCGGCGTTCATGCCTGTGTGAGAGAGGCGGCGCACGATGGTCAGGACAGGGCGAGGGCGCAGTCGGGGTGCGCATGGTAGAAGGAGGGACGGACCGGTCGAGGCGACGGCGCGGGCAGATCCACCCTGGCGCATGACCTCGTGCATCTCGTCCGAGTTGCTGACGTAGAAGTCGGACAGGTTCTTGACGTACACGCCTCGCTGCTTGTCCTCGTGCACGGGCAGGTTGTCGTTCTCGGCTGCGGGTGAAACTCGAGGTGAGCGCTGCGGCCTCCTCGACGACGACGACTCGCAGGGATGAGAAGGGACGTACGAGCGAGTAGGTCTCGAATACGCTCCATGTAGATCTCCATGTACGACACCTTGACAAGGTACTCGAGGTTGGCGGGCGAGGTCATGATGGACGAGAAGATCTGCTCGGCGATGCGAGGAATGATGCCCTTGAGCTGCGCGTCGTCGATGCTGGGCCCCTGCGTGTGCCGCGAGTGTGTCAGTCGGGGGCAGAGAGAGACTGCTGAGGCGCAAGAGCCTCGGCAAGGCCCGTGGCCGGCTCGAGTCCGCCCTTGCCGCCTGCACCTTGTGACGGGAAGAGGTGGGACGCACCATCATAGTGTGCGTCTTGCCCGAACCAGACGCGCCGTAGGCAAAGATGGTACCGTTGTAGCCGTTGAGGACGTCTGCGTAGGAGGTGAAGCGGATGAGCGAGGGGAACGCGAAGGAGAGAAAGAGTAGTGGGGACGCACCGTCGACGATGCCCTTGACGCCAAACTCGAACACCTCCTCCTGCGGCGTGTCCATCTGGAAGACGCGGTCGAACGTGAAGCCGTCGGCCTCGGCGCCGCGCATGTTCTCCTGCGAGCGCAGCTTGACGTTGACGCCGTCCTCGCTGATCTGGACGATGCTCTCGCCGCCCGTCTCGCGCAGCTCGACCGCATTGGGCGGGCGGAACCGGCAGACGACCTTGATGTTGTTCGAGGGCGTGTTGGACATGATGAGGAGGTACGAAGGGGGAGGGGGAACGAGGAGGAGGGAGCAACGGCGGCGAGTCGACGGCTGTTTGGCGTGCGGCGCGTCGAGAGGGTGAGCTGTGTAGATACAAGGTCAGCCACCGTCTGCAGAGAATCCGCTGGTGCGCCGACGAGGAGAGGACGTACTCGGAGTTGAGCGAGATGAGGCGGATCGGCGACGGTCGACCGTGGACGCACGAGCTCTTCAGCTGCGCCTCGTACGGGCTACTGCACGGCCTGGTGCAGGCTCAGATGCGCTCAACGAGCTGCCGCCGTCGGTCGGGAGGATCGAGAGCGGGTTGAGGTGGAGCCTCGCGCGGCGGCTTGTCGAGGGCTGCTGGGTCGGCTTGGTGCTGGGCGGTCGGCGAGCAGGTGCCGCAATAGAGCTCACGCAGGTCTGGCAGGTGCCTAGACGAGCTGGGCGGGTGGGTGAGGGGGGCTGGCACCGCCCGCTCTCGTCCTCGCCGCGTTGCGAACAAGGGGGAAACCGCTCGCCCACAGCCTTGTGCTTTGGCAGATTGAAGTCGCGCATCTGTAGGTCATGTAGTCACACGTCATCCGCACGATCCTGCAGCAGAACGAGCGAGGTCGGGAAGCTCTCGGGGCGACCGGGAGATAGGAACGTCACTCGCTGCACGGCACTACAACTGCTGCTCGACCGCTCAAACCGTCGTCTCCTTCGACCCGTCCACGTCCGTCGCCGACCCGAGCCCAAGCGCCTCGCCCTCGCCCTTCTCCCCTCGAGGCGTGCTCGCCTCGGTTGCCGCCTCGCCGCCGTCCTTGCCCGCGCCGCTCGCACCGTCCGACGCCGCCGACGCAGCGAGAATGTCGCCGCCGACGGGGAGGCCGAACGTCTCGGCCGTCTCGGCGAGCGTGGGCGCGACGCCAACGTGCTCGGCCGCGTCGACGCTCTTGCCCTTCTCCTCGGGCGTGTGCGCCGCGACGGGCTCGTCGTCGGCGGCCGCCTCGTCGACGCCGTCAACGCCCGGTTGAGCGTCCGTCTCGCCGGCAGGGAGCACGATCGACGGCGCCGTCTCGAGCGTGCGCAAGCTCGCGCGGCGCTCGTTCGGGTCCCGCTCGCCGCCGCCCGCCGCCGCCGGCTCGCCATCCTCGAGCGGCGCCCGGCTCCTGACGCTGCCCTCGCGAGGCCTGCCGCCGGCACCGACGCCGCCTGCGCCCGGCCCGACACCCGCAGAGACGACGGCGCTCCAGGTGCTCCTGCTCCCGAGGCTCTCGTCGCTCGCGCGCCGGCTGCCCGCCAGCGCCCGCACGCTCGCGTCCTCGTCGGCCTCGGCGCCCTGCGCTGCGCCGAGCAGCGACTTGGTGCCGCTCCCACCGCCGCCGTGCAGCGAGCGCGCCTGGCGTGTGCTCCACGCGCGCAGGCCGCCCGCGCTCGTCCACGACGCGCGCGCGCCCGCCTTGTCGCCTGCGGCGGCGCCGACGACGCTCGCGCCGCCGCTGTTCATGACGCTCGGCGCGAACGACGAGCTGGCGAGCGTCAGGACGCTCGCGTTGTCGGCGGGCGGGAACGCCGGGTGCGGGTTGTTGCGCGGGTGGGCGTACGTGTGCGACGGGACGCCGGTCGGCGAGTCGGGCAGGTCGAGCGAGGTGCCGTCGGGGAGGTAGACGAGCGAGCGCGACGACGAGGTCGACGAGGACGAGGGTCGGTGGCGGTGCTGGGTGTGGAGCGCGGCGGCGAACGGCGCGGTCGCGGCTGCCGACGCCGGGATGGGGGGCGCGAGCGTCGGGCTCGACGTTGCGGGGAGGGATGACGAGAACGACAGGCCGTGCGAGCCGGCCGAGCCGGCGCTCGCGCCGAGGAACCCCGGGCCCGTGCCGCTCGCGCCGACGCCGGTGCCGGGCACGACGGCGATGCGGTTGGCGCCCGGCGCGCCGCCGAGGTCGACCGAGAGGAGCGTCGTCGGCTTGGTCGACGCGTAGCTCTTGTGGGTCGGGGCGAGGGACGAGGCGTCGTGCGACGACGAGTCGACGGTGCGGCTCGAGACGATGCTCGACGGGCCGCGGGTCGACGGCGACATGGCGTAGATGGACGCGTCCGTGTCGGCTCCCGAGAGCGCCGAACGAGCCGACACCGAGTGCCCTCGGGTGCGCTGGCTCGGGTCGTGGCGGTGCAGGCCCGCCCGGTCGAGGTCGAGGTCGTTGTCGTCGTCGCCGTTGGTGCGCCGCGAGCGAGACGAGCTGCGGCTGCTGCTCGTGCGACGCGGGCTCTTGGTGCGAGTGCGGGTAGCGGTCAGGCCGTCCTTGCTGCCCTGCTCGTGGTGCGGAAGCTTGGGGCGCTGCTTGGTGGTCGACCCTCCTCCCGAGAGGAAGCGCGAGATGCTGCGGAAGACGCGCTTGCCGGACGACTTGTGCGGCTGGCCCTGCGCCGTCGGTGGCGTGCTGGTCGAGGCGGTGGTCGACATGGCGCCGTGCTGGCGGAGAGGGAGGGTGCGGGGAAGGCGAGGAGGGTGCGGCGGACGCTGACGGCGTGCTAGGGCCGAGGCGGGGCTCGACAGGTGTGCTGTGTGAGCGTGCTGGTGCGCTCGAGGCAGCTGCTGAAGGTAGAGTGAGGAGGAGGGGAGCAAGAGTGGGGCGGGCAGGCGGGCGGGCGGGAATGGCGCTCGACCAGCTCGTCGCTCGACCGTAAGGTCGCAGTGCAAGGCTAGGTGTGACAACGTGACGCTCCACTTTGGGCGCAGCGACCGAGGCAAGGCAGACGATGCTCTCGAGCCTCTCTCTCGCAAGGTCGCCGGAAGGAGGGGATGGGGAGCGACAACCAGTGTACTGCAGGGCGACGCGAGCGCGACGACGAAGAGAGAAAGCGCAACGCGCGCAGGTCCAGACACAGAAAGGACGGCGGGCGAACGAGGGAGGAGGGGTACAACCGAGAGAGGGGAAGGAGGAGGAACAGGCGAGAGGAACTGACGGGATGATGCTACACACAGGGAGAGGAGGGACAGGCCCGCACTCAGGACGCGCTCGGCCGACGCTGTACCTCTGTCAGGCCGAGCTTGAACCCGCCGCGAGGGACGCCATCCCCCCTGCGCGCCTTGTGCGACACGTAGTCGCCGCTCATGCCGGCGAGGTCGCCCTCTGCGTCGCTCTCGCCGCCAGGCGTCGTCGCCGTGTCCGTCTCGTCGCCCTCGCCGAACAGCGGGCCGTCGAGCCCGACCGAGGGAGCGCGGTCGCGCGACATGCGGCGCACCGTCGACGACTCATCGCCCGACGCCGACGATGAGGACGACACGCGGCCGTGGCGGTGCGTACTGTGCGTCGTGTGGTGGGAGGAGGACGACGTGTGGTCGTGACGCCTTGTCGACGAGGCGACCGAGCTGGACGACGAGTCGGACGGTGACGAGGAGGACGAGCTACTCGGCGACGCAATGCCGGCGAGCGCAGGCGGCTTGCCCGGCCGTGCACTTGACAGCACGGAGCCCTCGTCGACGGACGGGAGCGGCGTCACGTCCGAGTAGGCGGGCGACGGGAAGATGTCGGACGCGCCCGACGAGACGGACTCGCCGGACGAGGGCAGGACGCCTTCGCCGGTCGACGACGGCGAGTGGATCGAGCCGTGGAGCGGGATAGCGATGAGGCGGCCGTCCTTCTCGGGGTCCTTGAAGTGGCGGCTGCGGACGGTGACACAGGCTCGGTGTCAGCGTCCGAGGTCCGCAGCAGGGCGGGGAGGACGAGCGCGAGCCTCGTCGCAGCGAGGCCTGCGCACGCTGGCTCGCCTGCTCGCGGGACATCTGGGAGGGACAAGAGAGAGGAGACGCACGTCGAGGCATAGCCGAGAGGGCGGAGGACGAAGGCGAACGCGACGTAGCCGACAATGTCGACCTGCGTGGTGAGACGGGGAGGGAAGGGGGGAGGGTCAGATGTGCTCGCCTCTGTCGTAGAGAGCTCCTGCTAGGCCACCGAGGCTCGCTACGGCCTCCCTGAGCCCGACGGCACTCGCGGCGAACCTCGCCGGCGCGAGGAGGAGATGAGAGGGGGAGGGCGACTCACGACGGCGAGGGCGGCGACGGGGACAAAGAGGAGGAGGGCGAGGATGCGGAAGGCGCTGGGGAGGAACCTGAGCGGCTCTGGGAGGTCGTCGTGCTGGACGACGATGTGGCGCCAAGCTCCCGCCGCAGACGAAGGGAGCGCGGCGAGGACGGCGGACGGGGCGAGCGAGGACAGCATCCTGGCGGGGTGATGCGCGAGGCAGGCGAGCGCAGGCCTGCTGGTGTGTCGTGTGGCGTGCGTCGGGCGGGCGTATCTGAGGGCGAGAGGCGAGAGAGGCCGGCGAGGCGGTGGAGCTGCTGCGGGGCCACGACCGACCTGGACTTTGAGAGCCACGTCTCGCTCTCCACACAGGCTCTCACGTTCACGCTCTCAAGCTTCTCGCAGAACTCCTGCAGTAGCGAGCGACGCTCCACTCTCTCGCGGAAAGAGGCGCGAGACGAGGAGGAGGACAGTGCGCGCCAGAGGCTGCGCTTCGCGGCTTGAGATTCCGAGGCTACGTACACAAGAGCCGCAAGTATGGCAAGCGAGAATCGAGGGGGAAAGGGGGTGCGAGGGCAAAAGGAAAGTAACGAAGGGGGAGCGAGCGAGACGACGAGGGGCAAGGGCTAAGACTGGGTACAGAGGCACAGACAACGACGACGGCGAGAAGGGATGCAAGGCAGGCATGAAGGTGGGGTCTAGTGTGAGAAGAGTCGTGGTAAGGGAGGTGCTGGGAGGGGTGGGAAGAGGAAGGAGCGACTCGACGGCGCTCAGTCGTCGAGGTCCATGCGCTCGTCGCCGTCGTCGGCGCCGGCCTCGACCGCCTCGTCGATGCGGAACGCCGGCGGGTCATGCATGAAGGCCGGCGCGGCGGCAGGGCTCGCCGGGTCCGGGTAGGCGTGCGTAAAGACGTCGTGGAGGAACGAGTCGGCTTCGGCGCACACGGCGCCGAGAACGGCCGGCGGCTCGTCGCTGCCGCTGCGGTCGGCACGCAGGGACGCGTCGAGCATCGACAGGAGCTGGGCGACGACAGGGTGGCGGGCGACGTCGGCGATCGGGGCGCGCAGGGCGGGCGTCTTGTGCAACATGCCCTGGAGGATGCCGAGCAGGCTCGGCGACAGGCGCGACAGGGGCACGTCCGACAGGTCGTTCGAGCGCAGCTTCTGCCACGCCGGGCCGTTGTCGGGCAAGACGACGTTGGCGGCCGCCTCGAGGATGATGAGGCCGAGGCTGCGAGCAGGGAAGGTCGAGGTCAGGTCGCGTCCTCGTCGTCCTCCTGCGGCACTGAGAGAAAGAGGAAGTGGGGCGCACCTGAAGACGTCGGCCTCCTTGCCGTAGCGCCCGCTCAGGATCTCGGGAGCGATGTACTCGCGGTCGCCCTCGCGCTCGAGGTCCTCGGGCGCGTCGCCGTTGCTCTTGGCCCTCGTGCGCCGCTCGCCGTCCTGGGTGCGCCAGATCGGGTCGCCGCGCAGGCCGGGCTCGCCCCAGGGCGGAGAGTCGACGGCGGCGCCCTTCATGATGCTGAGCGGGTCGGCGCGCGGCCACCTCGTCGCGAGGCCAAAGTCGCCGATCTTGAGGTGGCCCTTGTCGGTGATGAAGACGTTGGCGGGCTTGAGGTCGAGGTGGAGGATGTTGCGCGAGTGCATGTGCGCGACGCCGGCCGTCAACTCGGCGAGAATCTTCCACACGCGCGCCTCGTCGAGCTGCTCGTTGGTGCTGCCGTACTCCTCGAGCCACCAAGCGAGGTTGCCCGCCGGGCACAGCTCGGTCTGGATAAACAGGTGGCCGCTCTGCTCCCACGCGTCGACGAGCGAGATGAGGTGCGGCGAGGCGTCCGTCTCGGACGAGAAGAGGCGCAGGATGTCGACCTCCTCGAGGCGGCGCAAGCTGCACGGACGAGGATCGTCAGTCTCTCTGCGGCATTCAGGAGGGGACGAGAGGGAGAGAAGAAGAGGGACGCACCGGTCCTTGGGGCCGAGGAACGGGTTCTTGGTGCGCTTGACGGCGTAGACCTTGCCCTCGCGGCTCAAGTCGGCGACCTCGTACGCGTCGCTGAACGCGCCGTTGCCGAGCACGCGCAGGAGCGTGTAGTTGCTCTCGAACCAGTTGGGCTGCGAGATCTCCTGCTGGCGGAGCGAGAGCACCGTCGAGCTCGAGTGGCGGACCTTGAACTGCGGGCGCCCGCCGACGGGCTTGACCGGGTGGTGCTGGCGGTTCTCGGCGTCCGTCATGGGGAACGAGGCGCGAGGCGCGTTCGACGGCGTCGCGACGGGCTGGAGGAAGACGGTCGACTGGCCCGAGGGCGCGAGCGAGTGCGACGGGAGGTCGGGGAAGTTGGCCATGGCGGGCGTGACGGGCGTCTCCTCGGTCGGCGTGTCGAGCAGCTGCGTCCCTGCGTGCGTCGGAAGGAGGGTCAGGTGTCTGTGCGCAGGAGGCTGCGCGAGGAGAGAGAGAGAGGACGAACCCTCCCAATACCTCCCGCCGACACTCCTTGTCGGGGTCATGGGCTCGCCCTCGGCGATGGTGGCCGACGCGCTGCTCTTGCCCGAGCTCGACCCCCCGCTGCGGTACTGGATGCCGAAGAAGCTGCCCTCGCTCGACAGCTGCCCGCTGCTCCGGCGGCGGAACATGGCCGGGCGCACGCGCCCGAGGCTGTTGCGCACCGACGACGACGCCGAGCTGAACCGCCCGCCGCCGCTCTTGGCCGCGTGCATCGACGGCGACTGGTCGCCGGCCGACTCGACGCGGCGGCCTCCTGGTGCGGCCGTCCCGTCCGACGAGGCCGACGACTCGACGCTGCGGCCCGAGAGCGGCGACACCGAGCGGTGGAACGGCTTCTTGGCGCTCGCGAGGGGCGACAGCGACTCGCGCGACTCGCGCTGCTCGTCGTCGCCGCCAGGCGTGCACGTCGAGTGGTTGCCGCCGACGAGGGCGAGCGCCGCCGTCTGCTGCGTCGACAGGGAGCCGCAAGGCCCGATCGGCGAGCCCGTGTAGACGGCGTCGGTCGAGGGCGAGTCGTGGCCCTCGTCGGACGAGCCGAACGCGCTCTGGACGACGAGGCCGGGCGTCGCAGGGGCGAGCGAGGACCGGCCGGCAACGACGCCGCCGACCGAGCCCGACTGACCGAGGACGAACGGCGAGCGCTTGACGGGCGTGTCGGGCATGACGGACGGGCGCGACAGGCTCGTGACGAGCGGGTTGAGGAGCGGCGGCACCGCTGCCGCCGGGTCGACCTCCTCAAGGGCGTGCGACGGCGCCGAGTGCTGGTGGGGCGACGGGACCGCCTGCTGCGGCTGGGGCTGGTCGTGACCGACTTGACGCATGAGGTGCTGGTGGAGGTTGAACGCAGGGGCGCCGCTCGCGCCGAGGCTGTTGGTGCGAGGGCGAGTGCGCTTGCTGACGAGGCCGGTCGACAGGAAAGCGGCGGCGAGCGGGCGCACGTTCTTGTAGTTCTGCGGCGTGAAGAAGGCCGAGCCGCCGTCGCCGAGGTGGTGCAGTGCGCCCTCGGGGTGAGCGGCGCCGTGCGTCGAGTTGAGCGAGTGCGCCGAGGTCGACGCCGTGACGGCGGCGCTCACGTCGCCGTGGTCGATCAGGCCCGAGTGCGACGTGCACAGCGACGACGACGAGATGCTCGTCGCCGCGTCGGTGAGCGTCGGCGTAGGCCCGTCGCGCCAGCTGTCGATGCTGAGCCGCGACGGCATGTCATCCTCGTCCATGAGGTCGTCGTCGTCGTCGGCGGCGTTGCTGCGCGTCTTCCACCGAGGCTGGGCCGGCGACGACGACGGCGGGTTGACGATGGGCGAGACGGCGCCGAGCTTGCTCGTCGCACCGCCGGCGAGAAGGGCGCCGTTGGCGTTGCGCTTGCGGCCGGCGGGAACGGCCTGAATCGGGGTGCCTGCGAGCGTGTACCACGTCGTCGTTAGTCGCAGTACGATGAACGGCTCTAGACGCAGAAGAGAGAGAGCGCGGGACGCACCGAAAGGACGGAAAGAATCGACTGGCTGCCCTGCCGGCGCGAAGCTGAGCCGCCTCGCCGCCGCCGACGCCGACCCGAGCGGCCGCAGCCTCGGGAGCGGCGGCGGCCGGTCGCTCCCCTGCACGCCCGCCGTCGCCCCGCCGTCCTCGGCGCCCGCCTGCATGTCGGGCATCGACGTCGAGCCCGTCGCCGAGCCGCCCTTGGCGGGCGAGTCGCGCGCGTCGAGCGTGCCGTTGGCGAGCTGCGACAGGGCGTGGTGGCTAAAGTTGTTGGCGTGCGGCATCATCGAGTGGCGGCGCGAGGCGCGCTCGGCCGCACTGAGCGCCGCCGCGCCGCCGGCGCCGAACAGGCTGAACGCGCCGAGCTCGCCGCTGCGGCGCCGCGGCGGCGTCATGGTCGACTCGAAGCTCGAGACGCTGACGGGCGAGATGGCGCCGTCGCGCAGCTCCGAGCCCGACGTCGAGAAGTAGTCGATGGCCGGGCCCGACTCGTTGAGCGTGTCGAGGCCCGTGCCGGACGATGCGGCGCGGTTGCGCGAGATGGACGACGGCGGGCGCAGCGAGTCGGACGGGGAAGGGAGGGCAGGCGAGAACGAGGGCGTCTCGAAGCCGGGGTGCGACGACGAGGCCGGGATGGGGACGATGTTGAACGAGGGGAACGAGGGGACCGACGGGCGCGACAGCGACTTGGCGCGAGCGACCTTGCGCGGCGCGTTGGTCACCGAGGCCGACGCCGCCGCCGACGACGACGTGACGGACGGCCCGCCAAAGACGGCGTCGTCGCCGGACAGGCCGCTCGCGTCGCCGTCCTCCTCCTCCTCGAAGCACGGCATGCGCTCGATCGAGACGCGCTTGGACGGCGGCGGCATCGTGCCACCGAGCGGGCTCGCGGCGAACGCGGTGCGCGCCGGCGCCGGCGACGACGCGAACGAGAAGGGCGTGTCGAAGTTGAGGGTCGAGACGGACCGCGGGAGGGACGCCGGCGAGGCCGACGGCGCCGCCGCCCCATCGCTCGCGTGCTGTGACAGCATGCGCGACGACGGGACCGAGTGGGCGTGCGCGAGCGAGTGCGTCCGGCCGTGCCCGCCGCGGTGGTGGACGTGGTGCGGCTCGCGGCGGTGCGCGTGCTGGTGCGCGTGGACGGCCGGGCCCGCTGCGGGCGAGTGCAGGTGCTCCAACGAGTCGCGCACGTCCTCGTCCATCTCGTCGCTCTTGCGCCGGCGCGACTCGGACGTCGGCGGCTCGAGGCGCGCCGCAAAGTCGTCGCCGGCGCGGCCGTACGACGGCCGCGGTCGCGTGGCGCGAGGCGACAGCTCGGTCACCGGGCTCGACATGTCGCCGCTCGAGCTCGCGGCCGACGTGCGGCGCCTCGACACGGGGGGCGAGACGTCGTCGGCGCGGGCCGCGGCGGCGACCGCGATCGGGTCGTCCTGCGGGTCGTTGGGGCTCGTCGGCGTCGAGCTCGGCGGGTGGCTCGCGATGGCGGCGAGGTCCTGGTTCCAATCGTTGAGGTCGAACGCCTTGCGCGCCGTCGACGAGCGCGTCTTGCCGAGGAGGGTGCCGCCGAACGCGCTCGCGAGGCGCTTGAGCCCGGCGACCTCGCGCTGACCGGGGCGAGTGCTGCTGCGGGTCGACGACGTCGTTGCGGCGGCGTGAGCGGCGGCGTTCTTGCTGGTCGACGCGCTCGAGGGCCCTGCGACGGGCAGGACGGCGGCGCTGGTCGAGGCGAACGGCGACGTGGCATGCTCGGGCGCGGTCCTGGCCGAGTCGGCGAGGTCGGGCGAGGGCGGGAACAGGGCTGCGCCGCCGCCGCCGCCTTTGCCCTTGAGGGCGTGGGCGTGCTGGTGCTGGGGCGCAGACGGCGCGTCGGTGAGCTGGACGGGGCTCTGCAGCTTGTCGGCGTTGCCGCCGCCGCCGCCGAGGAGGGCCGACGCGCCGCTGAGGAGGTTGGTCTTTGACGAGAACGGGTTGCGCTGGAACGAGCGGCGTGGGCGCAGGAGGTGGGTGTGGGGCGAGCGCGAGGGGGAGCAGCCCGGTGGAGGGGAGGGGCGGAGCGAGTCCATGGTGTGGCGGAGCGGTGACGGCCTCGGGACGCGCGCTGTGTGGCCGAGATGGTGTCAGTCAGGGTCCAGAGTGGACAGAGAGGGCGCCACAGTGGCCGCACGCACTGGATGAGGGTACTCGGCCTTGTTGTTGTTGAGCGGCGGGTGAGGTGGGCTGAGGGGCGTCAGGGCGGTGGGCGAGGGCGAGGGGGCGGCTGAGGGGTGGAGCGGGCGCCGCTAGCCCTTGATGCAGGCTACAGGCGGTGTCGGGACAACAAGCAAGCGAGCTGGGTGCGAGGCGAGGGAGCAAGGGGGGGGTCGCCGCTCCATCGCTCGACGTCCCTCCGGTCGCTCGCCGCGTCGAGTCGCGCTCGCTCCCTCGGCTCACACGGCTTCCTCGGCTCTCTGTGCATGCTGTAGACCCGGCTCGACGCTCTCCAAGCCCTGGCGAGCTCGCTCGTGCCGGCCGTCGCCTCTGCCGTGGCCTGTCGCGCGCTCGAGCCGACTCTCGCCTCCTGTCGACCGGCGCGCGAGCCAAGGCCGCTCGCAATGCTCTCGCTATGTATGCTCCTGCCCAGCCCTTATCTCGACCGGGACGACCGCCCGTCATGTGGCTCTCGGACGTGCGAGCGCTGCCGCCTTCCCGCCGGCTCGACCGTCGACGATCTTTCGTCCCATGGGCGGCAGCGACAGCGACGAGCAGCGTCGCGTACACGTCGCCGTCGAGCATGTCGACCTTGACCGTCGACTGACCCGGAGCGCAGGCTCAGACTGCCCACCCCGCAGAAGGAGGCGCCCGTCGAGCGCACGAAAGCGAAAAGGCGCCGACGCTCGCGCAGTCCGGCCCGAGTGCAGCTGCTGGAGTAGCCCGCGGTCGGACTGAGCGGCGTCATACGTCGAGGGCGGCGTGCATAGAGCCCATTCGTAGAGCGACGGGCCCGAATGAAGAGGTCGGCGAGGTGGAAGCGAGGTCGGAACGAGAAGCCCAAGTTGCGCTCAGACCGTAGCGTCCAGGGTGCGTGGGCCGAGCACGCCGACGCAGTGAGCCACTGCATGGCGGCGCCGTGTCCTCGCTCGCGACCCGAGAGCAGAAGCGCAAGTCGAAGGCGGATGACGAGTCGCTTCACAGAGGCGAGCGAGCACGGCCTTATAGGACTAGCGCAGGCGGTCAAGCTGGTCGCATAGACTCGTGAGAGCTGCCGTGGTGCTTGACCGGCCGGCACAGCCAGCGCGGGCGGGCCTTTGGTGGGAGAAAGGGCGGGAAGGACGAGCGAGACGAGGTCGACCACCGTCACCTCGCTTGCTCGCACTTGTTCGAGCCGAGAGCACCGCCAGCTGTGCTCAAGGCCACCCTCGCACACCGCCGAGCCGTCCCTCTCGAGTCCCGCCGCCTCGCTCGTCACCGCCACCTCGTCCTCCCCCACCTTCATCTCCCCTCGCCCTTCATGTCGTCCTCGCAGGGCTACACCGTCGAGCCGCCCGCCTACACCGGCGCTGCACCCAAGAAGAAGGGCTCGCCCGCCTACGGCGCCACCACCGACGCCGCCGCCGCCCACCGACAGCAGCAGGAGCCTCTGCTCGCCGGCGAGGGCGCTGCAGCGCGCGACGCCTGGGCCGACGAGGGCGACGACGGCCTCGAGGGTGACTTCAAGGTGCGCCCCGTGCTCTCTCCTCGCGCCTGCGCCGAGTACTGACACCCTTGCCCTCGTCAGATTGGTGTCACCGTCTCGCAGTCGAGCCAAGACGTCCGCAACGCGTTCGTGCGCAAGGTCTACGGCGTCCTGTTCTGCCAGATTGTGCGTCTCGTGTTCCTCTCTCAGTCTGGGTCTCGTCGAGGGCCGACAGGCGCTCCTCGGACTCGCTGACTCTGCCTCCCCGCTCACAGCTTCTCACGACGGCCGTCGGGTGGGTCATGTCGGCCAACGACGGCATCGTCACCTGGACGCGCGAGCACCCGGGCCTCATGCTCCTCCCAACGTTCGGCGCAATCGGCGCCATGCTCGGAGTCTACTGGAAGCGGCACTCGAGCCCGGCCAACGTGATCCTCCTCGGCGTCTTCACCCTCCTCGAGGCCGTCACGCTCGGCAGCGTCGTGTCGTACTTCAACTCGGACGTCGTCCTCGAGGCGCTCGTCATTACGACGTTCGTCTTCCTCGGCCTCACGCTCTTCACGCTCCAGGTGCGCCCCCCTTCCTCCCCCTCCTCCTTCACGTCCAATTTCGCTCATTCTCTCTCTCGAATACTCCTCCCAGTCCAAGTATGACTTCGACTCGATGGGCACCTACTTGTACGGCGCCCTCGTGGTCTTCTTCGTCACGTCGCTCGTCGGTGTCTTCCTCCCCTGGTCGCGCGGGTTCGACATCGCCATGGCCGGCTTCGGCGTCCTCCTGTTCAGCGGCTACATCATCTTCGACACGCACCTCCTGTTCAACCGCCTGCACGTCGACGACTGGGTCGTCGCCTGCGTGAGCCTGTACCTCGAGTGCGTCCCTCCTCGTGCCCCTTTCTCCTTCTTCGCGTCGACCAGGATCGGCCACTGACCTCGGTTCACTTCCACAGCATCGTCAACCTCTTCCTCCAGATCCTCCGTCTCCTCTCGGACGTGCAGGAGCGCTAAGCGACGTCAGGCCTCCCGATCGCCACCTTGTCCTCGTCCTCCCTCTCAGCCCTCCTTCCCCCCTGTGTAGCTTGCCCGCAGCTTGTTCTCGCCTTACGTCTTTCGCGCAACACATAATGGCTCGTGCACCGTCTGTCCGCGCTCGTGAGAGGCTCTGTCGACGAGCGAGAGACACGCTCGCTCGGACCCTCCTCCTCAGACTGCGGCTCGCACTCTCGCGCTCGCGACTCGTACCTAGCTACGCAGATGTTCTCTCGACGACCGCTGAGCGCTCGCCCTCTCGAGCCGAGTAGCTGCGCACGAGCCCGCACGACCCTCTCGCAACGGCCGGCCCCGCCTTTCCTCCCTCTCCCTCCTACTCCTCCCTCGTCTCTCCTCGTTTCGCCGCCTCGAGCTTGCTGTGCTGCAGGCCAGCATGCAGCTTTGCCCACTCACTCTACTCGGCCTCGTCGCCCTCGTCGCGAGCCTGTGCGCTGGTCGCACGGCGCCGTCCTCCTCCCCGCTCCGCCTCGACTCGCCCGCCCTCGCCTCGTCCGACACCCCGCCGCACTCGGTCCAGCTCGAGCGCAGCACCGACGTCGAGGAACGCCAGCTTGACGCGAGGCGCCTCGCCGAGCAGGACGACGCGGCGCCCTCCTCGTCGGTCGAGGAGCTTCGGGCTCTCGACTCGGGCTCGACAACGAGCAGCTCGCCCAAGCGCAAGCGCTGCATCTACATCGGCACCTTCTTTCACGTGTGCGTCCCCTCTCTTAGGATCCGCCCTCAGGCGCGCCGAGCTGACCTCTCGTCCTCGTCGACCTGCCGCAGCATCGACTGCAACGCGCCCACCAACTCGACCCAGGTCCCGTACGCTCCGCCGCGCGAGCCCGAGCAGACGACGTCAACGTCGACGACGGCGTCGAGGGCGGGACCGGCGCCGGTCGTCGCCACCGGTCTCGTGACGAGGACAAGGGCCAAAGCGGCGGCGACGAGCAACGTCGAGGGCGGCTGACGGTGAGGGACAGGCGAGAGGGGAGGAGCGAAGGAGGTCGCGAGGGGCTGGTCCTCTCGAGCTTTGCCGTACGACGTGCAAGTCGTGTTCTCTCTTCCCGCGCGAGCCTCCCGAGAGAGACGAGCAATCCTAGGCTTGCTGGCCTTCTCTCCTTGCGAGAAGGAACACGGCGCCGATGCGGATGCTGCAGGTTGCGATGCGATATCTGCAGCGCACGAGGGAAAGAGTCAGTCGCATGCGAAAGAGAAAGAGGGAGGGAGGGAGAGAGAGAGAGAGGGCGCGAGCGCACCTATGTGACAAAACCCCTTCTCGACGTCGACCCGCCTCGTCCTCTCGCTGCCCGCCCTCGCTCAAGGGCTCGACGCAAAATGGACCTTCTCCTGCTCCGCCCCAGCCACCGCCCGCAGCGCCCTGTCCATCTCGGCCATCCTGCGCAGCTCTGGCCACTCGGCGACGGCCTGCCGGGCGCTGTTGCGGATAAAGTGGCCCTGGAGCGCCGCCATGCTGACGCGCACGCCGTCGTGCATCGCGCTCTCGACCTCGCGCACCATGGCCGCCTTGAGCTCGGCGAACGCCGCCTCGTCGAGGCCGTCCTCGTCGTGGTAGAAGCGCGTGAAGAGCTCCGAGGCCTGGTGGGGCGTGGCGTCGTCGATGAGCTCCTTGAGGTCGACGCGCCCGGGCCGGATGAGCGCGGCGTCGAGCTTCTCGAGGTGGTTGGTCGTGAGGAAGAGGAGCCGCTGCGAGGTCGACGAGGCGACGCCGTCGAGCGCATTCAGGAGGCCCGAGAACGTCACGTTGCTGTTGAACCTGCGTCCGCGAGAGTAGCCGAGTCAGTGTCGCGTCACGAGAGAGGAAGGATGAGAGAGGAAGGTGAGACGCACCCAGCCTCGCCCGTCTGTGACCGGGACGAGAAGGCGGCGTCGATGTCCTCGAGGAGCATGAAGCAGCGCTCGGGCGCGTTGGCGAGGAGGTGGTTGAGCTTGTCGTCGGTGAGGCCGCGCTCCGAGAGGTTGAGGACGCAGATGTTGTAGTCGAGCGAGCCGGCGAGCGCCTGGATGAACGACGACTTGCCCGACCCTGGCGGGCCGTACAGGAGGTAGCCGCGCCGATACGGGATTCCTGCGAGGGCCGAAGTCGTCAGGACCTTGCGCAAGTCGAGAGAGAACGAGCGGGACGCACCTCGCTCCGAGTACCACTTGCCCCGCCGCATGAAGCCCTGCACGTCCTCGACGACCCGCTCCTTGACGCCCTCGTCGAGCACGACGCTCTCGAGCAGCCGCTTCTCCCTCGGCTGCCCGAACGGCCTCCACTCTGCGCCCCACGCCGTGTAGATGACAGTGCGCCCGACGACGGCCTGCTGCGCGAGCTCGCGCGCCTCGCCGAGCAGGTTCGAGAACAGGTCGCGGTCGCGCGACAGGGTCGTGAGGTGGACCGTCTCCCAGGGCGTGCCCGAGTTGAGGTCGAGCATGTTGGTGGCGCGCTCGCGCTTGACCTGTGTCGAGGGCGGCAAGGTGTCAGGGCTCGAGGTGCGACGAGACAGAGGACGGGGTCGAGAGGAGGAAGGAGTGGACGACGGGCGCACCTGGAACCACGCGCTCTTGTAGCGGAAGTAGTGCGTGCCCGGGCCAGGTACGAGGCTGAACTCGGCCGTCGAGCTGCCGTCCTTGCGCTGCTCGTACTTGGTCTCGACGGCGAGCTCGTGGCTGCGGACCCTGCTCGCGAGGCCCTCGAACCCTCGCAGCGGCTGGTTGGCGAGCGCGGCTTGACGCGCCGACTGAGCCGACATCCACTGCAGGAACCACAGGTACGACGGGTCCTTTGACGAGATCTCGAGCGAGACGAGGAGGCGGCGCTGGGCGAGGTTGGCGGCCTGGACGGCGCCTCGTCGCAGAACTTGGGCGCCGACGCCGAGGGCCTGTAGGGGGTGAGCCTGAGTCAGCTCCTGGCCCAGCAGAAGAGGAAGAGAGGACGGACCATGAGGCCAAAGCCGGCGGAGAAGTAGGGGCTGTGCAAGGGAGGCGAGGGTCAGCTCGCACTCGCCTGAGCGGGGAGTAGAAGCGATGCAGGTGCTCACTTGGAATCAAGAGCACTCTGCACGAGGCCTCGCAGGCCGCCTGGGGCGTCTGGTGCCGCCGTCGCGGGTGCCGCCGAGTCGGCGAGGCCGGTCATCGACGTCGAGGCGGAAGAGCTCGGGTCCGCGCTTGCTGCGGCTGCTGGCGGCATGGCGGTGGCTGACGGAGTGCCCTGCGGCATCAGGAGAGGCATGGCGGAGGCGAGAGCCGATGTTGAGAGCGCGGGAGATGAAGAGGCGAAGTTGAAGCTCTCCTGGCTCCTGCTCTCGCTCGGATGGAGATGGTGGATCGGCAGATTCGCTGCAAGCTATACTTTGGCTCTCTGTCGAGGCCGCATCCGGCTGCCCAGAGGCGACGCTCACCTCGACCTCCTCGGCTGGCAGCGTTCGCGCGTCTCTTCTTCGCAAGGGCGCGATTACACGCTGCGAGGCCGTCTATTCCAGCTCTGCTCTACGTGCACCCGCTCGATGACACGATGCGCCGTCGCCCTCGGTCGCCAGGCTCCTCCTCTCGCACCCACCCTCCTCGCCGCCTGCTCAGCGAGCCGAGCCGGGCGCTGCTGGCGCGTTGAGCGCGTCGATGTCCGGGTTGACGATCTGTACGTCGAGAGAAGCTTCGTCAAGGCTCGTTTGCGACGAGGAGGAGGAGAGAGAGAGAGCCAGCGCACCTCGAGGTTGCCGAACGCAGGGACCGACTCGGGCAGCGACCCGTTGCTGCCCTGGCGCCCGAGCCAGCTGACGGGGCGTCGAGCGGCGAGGATTGCCGAGCGCTCGCGGCGAGCGTCAAGGCGCGAGAGGTGGGCCGACGGGAGCCAGTCGTGCGAGGGAGGAGGAAGAGGTGGTGATGGGTGGTGAGAGGACGGCGGGGCGTTCCCCGGCGAGGAAGGGTGCTCGTGCGGGTCGGTAGATCGAGGAGGGAGCGTGCTCGACCTCGTTGTGGCGCCGACCGGTCGCTTGCTGTACGGCTCGAACGCGGCGGGGGACGTGGCGGCGTGGGTCAAAGCGGGCGGCGCGTCGGTGAGGGCGACGGCGTGCGAGATGTGTCGCTCGGGTAGCGAGCGCACGTCGATGGGTGGAGGTGCGGGTGGTGCATGACGCGACTGGAAGGCGATCGACGCTCGCACCGGGCGAGAGCGAGTCGGGAGGTCGGTAAAGACGGCCTCGTACGTCGACGTGCTCCAGGTCGATTGGCGGCGCTGCCCGTGCCCGGCTGACGAGCCAGAGGCCGAGCCTGGTGGAAGTGGTGCCGAGGTAGTGCCGAAGAAGAACGAGTTGAGCGACAAAATGCTCAAGTCGGATGGCGAGTGGGCGTGCGCGGTCGTCGGGAGCGCCTCGACGCCGTTGCCGCGTGTCGAGCTCGTCGGCGCATGTGTCGACACGTACTGCGATGTCAAAGCGAGTCAGTCTTGACCTATTGAATGCGCAAGGAGAAGATGCAAGGACGCACCTCGACTTGACCTCCCCAGTTCCGCTCGGCCCACTCGTGCCGCCTGTCACTCCCGCCCTGCCGCCCCAGGAGCGGCCCGCCGCTCTCCTGCGAGCTCATCGGCGTCAATCCCGCCTCGCCGCTCGTCTCGCTCGTCCCGCGCTCGTCGCCGCTCGTCCTCGTCGACGACTCGTGCCGTGCGCCCGGCGGGAGCGGCCTCGGCCCGCCTCGGCTCGGCGACAGGCTCGCTGCGTGAGCGTGCGGCAAGTTCAAGTGCGACGTGGGGCTGCGCGACGTGGCCGAGGGCCCGAGGAAGACGCCCTCGAGGTCGCGGGCCGACCAGGTCGAGCTACGGCGGGTGAGGCCCGCGCGCCGCCTCGGCGTGACGGTCGCCTCGCCGTCGACGTTGACGACGGGGCCCGCTCGATCGTCGTCGCCGTCGAGAGGGGCCCGATGGCCGCCCTGGACGAGCTCCCACCGCTCGTCGTCGTCGCCGCTCCCGATTCCAAACTGCCCGCGGTCCCTCCTCGTCCTCGCCGGTCTCGCCGACGCCTCGCCGTTGCCGTCGCCCGTCTGCCGACCTTCGCCCTGCCCTGCAACGCTCGGCGCTGGGCGCGCGAGGACCCTCGAGCCGTCGCGCGCGAACGTGGTCCGGATCGAGAACCGGGGCTCGGGCGGCGGTGGAGGGCGCGGCGAGGGGAGCGAGGCGAACAGGTCGGTGCGGAGTATGGCTGCAGTCGATGTGGTGCAGAAGGGAGGGTGTGTGTCGGGAGGGAAGCGAGGCTGGGGGAGGACGAGGGCCGGGTGGAGCTCGACCGTCTCGAGGGGCGAGGCGAGCGGTGCAGGCGGCGCGGCGGTGCTCTTGTGCGGCCGGGCGAGCCGCTTGAGGCGCCAGTAGATGATCGTGGTCCACACGACGACGACGAAGACGCAGGCCGGCGGCACGATGCAGGCGGCGAGCGCGAGGCCGGTCGAGACCATGCTCGCTCGCGAGGGCGGTACACACGGCGCACTTGTGGGAGCCAGGCGCAGGGAGAACAGCGCAGAGGGCGAGACACGACGACGAGGAGAAGCGAGCTGAGCTGAGCCCGCCGTCGCCGCGAGATGCGATCAGGCGAGGCGCGAGCGAGCGGAGAGCGCGAGGCGCGAGCGCAACTCTGAGACCACGCACCACAACGACAGCGGGCGAGTGTGCTCCAGCACTCGAGAGAACGATGAGGCCAACACGATTATGCACACGGCGAGAAGAGCTCGAAAGCTAGAACAGAGAGACGTCCGCCGACCTCCTCCTCCCTCCTCTCTACTCGCGCTTCAACCGCCTCTTCTCGCTCTCGGCGTCGCTCCCGCTGCCCGCTCCACGCTCGACCGCCGTCCTGGGCGACTCGTCACTGACGACGCCCTCGTCCTCGTCGCGCTGCTCGACCTCGTCGCGGCTCCTCGTGCGCGTCCTCGTCCGGCTCGAGTCGGTCCCGCTCCCGCTCCCACTCGGGCTCGACAGCGCGCCGTCGTCGTCCTCGCGCGCGGCGTACCCGCCGCGCTTGCCGTCGCGCGAGCGCCGGTCGGCCTCGCCGGCGTAGCCGTCCTCGGGCTCGAGGTCGGCGCCGCCCGGCCCGCCGCCGCCGCCGCTGCGCAGGTCGATCGTGCGCGCCTCCTTTGTCGTCTGGCGCATGTCGAGCGAGCGGTCGTCGACGCTCGGCTCGTACCGCTCGTCGTCGACGTCGATCGGGAGCTGGTGCTCGAGCGGGATGGCGGCGTAGATCGACACGGCGAGGATGACGGGCAGGTACTCGAGCGTGCCAAACAGGGCCTCGTGCGACGACGCGTACCCGAACACGCCCTGGGCCGTCTCGGCGAGGCGGAACGTGGTGCGCAGGAAGACGAGGAGGGAGGCGAGGAACAGGAGGAGCGAGAACTGCTTGGGCAGGTGCGCCGCCGTGAACGTGCGCGCCGAGCGCCAGATGCACAGTCCGAGGAGGACGAGGAAGGCGAGGAACGACGCCGTCTGGGTCGCGAGGCCCGCGAGGAGGATGTCGTTGGCCTGGTCGCTCGTGATGCTCGCGCTGCCGTTGCCGAACCGCGCCGACTCGGCGACGCCGATCAGGGCCGCACCGACGACCTGGATGATGGTCGTCACGACGTCCGACACGATCATGACGGCAATGAGGATCTTGGGCTGTGGACGAGGGTGAGTGAGCTCGAGGGCGCGAGAAGGGACGAGAGGAAGTTGGGGAACGGACCTCGAACCGGAGGAGCGTGCTGCCGCGGTGGTCGAGGCGGCGCAGGCCGAGGCCGAGGGCGAGGTAGAAGGCGGCCTGGAAGAAGACGGGCGAGACGACGATGAAGAAGTACTGAATCTGGGGCGCGAGAGTCGAGGAGGGTCAGGAATGCGGCACGGCCGACTCGGGCGGAACGAGGCCGACGCACGATGAAGTAGACGACGACGTAGGGGTGGTAGTGCGAGAACAGCCTCGCTGCGTAGCCGACAATCTCGCAGATCTGGGCGCACGAGGAAGAGTCAGTCGGGTCGAAGGAAGGGGAGGGAGGAGGAAGAGAGAGAGTGGACGGACGCAGCCAAAGACCATGAGGCCGCTGAAGGCGCGCGACTGCTTGAAGCGGGCGAGGATGGACAGGTAGTTGAGTGCGACGAGGCCGAACGAGACCAAGGCGATGGTGGCGAGTGCGCGCGAGGGGACGTAGCCATAGATGATGACGGACGACTCGCCGTCGGCCGGGTTGGGGTTGATGGGGCCTTTGTAGCCGCTCGACTCCATGGTCGTCGCTGAAGTCGGGTGAGAGCTGATGAAGAGAGCTTGGCGGAGTGGACGAGGTGGGAACGGCGAGGGCGCGGCGGACAGATGGACCGGGGTGCTCTGGTGGTGCTGGAGAGTACGGCGACCCAGTTGAAGGCCACTCTGAGTCGGTACAGAGTGAGGCGGACGAGGACGAGAGGTCCGTCCCGCCCGCAGCCTCATCGAGCCTCGCCCACGTTCGCTCTCACCGCGAGCCGACCTTGACACAGATCCGCACTCGAGCCACCATGCCCCGCACCTACGACCAGACCGACCCGAGGCGCCCGGCCAACGCCCTCCCCTACCGCTTCCCCGCCTCGTCCTCGACCCTCCCAGGTCCGTCTCGCTCTCTCTTCCCTGGTCCTGCTCTGCCCGTCCCAGGTGGACTGACACGGACTCTGCACCCACATAGAGCTCCTCTCGTTCGCGAGCATGCTCTGCAGCGGCCTCGCCATGCTCACCCGGTCAGCTCCTCCCCCACCCATCCCCCCGCCGCTTCTCTCTCTCTCCCTCCCTGACTCGCCTCTCGACGCACTCGCAGCTACGCCATCTGGCCCTGGTTCGGCCTCATCCTCGCCCTGAGCGGCATCCTCGGCCAGAAGAACCTCGGCGCGCAGAAGCAGGCGAGCGACCAGTCGAGCCTCCTCGGCGGCTACACGTCCCTCATGTTTGCCTCGACGTCCCTCATGTCCATCTGTGCGTCCCCGATCTCTCGAAGTACGGTGGGACGCGGCCACGTCGACGTCCGCTCACCCTGCCTCGACCCGCAGACTCGCCCATCCTCCTCGGCCAGGCCGTCAAGGCGGGCAACATCGGGTTCAGCATCAACAAGGGCCTCATCTACCTCCCTCGAGACCTCCCGACGTCGTAGCACTCGAGAGCGCAGCGTCTCGTGAAACCCGGTGGTCTTCTCTGTCCCTCTCGAGGCTCGCTCGGTCCGGTCCGAGAGAGAGAAAGCGCGCGTTACAGCCCAGGAGAACGAGAGCCCGAGTTCTTCTATCCGACACACAGGCTCCTCTACTTCTCGCTCGCCACCGCCGTCGCTGCCGCCGCGTGCCCAAAGTCGCGCTCGAGCCGCTCGACGGCCCTCCCAAGCGCCCGCCACCGCGTGCGGCGCATGCTGCCCTCGAGGAACACGCCCTCGGCGTTGACCTGGAACCGGAACGCCTGGTGGTCCTTGATCGTCGCCGTGATGCGCACGTAGAAGCCGAGGAGCGCGAGGTCGACTGGGCGCGAGGTCGACGACGACGAGGAGGCGGACGACGCTTTGCTGCGAGGCGCGCCGCTCGAGGCTGCGACGTCGAACAGCGACGCCGGCAGCGTCAAATCGGCGAGGCCGCTCACCATCTGGTTGCTCACGATCCAGTGGTGCGACGGCGCCTCGTGCTCCTCGTCGCCTCCCGTCCTGCTGCTGGTGCCGCTGCGACGCCGCCGCGCTGCGAGCGCGCCGACCCACCCGAGGTGCCACGGCCACGCCCTCGCAGGCATGATGGGCACTTGCCCGCCGTTGCTCCACGCGAGCTCGTCCATCCTCGCGAGCGTCGCGCGCACGAACGGGCGCGTGCGCGCCTTGTCGAGCGAGCGGCGGTGCGTCAGGGCGAGAGAACCGATCGAGGTCGTCGCGAGGGTCGAGAGCGGGATCGGCGAGGGCGAGAACGGGTACGGCGCGACGGCGTTGTGCGGGTACGACGCGAGCGAGAGGAGGTCGCGCAGGGCAAAGACGGGCGAGACGGCGGCGGCCGTGTGCGACGTCGCCTCGTCGGCGTGGACGGCCTGCATGCAGCGAGAGAGTGTCAGTGACGCTGCGAGAGAGGGCGTGCCCGAGAGAGAGAGAGAGAGTGAGCGCACCTTGAGCGCCCAAGCCGTGAGGACGTCGCCGGTCGACACCCACTCCTTGCCGCCCGTCTCGCGCCGCACCTCGGCCTTGACGCTGTCGACGAGGGCATCGACGGCTCGCCGGCTGAGGAAGACGTGCCGAGGCTCGTCGTGGTTGCGCAGCTTCTCCCACGCGTAGTTGGCGAGGAAGCACGCCACGTTCTTGAGGCTGCTCGCCGACACCCACCCGGCGAGGGCGTGCTTCGCCGCGCTCGACTCGACGTCGCCGTCGTCTTCGTCGCCCTCGAGCGCCACTGCGCCGCCGTCCAGCTCGCCGTCCCGGGTGCGCTCAGGCCCGCGCTTGATCGCCTCGAGCCCGACCGCGAGCACGTTGTCGCCCTGCGCGTCCATCGCGAGCGGCGGTACGGCCCACGCCTCGCCGTGCAGCTCGGCGCCGAGCGCGCGCACGGCCCACCCGAGCCCGGTCGCGTCGACGAGGCCGTGCGGCGCCGTGAGGCCGACGGCGACGACGTCGGCGAACAGGGTCGCGTGCACGGCGAGGAACGACGCGTGCGACTTGGCGTAGCCGGCAAAGGTCGTCGGGAGCGAGGCCGAGCGGAAGAAGGAGAGCTTGTGGGCGGGCTGGAAGGCGCAGGGGGACGAGGTGCGTTCGAGGGGTTCGAGGGGGGCCGAGAGCGAGGCGGCTTTGGCGTACGGCTTGGCGATGCGGGTAGACGAGAAGAGGAACGGCCTGCTCGTCGTCAGAGGCTCGTCGGGGACGTCGACGCCCCAGATGCCCTTCTGCGCGACGCGAGAGACGGGATGGTCAGGAAGAGGCTCGAGGAAAGAAGAGGACGGACTGGCTCACCTCCTTCTGCCACACGGCGTGGCCCTGCAGCAAGGGCCACTTGGCAACGACTCGACGCGTCGCGGCCTCGAGCTCGGCGAGGAGGGCCGTCCCGGCGTCGTCGCTCGCAGCGCCGGCGGGGCGAGCGAACACGTAGCCGCAGGTGATGCCCATGTCGGCGACGGCATTGTCGATGGGCGACAGCGGGACGAGCATCGTGTCGCTCGAGGGTCCAGAGGGAGCGGAGCGAGGAAGAGCAAGAGAGAGAGCCCTCGCGAGGGGAGAGAGCTCGCCGGAACCAGGCAGGGGTCGACGAGCCGAAGCGCGACGACAAGCGGGATCGCCCCACACCGAGCCCGACTTTCATACACACACAGCGTGCAGTGTTGCGGGGCGAGTGTTTGAACGTGGCGCGAGGGAGCTTTGGCGGCGAGTGCGGAGGTGAGAGAGCGATACCGCTTTGAGGAGGTGGAGAGGCGCACAAGGTCGAGAGGGACCCGGGCGGCGGTTGAGCGCTCGACAAGCGCACTCCAGCAGAGCGTGCAGCAGAGCGGACCGCGCTGGCCAACTCGCAGGGAGCTGTGCGTACTTGTCGGTGAGGATGACGAGAGGGCGGCGGGCTCGGCGGCGAGCCCCGCGCGCTCGACACGGGGCAGGGCCGGCCGTGTTCGCCCTTATCCCTGGCCTCTGACTGAGCAGATGGACCGCACGGCGAGTGCAGCGGGGGGAGCGGGAGAGAGAGCCGGACGGCGACGATCATCTCGCGGCGGACGCGAGGCCCAGCAGCGCAGGACGGGGGCGACGTTGGCTGTGCGGCAGCTGGACGGCCGAGCTTGTGCTGCTGCTTGCGCTGCTGATCGAGCCAGGCAGGCATGCGGACGGTGAGTGAGCAGGACGAGAGCAGTCATCACGCAAGCGACCGCTCGGCTTTCGCAACCACCGCGACGCCGACCGTGAGCCACACAGAGTGCTCCAGTTCGCAATCTCGCATCAGCCCACGCCAACCCACGCCTGAGCGCGCGAACACCGGCCCCGCTCCACCGCCTCGTTCCACCGCCTCACTCGACCTCGACCGCCACAACCTCGTCCCTCTCGGCCACCCAGAGCGACCCGGCCATGTCCGACACGGCCTACTACCACACCGTCGACCCGTTCCACTTTGCGCCTCAGTCGCCCCCGCCCTCGTCGTCCCTCGCTCACGGCCTGCCGCCGGCCTCGCTCGCCGTCCCGCAGAGCCAGATCTCGCCCGCCCTGTACTCGCCAGAGGTCGCCGTATCCTCTGCTTCGATCGCCCAGTCCATCGCCGACAACCTCGGGCCCAAGAGCCCGCTCCGTGTCCCGGACGACGCCATGGAGGGCGTCTCGGCCGCGCCGCCCGGTCACAAGACGACGGCGCCCGCGTCCCTCTCGAGCACGCCCGACCTCGTCCACCAGGCCAAGATGGACGTCGAGGACGACCACCACCGTCGCGGTCCGCCCCTGTCCGACACGCCCGGCGGCGACTGCCGCAACGTCTGCATCCGCCACGCCCGCATGGCCAACGGCTCGACCAACCTCATGCTCCAGAAGGTGCGCCCCCACAGCGCTCTCTCTCTGTGTCACACGCACATCCAGCGACCGAACCCTGACCTTGGACACCTCGCGCAGTCGCTCGAGGACCTCGCCCCGCACGAGCAGCAGGCCGTCAACACCGTGTGGAGCCTGTTCTCGTCGTCGCCCGCCCGCCGCCGCCTCCTCATCCTCCGCGGCCTCCTCACCATCGCGTGCCCGTCCCAGCTGTCGTTCCTCCAAGAAGCGCTCAGCCTCGAGATGCGCCTCGACCCGGTCGAGCTCCTGCCGCGCGAGGTGACGCTCAAGATCTTCGGCTACCTCGACGCCATCACGCTCGGCCGCGCCGCCCAGGTGTCGCGCGCGTGGAAGGGCATGGCCGACGACGACCTCCTGTGGCGCACCATGTGCGAGCAGCACATCGAGCGCAAGTGCGAGAAGTGCGGGTGGGGCCTGCCGCTCCTCGGCGAGCGCCGCCGCAAGGCCCGCCTCGCCATGAACGCGCTCCCGACCTCGCGCGCCGGCGAGACGAGCCGAGGGCGCGACAGCGACGTGCGCCGCATGCTCATGGACACGGCGACGTCGGCCATGCAGGCCCAGGTCGAGCACCAGCACTTGCACCACCACGGCGAGCCGTTCGACCCGTCGGCCGCCACCTCGTCGTCGTCGTCGTCGAGCGACATGCTCGTCGAGTCCTCGTCCGCCGCTGCCGCCAACGCCTCGTCGTCCGACTCGCACCGCCACAAGCGCTCCAAGACGAGCTCGCCCACCCCGTCGCGCCCGTCCTCCCCTCGACCGTCGCGCTTCGCCCCGTCGTCCACCGCCACCGCACCCGTCACCGAGCTCCCGCCGGCACTGCCGCTCACGCGGCCGTGGAAGCACGTCTACTGCGAGCGGCTCGCGATCGAGCGCAACTGGCGCCGAGGGACGTGCGCCGCGACGGTCCTGTCGGGCCACACCGACTCGATCACGTGCCTCCAGGTGGCCGAGGACCTGCCGCACCCGTCGTTCCCCGTCCTCATGACGGGCTCGTGGGACCGGTCGGTGCGCATCTGGAACCTCGAGACGGGCAAGGAGGTCGGCGTCCTGCGCGGCCACACGCGCGGCGTGCGCGCGCTCCAGTTCGACGCGCTCAAGCTCGTCACGGGCTCGATGGACTCGACGCTCAAGATCTGGAACTGGCGCACGGGCGAGTGCATGCGCACCCTGCGCGGCCACCGCGACGCCGTCATCTGCCTCACGTACGACAAGCAGCTCCTCGTTTCGGGCTCGGGCGACTCGACGATCCGGGTGTGGGACTTTGGGACCGGCGAGGTCTACACGCTCCGCGGCCACTCGGAGTGGGTCAACTCGGTCGCGCTGTGGGACTCGAAGGCCGACGGCGCGTGCGAGCCGTCGCCGTCCTCGCTCGATGCCGCCGCTCGAGCGAGCGCGAGCGCGAGTGCGAGTGCCGGTCCAGGCGGTGCGGCGACGAGCGCGGGCGACCTCGGCGCGCCCATCAGCAACCCGGAGCAGGCCAAGCAGTCGTCGATGGGCAAGTACCTGTTCTCGGCGTCGGACGACGCGACGATCCGCGTGTGGGACCTGTACTCGCGCACGTGCGTCCGCGTCCTGTCGGGCCACGTCGCCCAGGTCCAGAGCCTCAAGGTATACGTCGTCGGGCCGGGCGAGGACCAGGGCACGGCCGCGTTCCCCGCGTCGCTCCTCCAGCCGCCGGCGACGACGCCCGGCGTCGACGAGGCCGACCGCTCCGAGGATGCCGCAGGGCTCGGCGCCGGCGGTGCGCGCCCGAGCTGTACCGCCAACGAGCGCCTCGCCGCCGCTCCTCCCGCCTTCCCGGGCGCCGTCGGCGTCGGCGTCGGCGCTCCTTATGGCCACCAGCAGCAGCCCGACTTCGAGTTTGCGTCCGACAAGAAGCCCATGGTCGTCTCGGCGTCGCTCGACAACACGGTGCGCGTGTGGAACGTCGAGAGCGGCCAGTGCGTGCGGCAGCAGTTTGGCCACCTCGAGGGCGTGTGGAGCGTCGACGTCGACAAGCTCCGTATCGTGTCGGGCAGCCACGACCGCACCATCAAGGTGCGTCTCTCGCTTCTCCCTTCCTCCTCTGCGCTCGTCGCCGCGACGATGAGCAGGCACTGACTCTTTCGCCCTCCAGATTTGGGACCGCGACTCGGGCAAGAACCTGCACACGATCGTCGGGCACAAGGCGGCTGTGTGCGTCCCTCTCTCGCCCTCTCTTTCTCTCGGCGTGCACGGACCCTGACTCGCCGCCCGACCTTTCCCCTCTCCTCTCTCTCTCGCACTTGCAGCACGTCGGTCCTCCTCACGGATCAGTCGGTCATCTCGGGCTCGGACGACGGTGAGGTGCGCCTGTGGAGCTTTGCGCCCAAGGAGACGTTCTAGCGTCGTCTCGCTCGCACCCACTTTTCCCTTTCCCTCCCCGTCCCTCTTCTTTCATCAGTGCCCGTCCTGCGTGTTGCTTGCCAATCTAGACCTTTCGTTCCTCTCTCTCGGCGTCGAGCGAGAGTGCGAGTCGCAGAGAGAACTGATTGCGTGCGGCCAAGAGTGAGTACAACAAAGGATCCCGATCCTCCTCCCTCTCTCCCGCCTCGCGTCGTCACGCCTTCCTCGAGCGGCTCACCGTCCTCCCGCACCACCCATCATGCCCTTGAGCATGTCGGCCATGCCGCCCATGCCTCCCATGCCGCCCATGCCGCCCATGCCGCCCATGCCGCCCATGCCGCCCATCATCTGCTGCATCTGCTGCAGCGCGCCCGGGTTCGAGAGCATGTCGCGCGCGCCCGGCGGGAGCATGTTCTGCGCGCACGAGAGAGAGAGAGGGACGAGGGGAGAGGGGCGAGGAGAGGCGAGGCGCGAGGAGAGGAGGAGGGCGAGTGAGGGTTGGTTGAGAGGGGGAGGGTCCGAGCGGCGTCAGTGCTGCGTCTCTCGGGCTCGCTCACGAGCCGCCGCAGGACAGAGAAAGAGAGAGAGGGGGGCGCACCTGCATGGCGCGCATCTGCGACGGCGACAGCTTGGACAGGTCGGGCATGCCACCCGGTCCGAGCGGCGGCATGCCCGCCGGCATTCCGCCGCCGGCGCCTGGCCGTCCTGCGCCGCGCTGCGCGAGCTTGCCCATCCTGCGCGCGGAGAGACGAGTCAGTCATGGTCGGTGGCAGGCGCACGTGGCAGGCCAGGGGAGGAGAGCGAGAGGAAGGGTGGGAGGCGGGGATGGGAGGGAGAAACACAGAGAGAGGGAGCGCCCGACGCACATGCCGTTCTTGCCGCCCATGCGCTTGGCCATCTTGGAAAACATCTGGTGCTGCGCGAGGAGCTGCTCGACCTCCTCGACGCTCGTGCCGCTGCCCCTCGCGACGCGCAGCACGCGCGCGTTGGGCTCGCGCCCGCCGAGCGGGTCGACGTCGGCGCTCGCACCCGCGCCGTCGTCGTCGTCCGAGTCGTCCGAGTCGGGCGCGCCCTTGGCGGGCGACGTTGCGGCGACGGCCTTGCCCTTTCCTGCGGCGGCGCCGGCGCCAGCGACGGCGACCTTGCCCTTGCCCTTGCCCTTGTCGGCCTTGGGCGCCTTTGGCGGGTCGCGGAAGACGCTCCCGTCCGAGTCGAGCTCGGCCGTCGTCATCGAGTCAAAGATGAAGGCGATGCGCTTCATGCGCTTGGACGCCTCGGCCTCGGTGTCGCCGCCCATGAGGCCGCTCATGCCCGGGATCATCGACGTCAGGTTCGACAGTGGGCCCCTGCGAGCGTGTGTGTGCGAGTCAGTGTCACTGTGGGCGAGGAAGGGGGAGGAAAGAGGAAAGAGGGGACGGACATGTTCATGATGGTCTGCATCTGCTCCTTGAGGTCGCGCACGGTGAATTCGCCCTTCTCGAGCTTCTTCATCATGTTCTCCTGGCGCTCCGGGTTGGCCATGGCCATCTCCTGGGCGCGCTCGACGAGCCCCTGCATGTCGCCCATGCCGAGCATCTTGCTGATGAAGGGGCGCGGCGCGAACTTTTCGAGGTCGTGCAGGTGCTCGCCCGTGCCGATGAAGATGATGGGCGTGTGGGTCGCGGCGACACTGCAGGCGGCGAGAAGATCGTGTCAGTCGAGGACCCCCATGAAGGAGAGGAGAGGAGGAGGGAGAAAAGGGGATCGAGCGCACGCAGAGATGGCTCCTCCTCCCTTTGCGTGGCCGTCGAGCTTGGTGACGATGATGGCGCCAAAGTTGCTCGCCTCCTTGAACGCCTCACTCTGCGCCTCGGCGGCCTGGCCAATGGCGCCGTCGAGGACGAGGACCGTCATGTCGGGCTCGACGGCGTCCTGGATCTGGCACATCTCGTCAAACAGCTCCGACTCTTGGCGGTGCCGCCCGGACGTGTCGACAATGATGACGTCGAACCGCTCGGCGCGGAACTTGTTGACGCCCTGGAGCGAGATCGAGACCGGGTCCGTCTCGGTGTACCTGCGAGGCGAGGAGCACGAGGGGCGACGCGAGGCGAGGAGGCACAGGGCAAACAGTCAGTACACGGGCAACGAGCGCAGAGGCGCGAGAAGAAGAGGAGGCCTCGACGCACGAGCCAAAGAAGGGGACCTTGGCGCGCGTCGCGTTCTGCTTGAGCTGGTCGAACGCTCCGGCGCGGAACGTGTCGGCACACACGAGGGCAACCTTGAGGCCCCGGCGCTGGTAGTGGGTCGCGAGCTGTGCGGGTTTGGTAGGAGAGAGTGTCAGAGTCGGTAGAGAGGGAAGGAGGGAGGGGCGGGGAGGGAAGGGGCGAGCGCACCTTGGTACAGGTGGTCGTCTTGCCCGCCCCTTGAAGGCCGACCATCATGATGACCTGCGTCTTGCCCTTGACCGGCTGCGCGCGAGCGAGAGAGGTCAGGTCTCGAGGGTTCCGAGAGTGGTCGAGGGTGGGCGAGCGCGAGGGACGTACGTTGAAGGCTGGCGGTGCGTCGTCGCCTGGGTCGACGAGTGCGACGAGCTCGTCAAAGATGGCCTGCGTTCAGAGGGAGCAGGGTGAGCGTCGAGTGCGTCGTTTCGAGAGAGAGAGAGGGAGGGAGGGTGGGGGGAAGGGGGCACGGGGGCGCACCTTGTGGATGAGCTGCTTGGCCTTGTTGCCGGCCATGGCGTCGTGATCGGTGCCCTGCTTGTGCTGGATCTCCTCGAGCTGGGGGAGGACCTGGCGCTTTACGCGCTCGCGGGTGCGCTTGACGAGGAGGACGTTGACGTCTGATTCGAGGAGGGCCGAGCAGACCGTCTTGAGGACGGCATCGAGGGCCTGTGGGTGTGCGAGTCGGGCATCAGGGTGTGTCGCTGTGGCCGAGAGCGAGAGTAGCGACGAGGAGAGGGAGGAGAGGGAGAAGGGGGGGCGCACCTGCTCGTCGATGGTGGACGAAGCCGATACGGACTGGAGGGCCGAGTTTAGCCTGCGTCCCAAGTCTTGGAGGACCATGGCAGTGCTCTGTAGCTGTGAGGGACAAGAGCGAGGACGAGGTTGCCCCGCGTCGCCCTCGTCCTCATCTCTCCCTCTCGCTCCTCACCGGCTCCCGCTCCAGAGGCACTGCTGCCTCTCCAGCCTCACTCTGCCATGAGTGCAGTCGCCTCTCCAACCGACGACAACCCGCCCCACCGCGACGACGAGGCCATGGAGGTCGACCAGGACCAGGCCGACCAGGAGGGCCCTCAACAGGGCGACGACGACGACGATGACGACGACGAGGGCATCGACCTGCGCCCAGGTGCCGCTTCTCCGGGCGACAGCTCCGAGGAGGAGGCCACCGACTCGGAGGAGGAACGCGAAATCCGCAAGGGTCCGTCCCACTCTCTCTCTCTCCCCCACGCAGCCCCAGCCCCATACTGACACGCTCCTGCACCGACAGGCTTCATCGTCGACGAGGACGAGTCGGCACGCCGTCGCCGCCGCAAGCACAAGGAGCGCCGCAAGCACCGCGACGCCCGAGACCCAGACGCAGACGCAGACGGCGACGACACCAAGAGCAGGAAACGCCGCAAGGGCTCCGACGATGGTTCGTCCTCACTCTCATCCGCCTCATCTCTCGACGAGAGCGCAACCTGACCCTGTCCCGCACCTGCCCGCAGAAGACGCAGCGCTCGACGAGGACGACCTCGAGCTCCTCCAGGAGAACATGGGCATCCGGCTCACGAAGCCCAAGGGCGTACGTCCTCGACTCCCCCTCTCGTGCCCCACTACGACCGACGGAACTGACTCTCTCGCCTCGTCCCGCCAGAACAAGCTCCGCCGCTTGCGCCGTGCCGGTCCCGCCTCGGGCTCGGACGACGACTCGCCCGCCGGGCGTCGCTCCGGTCGCGGCCACGACGACGGCGGCGACCTGCAGGACATCTTTGCCGACGACGACGACCGCGCCGGCGACGATGGCGGCCTCGAGGGCATGTTCGGCGCCGACGAGATGGCGGGCTTCATCGAGGACGACACGGACGACTCGCGGTCCGAGGCCGGCGACTCGGACGAGGACGACGAGGCGCGTCGTCAGCGCAAGCGCGACGCCAAGCGGCGCGAGAAGGGCGAGCGCAAGAAGCGCCGCGGCGCCGGCCTCGGCATGGGTCGCGTCGAGGGCATCACGCAGGAGGCGTGGCAGGAGGTCGCAGAGGTGTTTGGCAACGGGCAGGACTACGCGTGGGCCATGGAGGACGACGACGAGGACGACAAGGACGGCAAGAAAGAGCTCAAGGACGTGCGTCCCCTCTCTCCCCCTCTCGACGTCGCCGCGCCCAGGCTCACTCGCCCTACCGCCCGCCCGACCGCAGATCTTTGAGCCGAGCGAGATCGCGTCGCGCATGCTCACGGCCGAGGACGACAAGATCCGCCGCCTCGACGTGCCCGAGCGCCTCCAGGTCGCGTCGGCCGGCCTGCCCGCGTTCTCGTTCGACGACGACGCCAACCTCGTGCCGCTCATCCCCGAGGCCGAGATCCCGACCGCGGCACGGTGGATGTCGGAGCGCCTCGGGCGCGACATCAACGAGGCGTACCTCCTCCAGGACGCGGCGACGGGCCTCCTCCCGCCGCTCCACAACGAGTTCCTGACGGCCGTCGAGAGCGTGCTCCGGTTCCTCAACGTCGACCTCCTCGAGCCGCCGCACATCTGGCACCACCGCGCCGACTACCTGTTCCACGCCCCGACCGGCGCGACGCCGCACGCGCTCCTGCACGAGGACCACCTGTGGCGCCTGTCGGCCCTCAGCATCAAGTACCGCGCGTTCCTCGCGCGCCGCACCGAGCTCGTCGCGCTCGTCGACCGCCTCGGGTGCGGCCACGACGCGCACGTCGCCGAGCTCGTCGACCAGGCCCAGACGGTCGAGGACGTCATGGACGCGCTCGCGTGGGTCGCCCTCATGTTTGGCGAGGGCACGGCGGCGGGCCTCGCGCAGCGCGCCAAGAAGGAGGAGGAGGACGAGGACAGGGCGAGGAGGGCGCTCGAGGAGGGCGGCGACGCGGCGGCGGCGGCGGGCGAGGACGCCGAGGCTCGTGCGCAGCGCGAGAGGGAGAACGACGAGGCGGCGGCCAAGCGGCAGAAGCGCGCCGCGAGGGAGAGCGAATACGAGCTCGCCAAGAAGAGCGTCGTCAAGCGTCTCGCAGAGGTGCGTCCTCTTCTCTCGTTGTCGTTGTCGTCGTCGCTCAAGGCGCCCGAGCCTGACCTTTCCTCCTCCCCTCTGTCTCTCTGTCCCGCCGCAGCTCACCAACATCTCGGTCGCCGAGTTCGCGCTCGACGTCTCGTCGGGCACCAAGACGCACTTTGTCGACGACCCGGCGCAGACGCCCTCGCTCCTCGCCAACGAGTTTGTCGTCGAGCCCCAGTTCGCGACGCCGCAGCGTGCTCTCGCCGGCGCCCGCACCATCCTCGTCACCGAGCTCGGGACCGAGCCCATCCTGCGCCGCGAGGCGAGGCGGTACGTGCGCGACTTTGGCGTCGTCAACGTTGCCGCGACCAAGGCCGGCGAGCAAAAGATCGACGCCCTCAACCCGTTCTACGTCCGTCCCTTTCTCTCTCTCTCTCCCACACCCTGGGTGCGTCAAACTGACTCTGTGCGTCGCCCGGACAGACGTTCAAGTACATCAAGAACAAGCCGCTCAAGGAGTACCTGCGCTCGCCGCAATGGGCCCAGATCCTCGCCGCCGAGGCGGAAGGGCTCGTCACGGCGTCGATCGACCTCCCCGAGTCGGCGTACCACCGCCTCGTCGCGTCGCTCGGCAAAATGTACCTGTCGGACTACGCGTCGGCGCTCGCCGAGGAGTGGAACGACCTCCGCAAGGGCATCCTCGAGGAGGCCGTCGCCAACGTGCTCGTGCCTCAGGCCGCAGCATGGGCTCGCAACATGCTCAAGGAGGAGTGCGAGGACTATGTCGGCGACCTCTGCAAGCGCAAGCTCGAGTCGGTGCGTCCCTCGTTCTCTTTCCCTCCCCCTCCCTTTCTTCCTGTGCCTCGCTCGTCTCCCCCTCTCTCCTGTGACGCCGAGAGCAGTGTCACTGACGGTCGGCCACTTGCAGCGTATCGACGTCGCGCCCTGGTGCCGCGCCGACTCGACGATGCAGCCCGGCGACACGCCCTCGGTCCTCGCCCTCTCGAACGGCCGCGGCGACCCTCGGCGCGACTCGATCATCGGCGTCTTCTTCGACGGCGACGGCCACTTCCGCGAGCACTTTACGCTCGACCGCCTCATCGACATGGACGACGCACAGCGCGACTCGTTCGCCGAGTTCCTCAAACGTCGTCGCCCGCAAGTCGTCGTCGTCGGCGGCTACAGCCCGGCCGCCGTCCAGCTCCTCGAGGACTTTCGCCGGTTCGGCGGCGAGGTGGCGCGCGAGATCGTCGAGGCCGGCGACGCCGATGACGACGAGGCCGACCAAGGGCTCCCGTACGAGCAGGCCCAGGAGCGCAAGAGCCACCGCGCCGCGTTCGAGTCGACGTTCGTGTTCGACGACGTCGCGCGCATCTACCAGCACTCGCAGCGCGCGGCGCAGGAGTTCACCGAGCTGAGCACGCTCGGCAAGTACTGCGTCGGCCTCGCGCGGTACGCGCAGAGCCCGCTCAACGAGTACGCCGCGCTCGGCGCCGACCTGTCGGCGCTCACGTACGACCCGAACCAGAAGTACGTCGCCAAGGACAAGGTGTCGCTCGCGCTCGAGCGCGCCCTCGTCGAGGTGACGAACCGCGTCGGCGTCGACCTCAACAAGGCCGTGCGCAACCCGTACTACGCCCACTTGCTCCAGTACGTGTCGGGCCTCGGCATGCGCAAGGCCGACGCGCTCGTCAAGAAGATCGCGTCGACCCAGAACGGCACGCTCGCCAACCGCCAAGGGCTCATCACGCACGGCGGGTTCGGCAAGCAGGTCTTCCTCAACGCGTCGGGCTTCCTCCGCATCCGCCAGGACGACCTCGCGGCCGACCTCGCTCGTGACGAGGACGACGGCCAAGACGCTCCCGACGTCCTCGACGACACGCGCATCCACCCCGAGGACTACGACGTCGCGCGCAAGATGGCGGCCGACGCCATGGAGTACGACGAGGAGGACCTCGAGGGCGCCTCGCCGTCCAAGGCCGTCGCCGACCTGCTCGAGGACGACGTGCGCAAGCTCAACGAGCTCGCGCTCGACGAGTTCGCCGAGGAGCTGTCCAAGGTCCTCCAGCAGCCCAAGCGGCTCACGCTGTACAAGATCCGCGAGGAGCTCCAGAACCCGTTCGGCGAGAAGCGCCACCAGTTCATCGCGCCGACGGCCGAGGAGCGCTTCACCATGTTGACGGGCGAGACGCGCAAGACGCTCGACGGCGGCCTCATCATCCCTGTGCGCGTCCTCCGGGTCTCGCCCGAGGAGGCCGTCATGGTCAAGCTCGACTGCGGCATCACGGGCCACATCGCCGCCGAGCTGCGCACCGACGGCGCCATGCACACCAAGCTGCGCCCGGGCCAGACGCTCCAGGCCATGGTCATGGAGGTCAAGTACGACGTCCTCAACGTCGAGCTGTCGACGCAAGAGTCGCTCATCGAGCACGGCGACCGCGACCGTCGCGTCGTCAAGCCCGACACGTGGTTCGACCACGAGCGCCAGGCGGCCGAGGCGCGCGTTGTCCAGAACTCGCAGCAGCGCCAGACGGGCGGCAAGGTCAAGCGCGTCATCCACCACCCCAACTTTCACGACGTGTCGGCCGGCGCCGCCGAGCAGCTCCTCGCGAGCATGCAGCGCGGCGACTGCGTCATCCGCCCCTCGAGCCGCGAGGACCACATCGCCGTCACGTGGAAGGTCGACGAGGGCATCTACCAGCACCTCGCCGTCCACGAGCTCAACAAGCCCAACGAGTTCTCGCTCGGGACCCAGCTGCGCGTGTCGGACAAGCACCGGTACTCGGACCTCGACGAGCTCATCGACGCCCACGTCAAGCAGATGGCGCGCAAGGTGTCGGAGCTCGCTGCGCACGACCGCTTCAAGGGCTCCAAGGACCACCTCAGTGCGTCCTCCGCTCTCTCTCTCTCTCTCTTTCTGTCGCCGAGGGCCCGCACTGACCTCGTCTTGCCTCCCTCTCTCGCTCTCTCGCGCTCTCTCTCTCTCTCTCTCTCTCTCTCCCTCTCTCCCTCTCTCCCTCTCTCCCTCTCTCCCTCTCTTCCTCTCTCGCTCTCTCCCTCGCAGACTCGTACCTCCGCAACTGGACGCAGGCCAACCCGGGTCGGTCGATCTACGCGTTCGGGTGGGACGACGACCGTCGCAAGGCCGGCCAGGTCGTGCTCGGGTTCCGCGCCAACGAGAAGAGCGACATCCACTACTGGCCCGTCCTCGTCGTGCCCGAGGGCTACATGCTCCGAGGCGACGTCCACGGGGACGTCCAGTCGCTCGTCAACGCGTTCAAGATCGCCTACGCCGCGTCCATGTCGGGAGGAGCGGGCCGTGCGCCAGCAGTCGGCGCCGGCGGCGCAACGGGTCGGTACGCCGCTCCCGGCGGCAACACGCCCAACCTCCTGTACGGCACGGGCGGCGGGCGCACCCCGGCCTACGCCGGCGCCGGCGGGCGGACCCCGGCGGGCCTGTACGGCGCCGGTGGCGCCGGGAGCGGCAGGACGCCCAACCCGTACGGCATGCAGCAGCCGCCACCAGGCGTCGTCGCCGCCATGGGCGGGCGCACGCCCAACCCGGCGTACGGCGGCGGGCGCACGCCGAACCCGTACGGCGGGCCGCCGCCGCCGGTGTACGGCTACGGCGGCGGGTACGGCCAGCCGTGAGGGTCGCCGTCGAGCTGCTCGAGGCGTTCCTTCTCGATACCCCCTTCCTCCCCTCGCGCACCCTCTTCTCTCGCCTTCCCTCGCACGTTCTCCCTCCCTCCCTCGTACCCTCGAAGCATAAAAGGAGGCCGACCCGGCTTGTTGCGTAGCAGTTCCTCTCTCTCGTCGTGCGTCTCCTCCTCCCTCCTCTCTCCCTTTGTGTCCCTCGTCGCCGTCGTTCCTCTGCATTGTACACGTACCTCGAGCGACATGTGCGAGCGAGACTCTCGTGCGAGGAAAGCCGGTCTGTCGCCTGGTCGTAGCTGCACGAGGCTCGAGCGCTCGCTCTCGCCCTCGCTCTCTCTCTCTTCTCTCTTGCTCTCCTGCTCGTTCGCGGTCAAGGATGAATACGTTGCTCCATGCGAGATATGAGAGCTGTACAACAAAGTGGCCCGCTCGTGCGCGGGCGCCCGCATCTACCTCGCCCTGAGAGTCGCGAGGCTGATTTTCCTCATGCGCGAGGCCTTGCCGCCCTCCCTCCCAGACTTGAGCGACGCCGCCGCCGGGACCGAGCTCGCCGCCTGGACGTACTGCTGCTGCTGCTGGGGCGGGGCCGCACCGGCGCGACGAGCGTGCGACGGCGCGACCGTGGGCGGCGGCGCGAGGGCCTCGAGCTCGCTCGCAAAGTCCTCCCACGAGATGAGGCCGCCGTGGTCCCTCTCGGCGTCCGAGTCGTCGTCGTGCGGCGCCTGCGCACCGAGAGCGACGCGTCGCCTCGACGCAGGCAGGTCGGCCTCGAGCTCGCGCTCGAGGGCCTGAGCGTGCTCGTGCTCGTCGAGCTCTCGCGGCGCGCCTGCCGCGAACCGGCGCCCTTTGCCGGTCGAGAGCGCTGCGGCGCCGGCGGGGAGCGGCGGACCCGAGCCGCGGCGCGACGACGAGGCCGTGTCGGTGTCCGAGGGCGCGGTCGATGACGTGGCGACGCTCCACCTGAACGAGTTGGCCTCGAACGACGACGCGGCCGACGACGACGTCGTCGAGTAGTGCGAGTCGCGCGAGAGCGTGCTGCGCATGGCGTGCGAGCGCGCCGACGACGAGGACGGGTTCGCCGGGCTCGAGGCCGGGGTCGACACGAACGAGGCGAGCGACGACGTGTTGGAGCAGGTCGACTGGCGCGCGAACGACGAAAAGGTGCGGTTCGAGCGGATCGAGGGCGCCGGCGAGCCGTGCTCGGACGAGGCCGAGAAGTGGGCGGCCGGCAGGGGCGGGAGAGGAGGTGCGTCGGCCGCGCTCGGGCGCCGGGTCGCCATGCTGCGCATCGACGTGCTCGACTTCTTGCGCTCCATCGTCGGGAACGGCGCGACACGGCGGTGCGGGAACACGTCGTGCGCGGCCGTTGCCGTCGCGCCGCTCGTCGCCGAGTGCGCCGAGCGCGCCGACTGGTCCGTCGCGGTGCGGTGCAGCTCGAGGTTCTGCGCCGTCACCTGCGGCGGGCGAGGGAACGCGCGCTCGGTCGGGAAGATGTCGGTGCGGAGCGTGCGCAGGCTGACGGCCGACTTGGCCGCGCGCAGCTGGGACCGGGCGGGACGAACGGGCGGTGCGGCCGTCTCGATCGGCGGGAGGGTGCCGTCGTGCGAGTAGGCCTCGAGGATGGCGTCGATGTCGAGGTCGGCGAGGTCCGTCTTGGTGAACGAGATGCGGCGCGAGCGGCGAGGGTGGGAAGGTCGCAGGGTCGAGGTCGATGAAGAGGCGACGACGGCGCGGGCGACCATGCGAGAGGACCTGGAGGGACACTCGAGGGGTCAGTGACTGCTCGTCGACACGGTCGCGGACAAGAGAGAGATAGGGGCGTACGAGGGACCTGCGGTTGCGCTCGTTGGCTCGCGGGCGAACGGGGCCGAGCGGGTCGGCTTGAGCTTGAGGGGCGATGTGCGGTCGCCGAGCTTGCTCACCTCGTCCTCGAGCTGGTCGAGCAGGTCGCGGCAGCGCTGCTCGTCGTCGGACGTGGTCGACGCGGTCCACAGGCTCGTCTGCGACGACGAGGCCTCGGCGGCGAGGTGGCCGCACGACGAGTACGGCGACGCGTGCGCGTCGACCCAGTGTTGCGAGGTCATGGACGACGTGCTGGACGCGGGCGAGACGGTCCAAGGTGAGGGCGACGAGGCAAAGTCGGCCGGGTCGAAGAACGGGTACGAGGTCGAGGCGGCGAGCATGGCGAGGGGGAGGAAAGGGAGGGAGCGCGGTCCGGCCTGCTGCTCTGTGTCGGTGATGCACGCGTGTGCGAGTCGGGTCGTCGAGGCTTGGGGCGAGGTGTCGGAAGGCGAGAGGGAGGAGAGGCGACGACGGGCGGGCGGGGCGAAAGGTTGAGGAGCGCGCAACGGGTTGGCTGGCTAGCGCGTTCCGACACGAGGCACCTGGAGCCGGGTCGGTAGACGGCGTCCGGCGAAGGAGGCGAGGTGCAACGGCTCGGCGTGCGTGGGTCGAGCGGCGAGGACGAGGAGAGTCCGGCGGAGACGGCGGGCGGGGTGGGCGACGGGGCGAGAGGTGTGTGCGGTGCGGCAAGCTGCTCAGCTCTTTCGAGGGCGGCACAGTGGTGCAACAACGAGCGAGGCGAGCGAGCTGTGCGCCGGCCGTTGAGCGACTCGGCCGTTTGTGCGGGGTCAAGCATCGCGCGATCCGCCTCGCGTCGCGTCTCGACCCTCGCTCACACTCCTTCTCGAGTCGTTGCGCGCCGCAGCGACCGTGCACCTCTCTCTCTCCAGAGTGCAAAGCTGTCCGGCCGCACCTCGATCGCGCCTCGAGAGAGCGATGCGCGAGCGGGGAGTGATCGCTTACGTTTGATTACAAACCGGGCGGAAGGTCGAATACGAACCCGCGCAAAGGGCTCCAGCGCGTCCACCGCAAGCTGCCGAGCTCGAAGCACGGACAGCGACGGATGGCTCTCCTGCAGGCGAGCAACAGTCGAACACAGCTCGCGGTCCGCCTCCTCTCGCACGTTGAGAATCTGCTGCGGCGTGATCCGGTGCCCGAGCGCTGTGACGGCACCTCGTGCTCGTCGCCGGACCGTGTGCTCGGTGACGAGGACCTCGTTGACCGCTCGACGAGGCGATGCACTCTTCTCGCAACGAGCCGGCGAAGAAGAAGCGGTGGGCAAGAAGAGCCGGTTGTCGAGAACTCTCTCTCGGCGCGCACGAACGGGTCGGTATCGACGGCATCGGGTTGCACAGGCACAGAGAGAAGAGGCAAGAGTGCAAGAGTGTACATTCTGCGGTTGACGAGAGAGGTCAAAGCATGTCGAGGGAGAGGAGAGGAAGAGAGAGGAGGACGCACTGAGGCAAGCGGAAGAGAAAGCGGACCTCGACGACGACAGACGGCACGCCGCACCGGCACAGCTCACTCCATGTCTCCCTCCGACTCGGCGTAGCCCTCGCCGTCGCCCTCCTCATCGTCGTCGCCCGCATCGTCGCCCTCGCCGCCGACGACAAGGCCCGGCAGGGCGCTCGCGCTCGCTGCAGCCGCACTGGCCTTTGCGCCGCCGCCGCGCTTCTGCGCGCGCTTGCCAATCGAGCGCTGGTGCTCGCGGTACTTGGCGAGGTAGATCTTCATGACTTCGGCGTACATCTCGAACCCGAGCGTCGACATGGCGAACAAGATGTCCTCGCCGTTGATCGTCTTGCGCTTCTCGACCGCGCACCGCTCGGCCGCCTCGGACGTGATGAAGCTGATGAACTCGGACGTGCACTCCTGCACGCACTCCTTGGCGTCCTTCGACACCTTGGTCGTCTCGGGGAGGCACTTCTTCATGATGCGCCCGACGTTGGCGATCGGGAGGTAGCGCTGTCGGATGAACGTCGAGTGGTCGTTCGAGGGGATAGGTGGGCAGGCGAGATGCGGCGGTGCGAGAGGGGAGAGAGGGAGAAAGCGAGGTCAGCTCCGACGACCGAGCCGAGGAGGAGGAGGGGAAGAGGGGAGAGAGGGGACGCACGTCCTGCTCCTTGTACATCTCGACCTCGTGCTCCTCGATCTTCTTCTGCTCGACGATCCTCAGGCCGCGCGGCTGCTCGTCGCCCGCCTCAGGGACGACAGCGAGGGCCGCAGGTCGGAGGGGCGGCAGCTGCCCCTGGGCGTCCTGCTCCATCGCTGTGCGAGTGACGTGGGCCGTGGCAGGTGCTGATGAGGTCGGGGGTGCAGCGGCGTGCGCTCGTGGAGCTGGGCGAGAGGTGAGCGCTGTGGGGGAATGCGCGAGCTGATGAAGCCGGGTGGTTGGTCGAGGTTGCCGCGTCGTCGCTCGCTCAGGGTGCTCGGCCGGCAGCTTGAGTCGGTGTACGACAGCTATCTGAGCAGCGTGCGCCTGTCTACAAGCTCTCTCGAGAGGCGCGAGTGCTCCTCGCCTCGAGCCGCGAGCGAGCGACCTCGCGCCGCTCTCTCCCCCTGTCCTCGGCTACAGCGCGGCGTCTGTCGACCTTGACCGCTGCCTGCTGCTCTCGTGCACCCCCTGCGCTGTACGCGACCGCCTCTCGATGCGGGCGGGGCCCGAGCCAACGTGCTTCTTCTCGCGCGAGCTTCCCTCTGAGACGGCGCTAAGTTACTCAAAGATCAGGCTCGCTCGCCGACGCGGTGCAGCTCAGGAGCGCGTTGTGCTTCTCCTCCTCGTCCGACCCCTCGACTGCTGCCCGAGCGCCGCCTCCGCCGAGCAGCGCACGCACCCTGCGCCCATCCGCGCTCACGCCTTCACCCGCCTTCGTCTCCCTCTCGCCTCCATTCACCTCGCTCTCTCCTCGACCGGGCCGGACCCGAAGAGCACTGCGCTCTCTGCCGAGCAGCGCCTCTCGCACGCCGCATCCTGTCGCACGCGCTGGTCGCCTGCGCCCCCGCCCCTCGCCGTCCTTCCACCTCCCACGCCCCGACTCGCACCGCACCCATGGCCGTCGCACCCGCGCAGGCCGCCGCGCGCATGAGCTGGACGCACACCAGCCTCGCCGAGCTCGCCATCGAGGACATGCTCGAGGCGTGGGACTGGGCAGGGCAAGCCGGCTTCGTCCCGCACCACGACGAGCCGGCTGTCGGCGCGGCGGCGACGACGGCACCCAGGTCGCGGTTGCCGCGCACCTCGTCCCTCATGCAGCTTGCAGTCGGGCCTGGCGCGGTCGCGCAGCCGGGCCAGAGGGACGCGCGCTCGCGAGCGCCCTCGTCCTCCTCCTCCAACGCCTCGCCGGTCGAGGCGCTCGACCCGGGCTTCGACTCGTTCCACCGCGCACCCACACCCTCGGGCATGCCCGCACTGCCCCCATCCTCGCCACCGCCCCACCACGAGCTGCCGACAAGCACGAGCAGCGACCTCGTCTCGCTCGACGACATCTTTGGCGCGGCGACAGGTCGCTCGTCGCCCTTTCCGACCCTCTCGTCTACGACCCACCTCCCTACTTCCGCACCTCCACGACCGTCGGGCCTGCTCAAAAACGTGCGCGCTCTCGCCGAGCGCCTCGACGCCAACCTCCCTCCCGCACCCGTCCTCGCCGCCTCGCTCCCTCTCCGTCGCACGTCCACCCTCCCGCACCACGACCTCGTCCTTCCGTCGCTCCGAGCAGCGCCTCGATCGCGAGCGGGTCGACCGGCTCGGACTCGTTCTCGGGCGGGTCGGGCTCGAGCACGTCGACAGCGCGCGCCGAGAACCGGCCGCTCGCCATGTACCCGCGGCCGCCGCCTGCGCCGAGGGGCGCGCAGCAGTACCCGCGGCCGCCGCCGTCGCCGAAGGAGAAGAAGGGGCGCAAGGCGGTGCAGGGCGGGGCAGCGAGAGGGCTCGGCGAGGAGGACGAGGAGGGACCGGCGTCGGCGGCGAGGAAAGAGGGCGCGAAAGGCTGGAGAAGCGGGCTTTCGGTGCGTGGAGGGTCATCGCTGAGATAGCGCAAGCAGGCTGCAGTACCGAGTGACCTCCCGCAACCTGGTTCCGCGAGCGAGAGTTGAGCGGGAAAGTCGGAACGAGGAGGAAAACGCCGCGGCCTCGCCTCGCCATCGAGCGGGGGGCTGTGGGCGACGCTCGAGCTTCAGGGCCGACTGCAGTCTCAGTCAAGAGCACGCTGCAGGAAGAGCGAGAGCGAGAGAGGAGGAGCGAACCTGCCGAGCGGGGGAGACCCTCTCGACCTTTTCCCACCCACGATGCAGCTCTCGACGCTGCTGCTCGCGCTGCTGCCAGCACTCGCAGCTGCGAGCCCGACCCTCGACAAGTACCGCGCCCTGTCCAAGAAGAGCGGTGGGCTCCTGTCGCTGTCGACGCAGCAGTTCGACGAGTTGACGGGCCCGCAGCGCGACTACTCGCTCACGGTGGTCCTGACGGCGCTCGGGGCACAGTACAAGTGTCAGCCATGCCAGTGCGTCCTCTCTCCTCCCAGCCTACAGGCGGGAGGCGGCCCACTGACTCTCATCTCCTCCTCTCGCAGGCTCCTCCAGCCCGAGTACACGGCGCTCGCCAAGCAGTGGAACAGCGCGCGCAAGGGTGACGGCGAGGACCACTTTTTCGCCTACGTCGACTTTGCCAACGGGCCCGAGGTGTTCCAGCGAGTGCGTCTCCCCACCTCCTCCTCCTCCTCCTTCTCGCGCGAGCGGAAGCAGAGCTGACCGGCTGGCCCTCACCGCCTTCGCAGCTCGGCCTCCAGACTGCGCCGACGTTCCAGCTGTACATGCCGACCGAGGGCCCGCGCAAGACGAGCAAGTTGGGCGCGGACGCCATCGACTTTGGCCGGACGTGCGTCCACGCTCCCCTCGTCTCCCACGGTCCAGCAGCATCAGCGCGCACGTGCTCGAGACTGACCCGATGTTGACCTGGCCGCAGTGGCTTCAAGGCCGAGTCGATCGCGTCGCACCTGCGCACCAACGCCCGGCTGCCCTCGCTCGAGTACCGCCGCCCGGTCGATAAGGCCAAGGTCGTCAAGACGGGCGTGTACCTCGTCGGCGGCATCATCGCGGCGTGGAAGCTGTGGCCCGTCCTCGGCCTCATCCTCACGCGTCGCTACATCTGGTCGGCCCTCAGCCTCGTTCGTCCACCTTTGCCCTCTCTTTCACTACCGCCGAGGACTGGTCCTGACGCAGCCCGCTTCCTCCAACAGTTGATCATCCTCTTCATGACGTCGGGCTACATGTGGACCCAGATCCGCCACCCGCTGTACGTCCAGGCCGGCCGGGACGGCCAGGTGACCTACATCGCGAGCGGGTACCAGAGCCAGCTCGGCGCCGAGGTGCACATCGTCAGCGCTCTCTGTGCGTCCCCTCTCACTACCCGACGACGCTCGTGGCCCTTGTACTGACCTCCCTCGTCGTACGCAGACGGCGTCCTCGGCTTCTCGGTCTACGCGCTCGCGTTCCTCGTCCCGAAACTCGAGGACGCGACGCGCCAGCGCCTCGCCATCTACGTCTGGACCGGCGTCTTCTTCGTCATGGCCGGCGTCCTCATGAACGTCTTCCAGATGAAGCAGCCTGGGTGTGCGTCCGGATTTCGGCCTCTCGTCTTTCCTCGCTCCTCGGCGTCGCTGCGGGCGACCGCGGGAGGCCATTCTCCCCTCATGCGCAGCGTACTCACGACTCGTCTGTCTCACGCGCGCAGACCCATTCCGCATCTTCTGAGCGAGCTAGACCGCCGTGCGAGCGTAGAAAGGACCGCTCGCGTGCGAGCGAATCGGAAACGAGGTCTGCCGAGCTGTTCTTGGTGTACAGCGTGCGAGAACGAGCGACTCGAGAGCGTGAGCTTCTAGACAGGAAAGACTGCGAGCGCGTGAGAGCCGTTGCGTCGTGCGGAGGCGAGGGGGGGCCGGGACGAGGAGGCGGCTTGCTCCATCCACGCGCTCTGTCACCGGCTGACGAGCAGAGCAGCTCGACACCTCGACAAGCCTGCATCAGCTCTCTTGACGAGCGCATCGACCCGGCAGCAGCCGAGCAGAGCTCGTCGTCGCCTCTCAACCGCCCCCCGACCACGGCACGCACCGCCTCGACGCCATCGCCTCGCCTCGGCTGCCGGTCCAGCCCGACTACGAGCACAGCACTCGTCTATACCTGTGCGCCTCGCCCAGCCGATCGCGCCAGCCGCTCGTCCCGGACGAGTCGTGCTCTCGCCCCGGTGGGGAGGGTTCCGCCGCGACCAGCGCTGCCACCGCATCGAGCGTTGCGCTAGTGCACACCGTCGACCCAGTGAGCTCTCCCCGTTCTCCAAGTGTCCTGCCGAGCGGTCCCGAGGGCGACGAGGCGCCGCCTCTTCTGCCCAGCGAGCTGGCCTCGGGGCGACGACACGCCCCGTCGCCAGGTGCCAGCCGCACCCAGGACGCGCCAACAGACCCGTCATGGACTGCTACTGACCCTCCCGTGTGCGCCCACAGAGTGTCGCCCTCTAGCGCCATGTCGTCCTCTCGACCCTCGCCCCGATCCGCCAACCTCGCCCTTCGTCCGCCAGCCCGTGTCGACTCGAACCCGCCCAGCCCGTCCATCTCGACGTCGGCCAGTGCCGCACGCTTCCACGCCGCCTACGCCTCGCTCCCGTCGACCTCGCGCCACGCGAGCCAGACGTCCATCTCGTCCATCACGAGCGACTCGTCGGCCGGCGGCCTCCTCGGCACCGCAGACGCGACGCCGTCGCCCTCGAGCAGTCGAGCGTTCGAGGCGCTGCAGCGCGAGCTCGGTGGGCCCGACACCGCTCGGGCCGCCAACGAGGACGCCGCGAGCGCGAGCAGGGCGGCGTTCTCTCCCCCGAACGGCGGCCGAGACGGCGGTCGCGACGGCGCGCGGCTGTACGACGAGCCGGAGCAGCTCGACACGCTTCGAGAAGCGCCGAGCGCGAGGAGCGGCGAGGACTCGGCGCCGTACCGCGCGAGGGCAAACGGCTCGGGCCACGACGCCGGGAGCGGGCCGTCGAGCCTCGACAGCAGCACCGGGTCGCTCCTGCCAGGTGGAACCGCGCCCGACTCGTACAGCCAGCGAGGGCGGGACCGCCGGCCAGGCGAGCGCATCTTCCCCGCGCCGCTCCTCCTCAAGTCGGATCGGAGCTACTCGTCCGGCGGCGGCGGCGCCGCACCGGCGATGAACAGCCCGTTCTTCCCGCCAACGGCGCCGCTCTCGGTCCCTCGTCGACCGTCGACGTCGGCTGGGACGAGCCTCGGTTTGTCGGGGCCCTCGTCGTCGTCGAACGCCGCTCGCGAGTGGGTGCGGCGAGATGGCCTCATGAACCCGCCGTCGGCACCGAGCGAGGCGTCGTCGCGCTCGGCGCTCCCGTACCAGCGTCACCGACAGCAGCAGTCGTCGACGTCGTCCCTGTCGCACGGCTCGTACTTGCCGTACAACAACTCGTTCTCGTACGAGCCTCGTCAGACGGCCGCGTCGGCGTTCGCCTCGTCGTCGTCCGACGCCGCGCCGCCTTCCGCTTCGAGCAGCGCCCGCAACCCGACACCTCCATCGACTGGCCTGTCGGCCTCGACCAGCTCGACCCTGTCGCCCGTCGCCGCCGAACCCCCCATCTCGGCCCAAGCCCTCCTCCTCGACGTCCTCTCCCTTCGCTCGGCCGCCTCGCCCATGTCGCTCTCGCAGTCGCAAGGCCCCCTCTCGCGGTCGACGACGCCCCTACTCGCCGCCGCCGGGCATCAGCGTATTCGCTCGACCGGCTCGACTGGGTCCGCCGAGCGGAGCCGTCCTCGTCGACCTCGTCCCGTCCGGCCGACGACCGCGCCGCCGCACGCCCCGGCCCTGTCGCGCCCTACCGCTCCGGCAGCGGGCCCAAGCTCGACACGGTCGACCTGAGCCACAAGCGCATCGCCGACCTGCCGCTCGAGGTCATCAACGAGCTGCGCGACGAGGTCGAGAAGCTCGCGCTCGGGTACAACCTCATCAAGGACCTGCCTGCGCACTTTGTCCAGCTCGGGACCCGCCTCAAGTACCTCAACATCCGCGTCAACCTGCTCACGACGTTCCCGGCCGTGGTGCGTCTCGCGCCCGCTCTCCCTCTCTCCCTCTGCGCCGTACTGATATGTTCCCGGCCCGCAGCTGTGCGACATGCCCTCGATCGAGATCCTCGACATCAGCCGCAACAAGATCCGCAAGCTGCCGCAGAACCCGGGCACGCTCCTCACCCTCAAGGTGCGCTCGGCCCGCCTCTCTCCCCCTCCTGGGCCTCTCACTGACCTCACCTCTGTCCCCTCGCAGGTCTTCTCGATCGCCAAGAACCGCATCAAGCGCCTGCCTGTCTGGTTCGCCTCGATGTCGCACCTCAAGGTGCTCAAGCTCGACCACAACCCGCTCGAGTGGCCGACCAAGGACGTGACGACCTTCGCCGGCTCGACGTCGGGCCAGCCGATGAGCAAGCAGGAGGAGGCCGACGAGATGCAGCGGTGGCTGCCGGCGCTCATGCGGTGGATGCGGGAGAACCAGGAGCGCGAGGTCGAGCGGGAGAAGGAGCGTGAGAGGGAACGCGAGCGGGAGAAGCGGCGGAGGCCCAGTCTGGCGGTCGCGAGGTGCGCCTCCTGCTCTCCTTCTTTCTGCCCGTACGTCCTCAACTGACTCTTCCGTGCCCATGCAGCGAGGACGAGCGCCAAGTGTCGTCAGACGCACGGCCCTCGGGCATGACCCGCACCGAGAGCGGCCGCCTGCAGACGTCGCCGCGCATCCCGTCCAACGGCCCTCGCCCACGAGCACCTCCTGTACCCTCTGTCGACCCCGCCGCAATCCCCGACTCGCTCGACGCCGACTCGTCCATCCGCCACAGCCGCAACGCCTCGCACTCGACGACGCAGACGCTCGCGCCCGCACCACGACCCGGCCTGCGCACCAAGAAGTCGCTCCCCGACTTGCGCTTGAGCCACGCCGACATCCTCGCCGAGCGGCGCACGGGCACGACGCTCGGCGAGGACGAGCCGTCGCAGCCGGACCTGCCCTCGCTCGACGGCCCTTTGCGTCGGTTCCGCGAGGAGCGAGTGGCGGGTCCTGCGCGTTCCGCGACGGACCGAGGGCTGCTCCCGCCACCGCAGGAGGAGGGCGGGGCGACGCGCATGGGCCGGTCCGCGAGCGCGCGCCTCGACATCTCGCCGTCGGGCCTCGTCGGTCGAGACGGTCTCGCGCGCCCGTCGCTCCAGGCCCGAGCGCCCTCGTTCGGCGCCACGTCGACGATGCAGCGCGTCGACGAGGCGGGCGACCTCGAGCGGAACAGCGGCGCCTACTTCCGCCGCCTCTCGATGCTGCCCGAGTCGACCATCGCCAAGACGGTCCCGGCCGCCCTCTTGCGCTTCGCCGAGGCGATCCGCGGCATCCTGTTCGCCTTGTCGCAGGTCCACTCGGCGCTGCGGCAGTTCGTCGTGTTCGCCGCCCAGGACCGCCTCCCCGCACCTGTCGCGCGCCTCATGGGCTCGGCCGACTCGTCGATGAGCACTCTCATCAACGCGCTCGACCGGTTCGACTCGCTCTCGCGGCGAGGGACGCCGTCGATGGCTATCGTGCGCGACGTCTTTGTCGCCTGCCGCGACAGCGTCGCGACCTTCGGCGCGCTCGTGACGGCCCTGCAGCCGCAGCTCGCCGTCCTGACGGCGTCGGCCGACGTGCGCTACTCGCGCACGCTCGTGCTCATGCTGTATGGGTCCGTCGGCGAGATCGCGAGCTCGTGGCAGTCGGTGGCGCCGCTCCTCGCCGACCTGGACGACCCGTCGGTCGCGACCCTCGTCCTCCAGCCGCCCACGCCCTCGGCCACCTTCGACCCGTCCTTCCCTCCCTCTTCTTCGTCCTCGGACGGCCCCGCACCACGCCTCGCGCGCCAGCGCTCGACGTCGCGCCGACACGCCGGCTCGTTCAGCGTCGAGGACGTCGCGCTCGGCGCCAACCTCCCGCCCGCCGACATCCCGCCCGTCCCGGCATTGCCCGGCGGCCCGCTCATCTTTGACGAGAGCGTCGCGACCGGGTCGTTCGACGCCAACGGCGGCGCGACGCTGCGCACCCGACCGACGCCCGGGTCGGCCAAGTCGTCCATGTCGTCGTCGACGGGCGGGTCGGGCTCACGCGCGCCGCCGCCGGCGCCGCTCTCGATGCCGCCCCAGATGGGTTACGAGCAGATGGTCCAGAAGGCGTTCGAGCACCCGATCACTCCCGGTGGGCTGTTTCTCGGCGGCGGCGGGAGCGGCGACTCGCGAGCGCCGTCTCGCGCAGGGTCGATCTCGGGCTCGGCCGGCATCCCGCCCATGCCGCCCATGCCCTCGTCGGCGTCGTCGTCCCTCGCCGTGTCGGCTGCAAGCGCGGGCAGCGGCAGCAGCTCGTCGATGGCGATCCCGGCGTCGTTCCACCCGCACCGCATCTCGCGCCCGGTCTCGACCCTCAACGCCGACGAGACGTTCATCGACACGGCCGACTCGACCGTGAGCATCGCGTCGGACGTGTACGGCATGCTCCTCGACTCGTTCGACGACCCGGCGCTCGCGAGCCAGTTTGCGGCCATCGGCAAGCGGCGCCTCAAGGAGCTCGCCGAGCTGTGCAAGGCCGGGTGCGACTCGACGCAGCGCCTCCAGAGGGCGATCGAGCGTGTGCGCGGCGACGACGCGAGGGGCAGGCTCAAGTTTGCGACGGCCGAGGCGAGGCGACTCGGCGACGCCTCGTACGAGTTCGTGTCGGTGCGCCCTCCTCTCCCTCTGTCGGTCTCTCTCCCTCTCTGCGCGCTCTCGTACTGACTCGAGACCTCGTCGTTGCAGAACGTCATCCGTGCGGCCAAGCTCATCAAGGCCGTCAGCCTCGACTTTGCCTTCTCGCAGCAGATGCGCGAGGGAATCGGCCAGCTCACGCTCGGCACGCGCGAGTTTGCGCGCCTGCTCACGGCGTCGCACACGTCGTTCCGTCCTGCGCGCATGATGACGGGCGGGGCCGAGGCGGCGACGGGAGGGAGCCGAGAGGGCGAGGGAGCGGTGGGCGGTCCGGGCGGCGGAGGAGGAGGAGGAGGAGTACTCGAGGCGCGGCCGCGGGATTTTGCGTAGCTCGCTCGAGTCGACGCTATCTTTTGCAGGGACCGATCCTGGAGAGCGGCGGAGCGTCGTCGGCGCACAGGTCGCTTGCGCCTGATCGGCTCGGGCGGGACGAGCCCGCCTTGCTCTCTCCGCTCTCGCTATCCACCCAGGCTCTGCACGACGAGCCTGCCAGGCCAAGATCAGCCCTCCTGCACCGGCTGCAGCAGCGCCCTAGCGACCGACCGCTGTCGCCCTCCCCTCGTCCGCCCACCGTCCGACCTCCGCCCGCGCCAGCACCTCGTCCGGCCTGTGCCCGCTCGCCAGATCGAGCCGGCTAGCGTCACTAGCGCTACAAGTACCACCAGACCGCGCCCAGGTGCGCCCTGCTCCCTCTCCCACTCGAGTCGCCGAGGAGGTGGTTGCCAGGCTGGACGCGTGAGGGGGAGCTCGAGCGGGGCCTGAGCGAGCTTGGGTGCGGGCGAGGGGCCATGGCACGATCACCTTGGCGCCTCACCGAGCCTGGCTAGCTCCACAGCGGCGCGCCACGGCCAGAGCCCGCAGGATGCGAGGGTGCTCCTCACCCGCGACAAAGAGCGGGAGAAATGAGCCGGCGACGAGCGCGAGAGGGGAGCAGCGCTCCCACAGGCGACTGCGAGACTCTACTGACACGCTCTGGCGCTGTGCAGAATCCGCACGCCCCTGCACCAGCGCGACACGCCGCCTCCCCACTTCCCTCCCGGCTCCGCCCTCGACCTCAACCTCGCCCTCGCCCACGCCCCGTGTCGCTCGAGCATGGAGGCGGTCCAGCCCGTGTCGGAGCAGGAGCCCGTCTTCGTCCGCGCCATCTACAGCTACAGCGGCACCGACAACTCGTCCCTCTCGTTCCGCCAGGGCGACATCATCGAGGTCCTGTCGACGCTCGACAGCGGCTGGTGGGACGGCGTCGTCCTCGCGTCGGGCACCCGAGGGTGGTTCCCGAGCAACTACACCGAGCCCGTCGACGAGGACGAGGCCATGCGCGCCGCCGGCGCAGCCGACGACGGGCGGCGCGGCAGCGTCGCGAGCGGCAGCATCAAGTCGCGCTCGACGAGCCGCGACGACGCCGCGTTCGAGGCCGGCCTCATCGACGACTTCTCGTCGGTCGGGCTCGGCGGCCAGCTGTCGCGCGACCCGACGCTCCAGGACTTTCTCGGCGGCGGCCAGTTCGACCTCGCGTCCTTCTCGGACGGCGGCGACATCTTTGCCGAGATTGCGGCCGCGTCGCAGCAGGACGAGGCGTCGAACAGCACCGGCGCACCTCCCGCATCTCGTCCCTCGCCTCCTGTCACCGCTAGCACCGCTCCCGCCACCGCCTCGACGACCGCCGTCGCATGGCCCGAGGACGTGCCCGAGGACGAGGACTTCTGGGTCCCCAAGATGACTCACGGCGGCCAGCTCTTCTACTACAACACGCGCACGGGCGAGACCTCTCGCGACATGCCCATCGACGGCCAAGGCGACGGTGTCCAGATCGACCCGGCCGACTACTCGCTCGGCGCAGGCGAGACGGCGAGGCGCCCGTCGCTGTTCGGCGCCGACACCTCGAGCCGTCGGGCGAGCACCTTCGGCGGCGCATCTTGGGCGCCCGACGGCGCGAGCGAGTGGAGCGAGCGCGTCGCAGGCGACGGGCGCACGCTGTACTTCGTCAACTTGCGCACGGGCGAGCAGAGTTGGGACCCGCCGACGGCGGCGACGGCGAGCAGCGGCGCCGGGTCCCGACGCGGCAGCGTGCGCCCTCGAGGGCCGACGGGCGACGCGGCGTCGCTCCTGTCGAGCTGGACTGAGCGACCGGCGAGGGCGCAGCAGCCGTTCGGCGCCGCCGCCGCTCCCGCCGTCGACGGCGAGCGCGACGACGTGAGCGAGTCGTCGGACGACTCGGCCCTCGACGCCGTGTTCGCCATGCCGCCGCCGCGCGAGCTCGGCTCGGCGGCAGGTGCGCGCGAGACGAGCGACGGCCTCGCGGCGCCGGCCATGCCGGGCGACCGCCCGACGTCGGCGGCAGCGGCCGAGCTCCTCGGCGCGCCACCGCCGCCGCTCGTCGCCGACCTCGAGGAGATCGCGAGCCGGGCGCTGCAGGAGCTCGTGAGCGAGGTCGGGCTCGGCGGCGTCGCAGGAGCGGGCGAGCGGGATCGGGCGGCGGAGCGAGATCGGCTCGTCGAGGTCGGTGACGAGGTCGTGCATGCCGTGCGCGTCGTCCTGCACTCGTCGGGCGCACTCGAGCACGCCGTGTCGGTGTCGGCGTTCGCCAACTCGTCGGCGCCCGCCAACGAGATCCACGCCTCGTCCTCGCCGACGTCGTCATCCTCCCTCTCCCCTCATGCGCACGCCGACCTGCGTCCCTTCTCTCGCCGCCTCGTGTCGACCCTGTCCAAGCTGTCGTTCTCGATCCGCGCCATGTGGGGCCTGCTCGAGACGACCGACGACGACCTCGACGTCGCCGAGGACGACTCGCCCGCCGACCCGGACGAGGCCTTGCGGCGCGCGCAGGCCCGTCAGCAGACGATCGCCGAGCGGCGCACGGTGCGCGAAATCCGGTTCGAGCACGAGACGCGCCTGCGGAGCGAGGTGCTCCAGGGCGCGCAGGACGTCAGCGACCAGGTCGCCGCCTTCCTGCAGCAGTTCCAGCGCGTCGCCCTCGCCGAGTCGGCCGCACGAGGCGTCCCGCTGTCGCCGCTCGACGCCGTGCGCGCCCTCCAGCCGATCCAGGGCTCGCTCCGCACCGAGGCGGGCGCGCTCCTCCTCCCCGGCGGCGGCTTCGGCGGCAACTGGCGCGGCAACGGCTTCGTCTCGCTCCCGACGTCGTCGCCGCGTCGCTCTCGACGGCCCGACCCTGCCGGCGAGCACGTGCTCGAGTACGCCTGGCCGAGTCGGCCCATCTCGAAGGACGTCGTCGAGGACGTGCGGCGAGCGGCCGAGGGCGTCGCGGCGCAGGCGGACGAGCTCAAGAACCTGTCGGCGTCGACCACGTCGCTCAAGGTGGTGCCGCGAGCAGCAGAGCTTCAGCGAGCGCTCGCGGCACTGCTCGCCCAGGTCGAGGACGTCGACGTCGCCGCCGGCGTCGACTTTCAACTTCCTCCCGCCGACGACGCCTCGAGCCCGACCTCGAACGGCGGCACGAGCGGTGCTTCGTCGTCCAACGAGGCGCCGTCGTCGTCGTCGGCCAAGTACCGCGCGAGCGTGCTCGAGGCCAAGCCGCTCCTCGCCGAGCTCGAGGCGCGCAAGCAGGCGCTGTACGACGTCTCGCCGGCCATCCTGTTCGCCCTACAGAGCGTCGACACGAGCTCTGTGGGGCGTCCTCCTGTCGCCGTCTTTGCCCAACCGCGCGACAACGACCCGCTCGCCTTCTTCGCCCCTCCTCGCCAGCCTTCTGCTCCCTCGCCGGCACGGCTCGGGCCCGTCCTCGACGACCTCGTCGCGACCCTCCCTGCGCTCACCTCGACCCTCATCTCGCTCGCCGCCATCGCCGACACCCAGTCGTCGGCGCCAGGCCACCTTCGCTCGACGTCGCGCTCGTACCGCGCGAGCATGATCGGCTCGTCCAAGGCCGACTCGGTCGACACGCACGCCCGCTTCAGCCACGGCCAGGAGTCGACCGTCCCGAGCACGGTGCCGTCCGTCCGCGACAGCGTCGACAGCGACTTTTTCTTCTCGGGCGCGCTCCCCGACCTGCAGCGCGGCGCCGCATCCGCCGCCAGCGACGCGAGGTCGTCGCTCGGCCAGGCTGCGGCGCACGGCGGCACGATGCGCTCGCAGGCGTCGACGTCGAGCGGCGGAACGCGTGCGCCGTTGCCGTTCGCGAGCGCCGCCGGCGTCGAGGTCGTCGCCGCGCCGGCGCCGACGGGCGGTCTGCCTCCCGGCTGGGACGGCGGCCGCCGCGCGAGCGTCGCGACGACGCAGACGAGCTCGAGCGGCGGCGGCGCGTTCGGGCAGCAGCAGAGCGCGCTCGCCGGCGTCGCCGAGTACCCGTCGCCGTCGCTGTCGACCCTGTCGCCGTCTCGGTCGAGCTCGAAGAACATCTCGAAGCTGCTCGGCGAGGGAGCTCCCGTCGACGGCGCGGCGCAGGACGTTCGGCCATGGTACCTCGAGCGCGATTGGGCCGACGACGAGCTGTCGTTCACGATGGAGAACACGATCAAGGGCGGCACGCTCCGAGGGTTGGTCATTGCCGCCACGAGCCACGAGGGTCGAGGTGCGTCCCTTCTCTCTCCTTCTCTTGTGTCGCCGGCGACGAGGTACTGACCTTGCCGTTCGTCGCTCGCAGTCGACAGCTCGTACCTCTCGGCCTTCCTCATGACCTACCGCACCTTCTGCACGTCGCACCAACTCCTCGACGAGCTCATCGAGCGGTACCTCATGCGCGAGCCAGAGGAGCTGTCGGGCGAGGAGTACAAGGACTGGGACCTCAAGAAGCTCAGGCCCGTTCGCGCTCGGTGCGTCCATGTCGGCTCTGTCCCGTCTTTCCTCGAGCCCGACCTTACACTGCCGACTCGTCCGCAGCGTCACCAATCTACTCAAGGCGTGGGTGCGCGAGTACATGGACAACGAGGACCTCGACCGCGAGCTGCTGCGTCGCATCCGCGAGTTTGCGCTCTCGACCATGACCGAGAAAGGCCAGTCGCTCCAGATCTGCAAGAGCGTCGACGAGCGAGTGCGTCCACCTCCCTCTTCTCTCTCTCCTCGTGCGTCTCTCTGACACGCTACCTCGTCGCTGCAGATGCAAGGCGCTGCTCGTCGTCCCGTCGGCAACCTCGCGCCCGGTCCGCTTCCTCCGCCAATCCTGCCGCGCAACCTCAAGAAGCTCAAGTTCAACGACATCGAGCCGCTCGAGCTCGCGCGCCAGCTCACGATCATGGACGGTCGCCTCTTCCAGCGCATCACGGCGCAAGAGTGCCTCGGCAAGGCGTGGCCCAAGCAGTTCGGCAACGACGCGCCCAACATCTCGGCCATGATCGACATGTCGAACGCTGTGCGTCCCACGCTTCCTTGTCGTTCTCTCGTTCGTCGTGTCCGACGACTGACAGCTCGGCTCGTGCGCAGATCACTCGGTGGGTCATCGAGACGATCCTGTCGCAGGTCGACCTCAAGAAGCGCGCCTCGATCATCAAGCACTATGTCGCCCTCGCCGAGCGTTGCCTGTCGCTCAACAACTTCTCGACCTTGATCCACATCATCGCCGGGCTCAACTCGACGCCGATCCATCGCCTGCGCCGCACCTGGGAGGCCGTCAGCCAAAAGGCCATGATCACGCTCGGCGCGCTCAACAACATCATGCGGCCCGACAAGAACTACAAGGAGTACCGCGACATCCTGCGCAAGTCGGCGCCGCCCTGCGTCCCTTTCCTCGGTGCGTCCCTCGCCCACTCTCTTTCGGGCGCGTCGTCCTCGTTCCCGTCGTCGAACCGGACCTGACTTTCTCGCACTGGTCTACAGGCGTCTACCTCACCGACTGGACGTTCATCGGCGACGGCAACGCCGACGTGCTGCGCGAGAAGCCGCACCAGATCAACTTCCACAAGCGCCAGAAGGCGAGCGAGCTCATCCTCATGATCAAGCTCCACCAAGCGACGACCTACAACCTCCAGGCCGTGCCGCCCATCGCCAAGTTCCTCCAGGACAAACTCTTCCCGCAGCACCTCGCCGATCCCGAGGCCGAGGACCAACGCCTGTACGAGATCTCGCTCGCGCTCGAGCCGCGAGAACGCGACGACGTGCGTCTACTCTCTCCCTTCTTCCAGCCTCTCTTCCCTTACTGACTCGTGTCGGCATCTTGCAGGAGAAGATTGCGCGCCTTCTGAGCGAGAGCGGCTTCCTGTGAGGAGGCGGCGGAGCGGGTTGGGAAGGCGGCGAGGTGCGAGGTCGGCAGTTTATGGGTCGAGGCAGTCTCTCGAGGTTGTACAGTCACCGAGTCGTGCCCGCAGCCCTAATCGCAATTATCACGTTCTGCCTCGGACGTCGTGCGCCGCCAGCGAGAGACTGTGGTCGTCGAGCGAGAGGCAAAGGCTGCGAGGGAAAGCCTGCTGCATCGGCAACGGCGACGGCGCGGTGGTGCTTCCTCTCTCTCTCTCTCTCTCTCTCAGTGCATATACACACAGCCTGATGCTGCGCTCCTTGGTGCTCGAGCGGTCTCGAGGCGCGTCGCCCCGTCAGTTCTCGGCCATGCTCGTCGACGCCGCTCGGACCCTCGTCCTCGTCGCGACGACGGTTGAGACGCCTCGCGCCGCGCTCGCACTCGCCCTCTGCTCGAGCTCATGGGACTCAGCACCAGGAGCCCCGAGCCCTCGAGCTTGGTCTTCTCGCCAAGCTTGGACAGAGACGTTGAGGAGGAGCGAGTACAAGGAACGCAACGAAACCGCTCACGTAGCTCCCGCCGTCCAGCGTGCTCTCACGAGCATGGCATACGGACGCCAAACCGGCGCATAGAGCGAGCAGCTTGACCACCGGCAAGAGTGTGCTGAGGCGAGCGAGAGGAGCTCGCGGGCCGAGAAAGCGGTTCGAGCGCGGGAGCGGGCAAGAGCAGCGAACGACTCGTAGCAGCGAACGGATCGTGGCAGCTCGACACGTCTGGGTCAGACGCTGCCGTACGTGCCCATTGCTGTTCTGTGCGAGGCACTCAAGAAGAGGCTGAGAAAGAGGCAAGCTCGAGCGCGCCGAGGGACGAGCCGGAAGAAGGTCTGAGCGATGACCGCCGGACTCGCCGCAAGCGCGAGACAGCTTTGACGGTCCCTGCGCCGACAAGGGACGCACTGTCGTTCACTCGCTGTGGAGTCAACGGCAGGAGGCGTCGACTGGGCGAGGGACCTTCCTTCTCAAATCGAGCCTTTTGAAGGCGCTTGCTCACTCTCGAAGTAGCTCCTCTCGCTGCTCGCGCCATCGAACCGAGAGACGAGAGCTGGAGAACGTGTCGAGACAATGCAGATGAGGGTTGCTATGCAGACGAATCTTGACTGAAGCACTGAGCGCCTCCTCCCCCTTCTCCTCCGACAGAAAGCTCGACGCACGCCGCCACGCCACCTCCGGGTGCGAGAAGGGACAGGCGGTGACTGCCATCGAGACCGGCGCCGACCTGCAGCGCCGCCATCGGCGAGCGCGACCGGCTCACGTCGCCGCCGCCACTGAAGCTCCCTCCTGGACCTCGCCGACGCGCTTCAGGGCGTCGACCGCCGACGCGCTGAGCGGCGGCTTGTGCTGTGCGTCCTCGACAGGCGAGCTCGGGACCGAAGCAGGGCGCTCGCGGCGACGAAGGGCGACGAGCTGAACCTCGAGGTCGAGCGGGTGCGGCGGCTGCTCCTCGATCTTCTCCTGTGGGGGCGGGACGGGCGACGAGTACAGAGTCAGTCCGAGTCCGTACAGAGAGAGAAGGAGAAGAAGAGGGAGAGGACGGACCTTGGCGACAGTCCACAGGCAGTCGAGGATCCACTCGCACGCACCCCTCGAGCCGAGCGCGCTGCGCAGGACCGAGCGCATCTCGTCCTCCCAGAAGATCTTGACGACCTGGATCGTCTGGTCGGCCCAGCTCTCGATGGCGACCGTGCCGTGCTCGACGCCCGTCCACGCCGGGTGCGACATGACGACGACGGACGACTCGAGGACGTCCCACGAGTGCGCCGAAGCGCGCAGACAGGCCTGCGTCTGACGAGGCGTACGGGGATGAAGAGGAAGGGCTGTTGCGACGCACAGAGGGCGTCAGTACAAGCACGGGATGGGGCGCGAGAGAGAGAGAGAGAGAGGGACGGACCAAGAAGCTGGCGAGCGACCTGCGGCTTGAGGAGGCCCGTGCTGACGAGCCTCTGGATCGCCTTGCCGAGGACGCTCGTGAGGTGGGCCCACACGTCCTTCTTGCGCGGATGCACCTGCGCCGTCGGGCTCGTCGACGCCGGCGAGCCGACGGACGGCGTCGTGCGCTCCGGGAGCGGCAGGGCCGGGCTCCTCACGACGTGCGGCATGCCCGACGCCGCCGTGATTGGCGCCGGCTCGATGAGCGGGCTGTTGCCCATGGCGGGCGAGCCGGCGCCGCTCGCGCTCGGCGAGTAGGTGCCCGGCGAGCTCGCGGCGAGGGCGGCCTCCTCGGAGCGGGCGATGTAGGCGAGCGTGAGGAGCCCGCCCGGCTTGAACTCGCTCGCTCGTGCCGCCAGGAAGGCCATGAGCTCGCCGTGAGCGAGGGTGGCGGGCGCGACGCGGTACCTGCGAGAGGAGGAACGCCACGTGTCAGTGGCTGCTGCGAGGTCGAGAAGGACGACGACGACGAGAGGAAGAGGGACGCACTTGCGGTCGGTGCTCGGCCAGTGCAGGCTCATGGCGCTGAAGCCGACGCTGACGCTCTTCTTGGGCAGGACCTTGACGCCGCTCGGGCGCGCCGCAAAGGTCGAGAAGATGCGCCCGTCGAGGCCGAGGTCGGCGCGGCTCTTGCGCAGGTACGAGTCCGGGTCGGCGTCGAGGTAGGCCGACAGGCAGCGAAAGTCGGCGTCGGGCTGGTCGGCGTGCGTGACCTGGAACGACAAGAGGTCGTCCGGGTCGACGGTCGCGAGCGCCTGGGTGCGCGCCGCCTCGCGCTCGGCAAAGTGCTCGATGACGGGCGGCACGAGCGCGCACGAGCGCGAGTTGAGGGCGCCGTACTCGACGACGTGGACCGTCTCGTCGGCGTCGTCGAGCGGGACGCCGCCGACGTGCTCGGCGAGAAGGTTGGCGAGCGCGTCCTTGGTCCGCGCAGCGTACGTGCCCGCCGCCGCGTTGCCCATGAGCTCGTTGCCCTGCCACCCGCCCTTCTTGCCCGGCGCCCCTCCTCCCCCTCCCCCGCCGCCCGCACCTCCACCGGCTCCACCGGTCCCTGCGCCCGTCGACGCGCCCCAGCTGCCCGTCTCGTGCAGCCTCGGGCGCGCCGGACCGTCCGCCCCGAGCGCAGCGAGCGCCGCGCCGCCCGAGAACGCGAACGGCACGCCGCTGCCCGCGCTCGAGTCGCTCCCTCCTGCCGCCGATGCCGCGCCGAACGGCCCTTGCCCTCCTGCTCCTCCTGCGCCGCCGCCACCGCCAAACCGAGCGCTCAGGACGTCGTGCCACGCGAGCTCGGCCGCGCTCGCGTTGTGCTGCCACGGCCCGGAGCTGATGCCGTCCGGCGGCGTGAGCGGCGGCCGCGAGCGCGAGTCCGAGCCCGACGCCGGCGCCGTGCGGTGCTGGTACGACGACGACGCGAACGAGTGCGAGTGCGACTGGGACGAAGCCGAGGTGCCCTGGGTGTGGGAGCGGGCGCGGGCGGCGGCGGCGATGGCGATGGCGGAGGAAGCAGTGGGAGGGGAGGCCGAAGCGCTTGCGTCGGCGGCGGCGCGAGGGGAGGACGAGGGCGCGGTGGCAAAGTCGATGCTGCTCGTCGACGGCGTCGGGTTGCGAGTGAGGGTGGGCGGGGAGCGCTGGGCGGCGGCTGCTCGGCCGGGGAGCGGCGGCGGTACTTGCGTCGTCGGCGTGCCCGACACGGTGCTCGCCGTCGACGCCGACACGGTCGAGCCCGACGCGAACGACTGGAAGGCAGGCCGAGAGGCAAAGGTGGGCAGGTGGCGCGGCGAGTCGTCGCCGTCGCCGGGCGAGGGCACGGCCGTCGGCGGGGCCGACTTGGGCGGCGACGACGACGAGCGCAGCGACTGAGCGCGCGACGTGTCGTCCGTCTCGGGCGTGAGCGACGTGTCGTGGATCGTCGCCGGGAACGGGAAGCCGCGTTCGCGGTCGCCGTCGTCGTCGTCGTTCGAGGTGTACGAGCACGTCGACAAAGGCGAGGGGAGGACGGGCGTGTAAGGCTGTCGAGGCGGGAGGGACGGGAGGTGGATGCTCCGCGACGAGCCGGCAGGTGATGGCGGAGGGAGAGGCGAAGGAGGAAGGGCGGGCCCGCTCAGGCCGTCCTGCGACGTCGAGCGGACCCAGCTCGCGAGGCGGTCCTCGGACGACGTCGGCGGGCCCGAGCTGCGCGACGAGCCTGCCCCACTCGGCAAGCGCAGGACGACGTGGCTCGAGCCGGACGCCGTTGCTGCGGGCACAGGCGCAGGCTCGGACCCTCCCCTGCTCGTGGCCCGGCCGCCGACGCCGCCGCCCAAGGTCGACAGCGACGACGACGTGATCGACGTGGGCATGCTCGTCGCCTGCGACTCGGCGAGGCTCGCGGTCGTGCTGCGTGCGCTCGGCGGCGGTCGAGGCAAGAGCTGGTCGCTAGCGTGCCGCGCCGCCTGGGCCCGGACAGCTGCTCGAGCCTCGAGCGAGTCCATCATGCCCTCGAACTCGTCGGCGACGTCGACGTCGTCGAGGCTCTTGCTCCTGCGGCGGAACATGGGCGGGCGGTGCATGCGGCGCTGAGCGAGGGTCGACGTGGCCGGCGAAGGCGGAGCGGCGAGCGCCGACGAGGACGGGGTCTGGGCACCGCTGCCGGATGCGCCGTCCGAAGTGGGCGTGTCGGTGCCGCGCAGGTCGAGCCACGACAGGTTGAGCTGGAGCGAGGCGACGAGGTCTGGCGAGAGCGGGCCCGGGTCGGTGGATGTGGGCGAGCGAACGTGATGCTGCTCGTTGGTCGCGGTGCCCATGTCCTGCGGGATGGACCGAGTCAGCTCGGCGGTCTGGGGAAGAGGCACGACGGGCAGGAGAGAGACGTCGACGCACGAGAGCAAGCTAGTCGTCGGCGAGGAGGGACAAGTCGCGACGACGGCCGACGGACGGGTCGATCCCAAGTGGCCCGACTGACGAAGGGTGGAGCGCGAGTAGGCAGGCTCCCTGAGCGGGTGCTGGGCGCGGGTGCGCCGGTCGCAGGTTGCGCGGGGGTGGGAGAGGTCGAGGACAAGGTCGGGGACGAGGATGGCCCGGGGGCGTGGACGAGGCGGGTGCTGCACGGATCGAGGCGGATGTCAGGTGATGGTGCTCGCAGGAGGGGTCGGGACGCAGCTGGAGACCTGGAGAGCGCGCCCGCTGCATCTCATCGGGAGGGCGGCGGGGGGAGACGAACACAGGACGCACACTGTGGGCAAGGGGTTGCGGCTGGTGGGCGGTAGTCGATGGCGAGTGCGGCGAGTGCGGCTGTGCACGGCAGGCGACTGTGCGCGGTGTGAGGAGCGAGGGGGAGCAACGATGAGAGGCCCAAGTGTCGCTCGCGGTCCAGACCTCTTCTCTCCTCCGTCCCTCTCCAGCTCTCTGTGTGCTCCCTTAAGCTGTCCAAAGTGCCCGTCCTCTCACAGACTCACACCGTGGGCAACCACACGCGCCGAGACGATCTGCCGCCCCCCCTCGCTCGGGTCTCTCCCCCAGCTGCTCTCGAGCCCCGGAGGCCCGCTCTCTCTCCGCAACGAGGTCCACCCTCGTCTCGCACATGGACATGCGCGCACCGTCGTTGCAGCGAGACGAGACTCACTGTGCCGGCGGCGGCACCTCGCGCATCGCCCCGGCGGCGAGGCACAGGTTGCGCGCCGTGAACTTGACCTCGAGCACCGGCGTGCGCTTGGTCGCCAGCGTCGCGAGCAGGTCCGGGCTGCAGGGTGTTCACCGTCAGGACGAGCTCGTCGAGACGAGAGAGAGCGAAAGAGAGAGAGAGAGAGAGGGACGCACCAAGGTCCGTCGCCCGCCATCGCTCGCGGCACGAGTCCGAGCCCGTCGCCGCGCGCCTTGCCGCCCTTGCCCTCCTTGCCCTCCTTGCCCGCCTGTCCAGCGATGCCGAGCGCGCCCGCCGCCCCTGCCGCCGCCGCCGCACTCGCCCGCCGCTTGGCGTCGACGCCGAGCGCGCGCATCTTGGTCCCTCCCGCCGCCGACCCGGACGCTCCTGCCCCGGCGCCGGCCCCGCCCGCCGACGCGCCCGCCGTGCCCGCCGCACCCTGCGCCGAGGGCACGTCGGACGGGTTGGCGCCGTCGCCCGGCGGCGTCGCCACGTCCCACACGCGCACCGTGTCGTCGGCGGCGCCGCTCACGAGGACCGAGCTCTCGTTCGAAAACGCGAGCGAGTTGATCGGCGCGTCGTGACCGTAGAACGTCTTGAGGCGCAGGCCCGTCGCGAGCGACCACAGGAGGACGAGGCCGTCGTCGCCGGCCGAGGCGAGGTACCGCCCGTCGGGCGACACGCGCACGACCTGGACGGCGGCGCGGTGCCCGATAAAGACACGCACGCAGTGGCCCTTCTGGACGTCCCACAGGCGACAGGTGCGGTCCGACGAGCCCGTCGCGAGGTACAGCGAGTTGGGGTGGAACGAGAGGCACTGCGCGCCGCAACGACGAGGGTCAGAGAAAGTCGCTGCGAGAGACACAGAGAGAGAGAGCGAGGGACGCACGTTGACGTCGCTCAGGTGGCCGGCAAAGATGCGCACGGCGTTGACGTCGTCGGTCGTCCACAGGCGCGCCGTCCGGTCGCGGCTCGCCGTCGCAAAGTAGATGCCGCGCGGGCCCCACTCGACGGCCCACACGGGCTCGCGGTGCCCGCGGTACACGACCAGGTTCGTGTACGTCTCGAGCGACCACAGGCGCACCGTCGTGTCGGCCGACGCGCTCAGGAGGTACCGCGGCGCGGCGGCGGGCCCGGGCACCGGGTCGAACGAGAGCGAGTAGACGGGGCCCGAGTGCGCGATGAGCTTGCGCGTTTGCGGCGCGTCGGGCTGGTACAGCTTCGAGAGGCCGTCGGCTGCACGTCGAGGGGAAGGAGGGTCAGGGCGCGAGTCGAGGGAGGGAGAGCGATCGAGGGGAACGAGGACGCACGCGTGTCGATCTTGTCGGCCTCGTCGGGCGACAGGTCGGTGCGGAGCGCGCGCAGGCCCTTGCCGTCGAGGCTCCACAGGCGGATGTACGACTCGGTGAAGCCGGTCGCCATGACGGTCGAATCCTCGGAGAAGGTGACGGTCGAGAGCCTGAGGGCGCGCAAAGAGACGGCGTCGACGAGCCGGCGCGGTCAGTGACTGACCCTCGAGGCAGAGAAAGGGGAGGGAGAAAGAGGGACGCACGAGTCGCCCGAGTCGTGCAGGGTGAACAGGCACACGCTCGGCTTGGCGACGCCCTTGCGCAAGTCGTCGCGCACCCTCGCCTTGCCGTCGCCCTTGTCGCCGAGCAGGCCCGCGCCGAGCGCCCCTGCGCCGTCGCCCCTCGTCGTCGGGATCAGGGCGCCCTCGGGCGCGTACGCGGCGGGGCCGAGCCGGATGCGCTTGCGCGCCTCGCGCACGCGCTCGACCTCGCGCGCGACGTCGAGCGTGCGGAATGACGACGGGTACGGCGGGAGGTCGTCCTTGAACGGCGAGATGAGCTGCGCGTCGCCGAGCGACGTGCTCGACGGGTCGCTCGACGCGGCGTCGCCGACGAGCGACGGCTTGGCGTCGCCCGAGTCGCCCGCCGCCTTGTCGCCGCCTGCTCCTCCTGCTGCTGCCGCCGAACCCTCGCCGCTGCCCTCGCCCTCGCCGTCAGCGGCTCCTCCTGCGCCCTCACCCTCGGGACCACCGACCGCCTTGTCCTCCTTCTTGCCGCCCACGTCCATCTCGTCGTCGTCCTCGCCGGCGTCCTTGAGCGTGCGCTTGACCTCGCGCTCGAGCTGCGGGTGGAGCTTGGCCGGCCCGAGGCGCAGCGCGGGAGCGACGCCGTCGGCGCCGTACGGGGCGGGCGGCGCGCCGCCGCGCGAGAGCGAGGCGTAGTCGGACGCGAGGCCGTGCGAGGTGAGGGTCGACGAGAGGGGGGGGCCAGGTACGGCTGCGAGGGCGCATGGAGGAAAGAGAGGGTCAGAGCTCCCCGGTACAAAGACGACAGAGCGCGAGAGAGAGAGGACGCACCGTCGACCTTGACGCGCTCGTTGATGATGGCGAGGACGCGGTCCCTGCCGCGACCCTCGGTGCCCTCGCTCGCGCCGTGGAGGCCGCCGCCCTGGAGCCAGCCGAGGAGGAGGCCCCAGCCGCGCTCCGAGAGGCGGACGTGGTAGCGCTCGTGGCGCCACCGCATGGCCTGCTCGTTCTCGGTGACGTGGGTCGCGAGGCGCAACGAGGCGAGGAGGCGCACCAGGCCCGGGTACAGCGGCGAGTGGTCGGGCGCAAAGCGGGCGAGGAAGTGGTCGGCGGCGTCGCGGTAGCCGACGAGGACGAGGTCGAGGTACGAGTGGACGAAGAGGGGGAGGAGGAGGGGCGACAGCTCGGGGCGGTGGATGTCGAGCGAGTTGTCGACAAAGGTGCGCAGGCCCTGGTAGCCCTTTTCCCACGACGGCGGGTCGGCGAGCATGTGGCCCGGTGCGACCGACTGGTCCATGCGACGGCGGGCTTGGGGCTGCGGCGGCGCCGGGGTCGCGCTGCCCTGAGGACCACCAGCACCACCGGCGGCGGCGGCGGCGGCGGAGGGGGCGCCTGGGGGCTGAGCCGAGGGCTGCCTCGGGGCCGAGGGGGCGTTGCGCTCGGCAAAGTCGTCGAGTGGGACGGCCTTGCCGCCGCCTTGGGGTGCGCCTGCTGCGGCGGGCGAGCCCTGGCGGGAAGGGTTGGCGGCCTGGTCGAGGTCGGCAGAGAGGGCGAGTGCGGCCTTGTGGTGACCGCGTTTTGCGAGGTAGTCGAGGATGGCGCGGTAGTTGGCGTCGGGGGTCGACTGGGCCCCAGCAGGCGGCGGCTGCGGCGTCGACATGGCGGGCACGCGCGAGGTGCGAGGTGCGACGAGGGAGGAGGAGGGCGAGGCGACGACGGCAGCGGGCGAGGTGCGGGTTGCGGGTACGGGGTGCGAGTGGTCGATGCGAGTAGATTGAGCGCGCTGCAGCTGTCGCCTAGCTGCACCGTGGTCGAGGTGGAGAGGAAAGCGCCCCCCCCTTCCGTCGTCGCTCTCTCCCCACTCACTGCAACCGTCTCGTCATGTCTGGTGCGTTCAAGCAGCCGTCCAGTCTACTCAGGACGCCCACACTGACCCGCTGTACCCCGCAGGCAAACTATCACGCGAGGAGTAGTCAGTCCCGCCTCGCTCATCGCCACCCCTCATCTCCTCGAGCCTCTCCCTCGCTCGGCACACCCTCAGGGCTCTCGTGCACGCGCAGAGACTGACCATGCACTCTCTCACTCGCCGTACAGCCGCCGGCAGAAGGACCTCGAGGCGGCCCGCAAGGCCGGCACGGCCGCCCCGGCCCTCGACGAGGAGGGCAAGCCCATCAACCCGCACATCCCCGGTGCGCCCCCCTCTCACGCACACTGCATCCTCTCCAACATGCACTCGAGCTGACCCGAGTCGGAACCGCGCCCCGCAGAGTTTATGGCCAACGCGCCCTGGTACATGAAGTCGGGCGAGTCGGAAGGCCCCTCGCTCAAGCACCACAAGGCCAACATCCCCAAGTACAACCGCGACCCGAGCAAGCTCGAGAGTCGCTTTGAACGCGGCGCCAAGGCTGTGCGTCCTCGTCTCGCCTCGCGCTCGCCTTCCCTCCCGCGTCCTCCTCCTCCTCCTCCCCGTCCCTTTCAACTCATCGAGCCCGCCGACTGACTCTCTCAACCAACTCGCAGGGTCCGGCCGCCAAAAAGTTCCGCGCCGGCGCGTGCACCAACTGCGGCGCCATGACGCACACCAAGAAGGACTGCCTCGAGCGCCCGCGCAAGGTCGGCGCCCGGTACACGGGCCGCGACATCGCCCCGGACGAGGTCGTGCACGACGACTCGAAGCACCTCAACGGCCTCCAGGGCCAGGGCGACTACGACGCCAAGCGCGACCGGTGGGACGGCTACGACCCGGCCCAGCACCGCCACGTCGTCGACGAGTACGAGGCGCTCGAGCAGGCGCGCCGCAAGCTCCGCGAGGACGAGATCACGGCCGTCGCCAAGCTCGCCAACAAGGGCAAGGCCAAGGGCAAGAAGGGCAAGAAGGGCGCCGTCGAGGCCGACGGGCGCCGTCGAGGCCGACGACGACGACTCGGACGAGTTTGGCTCGTCGGACGAGAGCGACGCCGGCGGGTCGGGCGCCGAGGCCGACGAGGACAAGTACGCCGAGGGCGCCGACGTCGCCGGCCAAAAGCTCGACACCAAGACGCGCGTCACGGTGCGCAACCTGCGCATCCGCGAGGACACGGCCAAGTACCTGCTCAACCTCGACACCGAGTCGGCCTACTACGACCCCAAGACGCGCTCGATGCGCGAGGCGCCCAACCCGGACGTCGCCCTCGAGGACGTGCGTCCCATGCCCCCTCTCTCTCTCGCCCTGAGATCTCCTGCGACGACCCGACTGACCCCTCTTCCTCCCTCTTCCCTCTCTCTCCCCCGTTCGCCTCGCCCTGTCGCTCTCTCGTGCGCCTCGCCCTGTCGCCGCGTCGCCTCGTCCCCTCGCCGCCCTTCCGCCCTCCCCTCGACTCGCCCTCTCGGTCGCCCTCCTCGTCGACCGACGCGCAGGCCAAGTTTGCCGGCGAGAACTTTACGCGCCACAGCGGCAGCACGCAGGACCTCAACAAGCTGCAGCTGTTCGCGTGGCAGTCCGAGTCGCGCGGGCACGACGTGCACCTCCAGTCGAACCCGACGGCGGCCGCGCTCGCGCACAAGGAGTTCCTCGAGAAGAAGGACGTGCTCAAGGAGACGAGCGCCGCGAGCATCCTCGACCGGTACGGCGGCGAGCAGTACCTCCAGGCGGCGCCGAGGGAGCTCCGGGCCGGCCAGGACGAGGGCTACGTCGAGTACGACCGTCGCGGCAAGGTCATCAAGGGCATGGAGCGCGCCAAGGCCAAGAGCAAGTACGACGAGGACGGTGCGTCTCGGGCTCTCCTTTTCTCTCCCTCTCCCTCTCCTCGTCGGCGTCAAGCGTCCTCGTCCGGCTCGACGACTGACTTTCTCTCTCGCCTCGCCCGCAGTCTTCCCGGGCAACCATCAGTCGGTGTGGGGCTCGTGGTACAACCTGTCGACCGGCCAATGGGGCTACGCCTGCTGCCACTCGCCGATCAAGGGCTCGTACTGCGGTACGTCCTCGTCGTTCCTCCTTCCTCACGCGCTCTCTCTCGCTCCTCCCTCGCTCCTCCCTCGTCGCACTCACACTGAGACCTCGTTCCCACATGCAGCTGGTCAAGCCGGCATCGAGGCCGCAGCCGCCGAGGCGTCGGGCGCGACCCTGCTCGCCCTCGCCGACAAGGCGCACTCGGCGCCCGACAAGGACGACGGCAAGTCGCTCGTGCAGCTCAAGCGCGAGCGCGACGCCGAGGACGCGGCGAGGCGCAAGCGCAAGGCGGACGCCGACGACGAGGCCGGCGACGAGAAGCGGCGCAAGCAGGCCGAGCAGGACGACAAGGACAAGAAGAAGGGCGACTTTGTCGGCGTCACCGAGGAGGAGATGGGTGCGTCCCTCGTCTCTCTCCCTCTCTCTCGTGTGCGTGTGCGCGTGCGGGCTCGAGGCGTGTCGAGGGCGGCGACCGCCGACTCAAGGTCGATCCGGCGCCGCCTCGGTGAGGCCGAGTGGACCCCCTCGTCGCCCCCGACTCGGCCGACGGCCTCGTCGCGTCAAGCGCGGTTCGAGGTGCGAGGGAGCTGCGGACGGCTCGCTCGTTCCGCTCGCTCTCATCGCGAGGCGAGCGAACGCGGCGCGCGCAGGAGCACGCCGGCTGCGCCCGTCCGAGCCGGGTCGGGAACAGTGCCCGGTTGGAGGGAGACGTCGAGGCGGGCCAGGTCTGATTGGCGTCGTCGAAAGATCTGCGAGATCTGGCTTGTCGGACACCGAGCCTCTTTCGCCCGTCGATCATCGTCACTGATCCGACCTCTTCTTCCTCCCCCCCCTTTTCTCTCTCCTCCTCGTGGCCGCGCCGATGTCCGCCCTGCTCTCTCTCGCCCGACCGATTTGGCACCGTTGCGTGTCACAGACGCGTACCGACGAGGCCGCGAGCAGCGCTTCGACGATCCCATGGCGCAGCTCCCTCAAGGCGACGAGCTCCTCCCGCTTTGACCCTCTCCTCCTTCCCCTTTGTTGTAGCACTCTCTCTCGCTGTCTGCATCGTCGTACTGTACTGTGCACCTCTCGCGATCTCATCTCGCTCGTTCCCGCTCGCGAACGCGCGGCGAGGCCTCATCTGTCGGCGATCTATATTGCCAGCGAGCGAGCGAGGAGCTTCTAAGTTACTGTACAGTTGGTTCGAGGCCGCAACGCGGACGCAGCGTCGAGACTTGCGCGAAAGCGAGTGCGCACGGTGGATGGCGGCTCGATCTGGCACGAGTCTCATCAGTGGAGCCCCGCACTCGCGGTTGGAAGAACGCTGGCTGGGAGAGAGCGGTGTGTCGCTGCGAGGGTGCGGTGGGTGCTCGACTGAAGGTCGCTGGCTAGCTGCACGAGTGGAGGACAGGCTGGGCCAAGAACCGAGCGAACAGAGGCCGAAGCCGACGAGGACGGACGTCGAGATCGTTCCCTGATGCCGTTCGCTCGAGAGCAACGACCAAGGCTCCCGACTCCTTCGCTCTTCTCCTTGACCTCGCATCGCACCTGCTGCACCTTTCCTGCTCTGCCTGCCTGCTCCTGCACGCGCACCGAGCACCCGCTGCGCACCTGCACCCGGATGCACGCCCGCGCATCACCATCCGCCGCCAGCGAGCGTCGTCCCGCCGCACACGCGCCACCTTCGCCTCCTGCGCCACGAGCAGCAGCCCCACCGTCCGACAGCGCCCTCGACTCTCTGCCGCCACCGACCAGGCGCACCGCGACGCACGCCTCGAGCCGCACTCGCCCTCCCGACGCCGTCTCGCCCATAGACTCGTCGAGCGCCGAGAACACGGCCGAGGAGGTGCGGGAGGACAGTGGCGGGGCCGGCAACGAGACCGACATCGAGGACGAGGACGGCATGGGCGACGAGTCGCCCTCGACCGGCGACGAGCCGTCGCGCCCCTCGCACGAACACCTCCCGCCGCACCTCGCCCCCTTCAGCGCCGCCATGCACCCCTTTCCTTCCAACGACGCCGACGCCTCGCACCTCCACTACGGCCCGATGCACTACCACCGCCGCTCGATGCACGCCGCGCCGCCCTCGAGCGCCGAGGTCCTCCTCTCGACCGCCACGACCGAGGCGTCGGCGTCCGAGGCCGACGACGTCCCGCGCGACGTCCGCCCCGCACGCCCGACCAAGCGTCATCGCATGCGCAGCGCCGACCTCGCCCAGCAACCGCCGCTGCAGCACCCTCGCGTCCCGCGCCTGCGCCGCATCGGCGCCCTCGGCATCAGCGTCCACTCGGACTCGGACCCGGACGAGCCCAACATCTCGGGCCTCGACTCGGTCGACCGCCTCCCCGAGCGCTACGCCGGCGGCTCGACGAGCGACGTCACGCGCGCGACCGACCTCGGCATCGACTCGGACATGCTCAGGAAGAGCCACGCAGGTGGGAGCCCGGTGACGGCGGCGGGAGGGCCGCAGCAGCGTGCGAGGCACCGTCGGCCTGTCGGTGACGCTACGTTCAGAGGGGTCGTCGATGAACTGGCGGTCCAGAGTGCGTCCCCTTTCTCTCTCTCGTCGTCGTCCGGCGGGGCCCGAGCGTCGACTGACCTTCTCTTCCATCGTCTAGATCGCGAGCTGCGAGAACGGCTACGGCGGTACGAGGTCGATGGCGTCCCGAACGACCTCAAGCAGGACCGCCTGTTCGAGATCCGGTTCTACGAGGGCTTGCCGACGTGAGTCCTCCTCTCTCTTCCTCGCCTCGTCCCGGTCGGGCCCGGTCGCTCACGCCTCTCCCTCTCCCTCTCGCAGGCGCAAGCGCGTCGAGCTCGAGGACTACCTGACGCGTTACGTCCAGACGTACGCCGAGTCGGCCGTCGAGCCTCCCGAGCCTGAGCTCGCCGGCCCCGCCGCCCGGGTCCGCTTCGAGAACAGCACGCTCGCCGGTCCGAGCAACTCGGGCCTCGAGCCAGTGTCGCTCAGCGGCACGGGCTCGGGCATCCGCCTGCCGCCGCTCGCCCACCCTGTCCACCCGGCGACGATCCCGCACTTTGACGGCAGCGCCGTCATCTCGGACCCGCGCTCGGTCGCCGTCGCGCGCGAGATCGTCTCGTCGCTCGAGACGCTCTTCCAGTCGTCGCTGTTGCGCACCGCCCACACGCGCACGCCGGCGGCATCATCGGCCCCCCTTCCCGAGCTCGACCCGTCTCGCCTCCTCCCCGGCGCCCTCGACGACTCGAACGAGAAGTACTTCGCCAACCTCCTGTCGCACGACTTCCTGTCGCAGGGCTTCGTCTACCTCAACCTGTGCCTCACCATGGCCCAGATCCACCGGTTCAACGTCACGGTCGCGTTCGTCCAGCGCGCCGTGCGCCAGTTCTCGTCCAACCTCGAGCTGAGCGACGACGGCGGCCGCATCCGGTGGAAGGGCCCGCGCTCGCCGGCCGTCGCCGACGATGCCGCGCTCGACGCCGAGATGGGCGACGTCGTCGAGTTCGTCAAGGGCAAGGGCAAGGCGCGCGAGCCCGACTCGGTCGACGGCGCATCTTCGGCGCCGAGTCGCTCGACGCGCGCGAGCGGCAGCCGCGACCCGTCGAGCGGGGCGTCGTCGTCGCTCGACCCGAGCGTCGGGACGGGCACGCTCCTCGCCGACTCGCTCGCGCCGTCGAGCCGCACGGGCCAGACGTCGCTGCCCTCGACCGGCCGCAAGACGTCGTCGGCCGAGCCGCCCCGCCCTGTTCGCCCGACAGCGGCCGTCCTGCAGCCGATGGACCGCCTCCAGCTCAGCGCATCGCCCGACGAGATGACGAGCCGGGCGCCGCTCGATGCCGACGCCGGCGCCGCTCGGGCCGCCAAGGCGACCGCGCCCGCTGCCGTCGCCGCCGACGCAGCAGCAGCAGCACCACCCGCCGAGCACCTCCAGCTCCTTGAGCGCGTCGAGCCCGTCGATCGCCGGGACGAGCAGCACAACAAGGCGAGCTCGGGCAAGGACGGCTCGGACGCCCTCTCGGCCGCCAACCTCGACGCGCACAACCTCGGCATCGACCTCGCCCAGAGCCTGCGCACGCACGCCTCGTCGCAGGCCGTCGCGTCGACGACGTCGAGCACCGCCAAGAACGCCGCCGGCGCCCTCGTCTTTTACGGCAACGGCCTGTTCTGCAGCGACTTGTCCAAGGAGGGCGAGGGTCCGGTCACGCCGCCGATCCTCCCGCCCAAGGGCGAGCTTGCGTCGCATCCGCTCGGTGCGCTCGACCGCGACGAGGACGAGGACGAGGACGAGCCGAGCGCTGTCGTCGGCGCCGAGGCGATGGACGTCGACGGCGAGGACTCGCCGATTGACCTCGACTCGGCCGTGTTCGACGTCGTCGACGACGAGGCGAGGGCCACGCCGTCCAGCTCGGAGGGCGACGGCAGCGGGAGCGGCACGTCGTCGCTGCAGCGCCTGCGCATGTCGGGCATGACGCCGGCCTTCCCCGCCGACTTCTTCACCGTCGTCGTCAAGACGCGCCACCCGCTCAAGCGTTCGGCCGCCGACACGCTCCCGACGCCCGACTCGCCCGGCCAGGTGCACGCCGACGCGCGAGCGCCGAGCTTCTCGACGATCCTGCCGGCGTCGAAGCGCCCGAGGCTCGCGCCCGCCGTCTCGAGCGAGGTCCTGTCGACGCGCGAGATCTACCATCACCCGAGGGTGCAGATCCGGCGTGCGCTCGGCCCGACGACGACCGGCGTCGAGAGCAACTCGTCGTCGTCGGTCGAGGGCGACGAGGACGCAGCGCACGCGCCCTGGTCGTGCGGTCAACTTGTGCGTCCTCCCTTTCTCTCTGTCGCACATGTCGTCCAGGGACTAACGTCGTATCGTCTCTCCCTGCAGCTGACGTCGTCCAACCTGGCCAAGCACTCGGGCGTCCGCACCGCCGCCGCTCGGACCGCTTCGCCCGTCGACGAGCCCGTCCCCGTCTACCTCCCGCCGGCGCCGTCGCCGCCGCACCAGGACCACGGCGACTACCTCTTGTCGCTCGCGGCCCCGTCGCACTCGTGGTCGCCCGAGGAGAGTGGGTTCCACACGTCGGGCAGCGGCAGCCTCGCCGCTCCCGCCGTCGCACCTGCGCGCCATCCTCGCAAGCGGGGCGCGCCACCCTCTCTCTCGGTGTCGACGACGACGACCGGCGGTGGGCCTATGCAGCGCGTCAAGCGCAGCGACGGCCATGCGTCATCGACGCCGCCGAGCAGCTCGGCCGACGAGCGGCCCATCAGCCTCGACGACGTCGTGATCGTGCCGCAGCGCTCTCAGCTCGTCCGTCCCTGAACCGAGCGAGCTCTCCCTTCTCTCTCCTTCCCCCTCCCTCTCTCCCCCTCTGATTCCCTCCTCCTCCTTCCTCATCTCGTCTTTTGGGTTTTTCGTCTCCTTCCTCGGTGCACCTCTCTCTATCTCTCGTCACGACCCCCTCGCACCTCTTCTGTACCTCTGTAGCACCACCTTAACCCTGTACCGCGTCCTCTCGCTCTATCCGTCGGCCCGCACGTCGCCCCTCTCTCGCTCCCCCTCTCAGTTCTCTCTCTAGTTCGCCGCGATTGCGCGCGCTGCAGTACATTCAAACTCGATTCGATTCCTCCTCGTCCGTGTCCGCTGCTCTGCTCGAGAGAGGTCCTGCCTCCTGACGCGACCCGCACGCCGTCTACTCAACGAAAGAGAGAAAGAGAAAAAGAGAGAAAGGGAAGGCGCGGCTAGATGAGCCCGAAGAGCGCCCTCAGCCACAGGACGAGCCGCTCCCACCACGTTCCGCCCCACCCCTCGTCGCGCCTCGCCTGCCCGACGCAAAGCTCGCCGTGCCCGACCTGCGCAACGACCTCGACCTCCTCGTCCTCCTCCTTCCCACCTCGCCCGCCCGCCTCGAGGTCGCCCGGCCTCGGCGCCGGCGACCGCGTCGTGCGCCGCCGAGCGGGCATGTGTGCGACGGCAGTGCGCGCCGGCGCCGAGATGAAGGGCGGGAAGAGGCGGCACAGGGCGCGCAGCTCGGGGTTCGATAGGTACGGCGCGAGGGTAAAGGTGCGGTACTGCGACGAGGCGGCGGCGGCCGCCGAGGAGGGGGCAGGGTGTGGGACAGGGACAGGGAGGGACGACGTGGTGGGCGAATGCGCCGAGAGGAGCGGGACCGAGGGCGAAAGAGGGGACGCAGGCGCAAGGGGCTCGAGCGCAACAGGCCCGAGCTCGCCCGCCGCGTCGGCTGCGCCGCTCGCGCGTGCCGAGCGCTTCTCGTGCGGCTCGAGGAACGGGTCCGAGCCCGCTCGAAGGCGCACGCTGCCCGCAGCGCTCCCTCGGTGCGGCGGAACCGGCGGCGCCTGCTTCTTGCCGCCGCCGGCAGCGAGCGAGGTCCCGACCGACGACGGCTCGAAGACGACGGGAGCGATGACGGGCTCGCCGCCGACGTGGTGGTAGTGTGCGCTCGACGTCTCGGTGTCGGATGCGGCGAGCGAGGTGCGCGTCGTGAACGTGTCGGTGTGCGACGGCTCGTGGACGCGGTCGGTCATGCCGAGAACCTGGTCGCCGAGAAATTCACGAGTCAGTACTGTACGCCGAGACGGTGTCGAGGGAAGGCGAGAAGAGAGCGATGCGACGCACCCCTTTGAGCACCTCGACGGCCTCGCTCGCCCACTGCTCGTTGCCGCCCGCCTCGGTAAAGACGGCGACGTCGACGGTCCACTCGACGCAGCGCGGTCCCGCGCCGCCCTTGCGGTCGTTGAGCGCCTGGAGCCACAGGGCGGCGAACAGGGCCCGGAAGAACGGGTGCGGGCCGGGCATGGCGGCCGTGCAGTTGGCGGCGACAAAGGCGCGCAGGCGCTCGCGGCGGTGCTGCCGTGCGGCGGCCGAGCGCAGGGCGACGACCGACGTGCTGTCGGGCGAGATGGCGAGGAGGCGCTTGATGGTGGCGGCGGGCGCGGTCGTCGCGAGGAGCGAGTCGACCTCGGCGCGGCGGCGAACGTGCTCGTCGCGGTGGAAGGCCGAGCGGATGGACGACATGGTGCGGGCGTAGGCGGTGCGGAAGGGCGCAGGGAGGCGCTGCAGGATCGAGTCGACTTGGCGAGCTGCGAGCGGACAGAGGAAAGGTCAGCTTGTCGGCGAGGGACGAGAGAAAGGAGGAGGGGGCGCACCTGCTTCTGCGTCCTTGTCGTAGTAGAGCTTGCGGCACAGGTCGGCGAAGTGTTCAAGGTCGGCGTCTGCTGGTTGGTGCTGCTGGCTCTGGGCGTGTGCGAGCGAGGTGGGCCGTTGCGGCGAGAGGGGGCCGGCAGCAGCTCCGGGCGAGCGGCGGCCGGGGGGAGGAGGAGGGGAGCGGGCGCGGTCGGCTTGGTGGCGGGTCGATGTCGAGCTGCCCTTGGGCGGTGGTGGCGGCCTGGGCGGGGTGTGGTTGCCGAGCCGAGGCGAGTGTCGAGGAGGCGGTGCAGGGGCCGACAAGTCGCTCGCGGCGTCTTGGAGCGGGTTGCCCGGGCGTACGGTGGGCCTGTCGAGTGGATCGTGCATGTCGGTGGTCATCTGTGCTGCACTGGGCTGCTGCGGCGAGAGGACGAGGCTTCATCAGGTCTCGCTGACGACCGAGGACAAGGAGGGTCGACTCACCCTCGCGGGGCTTGACGGACTGCTCGAGCTTGTGCAGCGAGTGCAGGCGGCGGCTGACGACTGAGCAGCAAGGGCTCGCAGAGCCGAGGCGACGGTGCAGAGGAGCCCAAGCTGTCGACCGAGGTCGTCGCTCGTCTCGAAGCGCAGAGGCACGCCAAGCTCTCGCTCGCTGTTGTATCGCTTGCGTACAGTCCACGAGTGCACAAGCTGTCGAGGCCGACTCAGCCGAGCGCACTCGGAGAGAGGCTTTCCTCGCTCTCTCCTCGCTCGTCTCTCGCTGCCGCCAAGTCGAGTCGCCGCGAGACAGCTCCATTCCAGCTCGCTGCGCTAGTCGAACGGGATCCGCCGCACCGTCGAGCCCGTCCCAAGCTCGCGCGGCACCCCTGCGACGCCCCCCGCCCCGTGCTTCTGCACCTCGGCCGCCGCGAACGGCGCCGGGATCGCGATCCCGCAACAGTCGCCAAACTGGGCCTCGCCGCGCACGTGCAGGTGCCCGTGCTCGTCGGCGTGCACGCCCGCCTCCTCGACGTGCGCGTCGAGCTCGGGCGCGTCTGGGTACGGCAGGAGCGACCCAAAGAGAAAGTGCTGCGCGACGGGGAGCTTGGCGAGCACCTCGGCGCAGTACATCTTGACCATGCCCTGGTTCACCTTGTCCCACGTCTTGACGCCGCTGATGTCGTCGAGCATCGGCGAGTGCCACCGCAACGACGCCGTCTTGATCTGGGAGGGCGTGATCAAGGTCAGGACGAGGACTCGCACGACGACGGCGACGAGGCGCGAGAGGAACGAGAGGGGGACGCACCGAGTTGATAAACTGGATGTAGGCGAGGTACATGTAGTCCTTGGAGAACTCTTCGAGAATCTCGGCGTCGTGGATGCACTTGGGCCGCAGGTACTTGTGGCCCTTGAGCTGCGCCGAGCCGAAAACTGCGTGCGGCGGCCGGCCATCTTTGTCAGGTCGTGCGGCTCGATCAGAAAGAGAAAGAGGACGCACTAAACACGGCGAAATGGTAGTCGTCGAGGCCCTGGGCGCCGTGGGACCCTGCCGGCTCAAGCCAGTAGCCTGTCTGCAGCAGCCGCGCGACGCGCATGTACCTGCACCGTCGAGAGTGTCAGTGTCTTCTTCTCTTCATTATGACGAGGAGCGAGACGAGGACGCACCTCCAGAAGACCTTGATGACGACCGCCTTGCCGTCGTCCTTGGTCAACACGCCGAGCTTCTTGAGGCACAGTCTGCGGGTCGAGCCGGGTCAGTACCTCGTTCGCTCGGCCTTGGCAGTACAAAGGAGAGAAGGGACGCACAGCCAACACAGGAAGTTGAGCTCCATGCCGCTCCCGTAGTCGACGCGCGTGCGGTTGCCCCAGCACTCGCAGAAGTAGACGCTCAGCTCGTTGACGTAGGCCGCGTCGAGGCCGGGCACCTCGGCGTGAAGCTCTGCTGTACTCTGTGTGCGTGTTCGTCAGTCAGGCCACAACCGGGGCTAGAGAGAGAGAAAGAGAGGCGAGGGACGCACCGAGGCCACCTTGTCGTAGAAGTCCCGGAATGCAGGGTTGCCAAAGCGTGACCCGCCGTTGTCGACTGGCGGCGTGTCGTGATACAGCTGCTCGACCGCCTCGAGCACGCTCACGAGGGCGTCGACAGCCTGCGCGAGGAAGGGTAGGCGAGTGGGCGGTGCAACCTTGGTCAGCAGGGTAGGCGAGGGAGAGGGGGGCGAGGGCGGCTCGAGAGAGGACGCACAGGGCTACAAGGCACCTCGTCGGTGAGCTTGACGCCGACGACCGAGTCGTTGAGCTCCTCGACGAAGGCGACGACGTGCGAGTGGGTGGCCGACGAGAGCCACACGTCGAGGTGCGCCTTGGACACGATGCGCTTGGTTGGAAGCGTCGGCGGGACGGCGAGAGGTGCTTCGCTTGCCATGGCGCTGTGCAGCTCGTGCAGGGGGGCAAGCGGAGGTGGGAGAAGAGCGGAGAGATGAGGTCGCCCTGTTCGTGATGACAAGTCTCGCTCCCTCTGCGTCTGGGGCAGTCAGGCAGTGGCTCACGCGCGTCGCTGATACCGCAAGAGCATCTCTCGGGCGCGCCAAGCTCGCAGGCTCTGTCTGGCACCTCTCGCTCTCGCACGAAGACGGCCGCTCGCTCAGCCCGGCGCGGAAGAGAAAGGGTGGAAAGACTGCTACTCTAAACGTCTGTAAGGGGACACGGGCACGAGAGAGAGGCGCGAGGGGAAAAGAGGAGAGGAGGAGGGAGCGGGAAAGAGAGGCGCCGCTCAGAAGTCGGATCCGTCGACCCGGAAAGTCTGCGCGTACTGGAAGTAGGGCTGCGCGACCTTCTTGAGGATGGCCTGCGGCACGTTCATCTGTAGGAGAAGGAGGAGAGTGAGCGACCGGGCGAGGGCAAGAGAGGGCGAGGAGGGAACGGCCAAGGACGCACCGAGACGAGCGAGTACGAGATCTTGGCGAGGCCGTCGCGGCGGATGAGCTTGAAGAGTTGGTGCGCGACGGCCGTCGGGTATGCCGCCTCCATGTACCACCGGTGCTGGTACACGCTGAGGCGGATGGCGGCGTTGAGCGCGCGCTGGACGTCGCCCTCGTCGGCGTAAAACTCGAGCAGCTTGAGCCACGCCTTGGCCGAGAACTTGGCGTCGAGCGCACGCTGAAAGGCGTCCTTGGCCTCCTCCTGGTGGTGCAGCCGCTGCGCGAGCTCGCCGAGGATCTCCCACTCGGTGCCCGTCTTGCGGTACGGCAAGTGCTGCGCCTTGAAATGCGCCACCTCGGCCCGCCAGATCGTGTACACGCGCAGGTCCTGTTCGAGGGGACGATCGTCAGTACGGGCGAGAGGTAGAGGTGGGAGAGGGAGGACGCGGGACGCACCTCGTACAGGACCATGAAGAGGTTGTCGAGCCACCGCTCGCACAGGCGCTTGTTCTGGAACCCTGCGCCGCCGTCCTTGCCCTCGTTGTCGCCGTCGACGTCGCCCTTGGCCGACTCGTCCTCGCCGGCGGCGCCGCCGTCCTCCTTGTCGTCGACGACGGCGGCCGGCACCTTTGCCGCGCCCGGCTGGGCGACCTCGTCCCTCGCGCGCCGTCCCGCCTCGCTCTCCTCGAACCGGCGCAGCTCGTCGCGCTCGCGCTCACCGTCCGACTCGGTCGAGACCTTGATGGTCGGGATCCCGGCCGGGCTCGTCGACCGCGCGCGCTCCTCCTCGTCGAGGTCCCGCCCGTCCTCGGTCTGCCCGTTCACGGCGATCGTCGGCACGCCGCTCGGCGCCGCCGCCGCTGCATCTCCTCCTGCTCGTGCCGGCGCGCTCGAGCGGTCGCCCTTGATCGACGCCGCCTCGCTGCCCTCGTCGTCGGTCGCGATCGCGAGCGGGCCAAAGCCCTCGGCGTCGTCGTCGGCGCCGTGCCCGTCGTCGTGCGCGCCTGCTCGAGCGGCGCCGCCGTTGACGCTCGACACGAGAGGCGACTCGGGAACCGGGTCGGCCGCGCGGTGCATGCGGTACTCCTCCTCCATGACAAAGACCTGGCTCCGGCACTTGAGGAGCTCGTCCCAGCCGATGACGCTGACGAGCTTGGCGAGGAGGACGTACGCCTTGGCGAATGTGCCGCGCAGGCTCGGGGCGGGAAGGCGCAACAGGGCGACGTCGGCGTCGTTGGCGCCTGCCGCCGCGTCGTCGTCGAGGATGCCCGACGTGGCGATGAAGTCCTTGACGGGCAGGTGCGACTTGGCCGGTGTCGGCATGCGGTGCTGGTCGCGCTCCGAGTAGGTGAACATCGGGCACGAGTTGAGCGTCAAGAGGGCGTCGCTGAACCGGCCGAGCTCCATGTTGACGTCGGTCAACTTGGCCCACGTGACGAACTCGCTCGGCGCGCAGTTGACGGCCTGCTTGGCCATTTTGAGCGCCCACTCGGTCTTGCCCTTGGACCGCAGAAAGTCGCACTGGACGTGCAGGAGCGAGTACGACTGAGGGTGGTTCTGGATCGCCGACTGGAGGACCCGGACCGCCTTGACCTCCTCGTCTGCGAGCGTCGAAGGCTGTCAGTAGGCGGCCTCTCAATGTCGACGAGCCGGCGAGAGAAAGAGAGAGAGCGAGATCGGGACGCACTCATGCCGAGGTAGCTCTGCGCGAGCAAGCACGCGACCTCGCCCTCCTTGACGACGAGCTTCTCGAACAGGTTGACGGCGGGCCCGAACCGGAACGAGTCGCCGAAGTACTTCATGAGCCCGCTCGTGAGGTGATTGGACACGACCGTCGCGACCTGGATCTCGGGTTCGGAGCCGAGCTGCCAGCCTGCGCGAGGACGAAGGGGAGGACGGTCAGCTGGCCGCTTGAGGCGGAAAGGGAGGGAACAGGACAGTCGACGCACCCTTGAAGAACGCTGCCTCTGCTGCTGCGACAAACTTGAGCTCGGCATCGAGCGACGCGATCGGGTCGAGCTTGCGGAAGCCGGCGAGGCGGTAGTTGGCGTCGTCGGCGTACAGGATGGCGCGCAGGATCGCCGACAGGTAGACCTCCTGCCACATCTGGGGCGTCGCCTCGTGCCTGTATGAAACTAGGCGTCAGTATTCGGGCGGCGAGACTGAGTCTGAGGGCGAGGAGGGAGAGAAAAGGGACGCACCGCTCGCCGCGCACGTCGATCACGTAGGCCTCGACGCCGCCCGGGATCTTGACCTCGACACGGACGTCGACGCGCGAGAAGGCGTTGAACGAGCAGAAGGCGCCGCCGCGGATGCGCCAGGGCGACTTTGCCGAGGTCGAGCCGAAGAACCACGAGGCCGTCTCCTCGACCGTGTACGTGAGCGAGTTGAGGTAGGCGGCGAGGGATGCCGATGAGGAGGCGTCGACGCCCGAGACGTAGTGGTACGAGCCGACCTGGGCGCATCGACAGGTTCGAGGTGAGCCACCGTCCCTGGTCCTGTGCCCGCTGCGAGGAGGGAGAGTCGACGCACGTCTTTTTGGCCGGCCTTGCCCGTCGTCTTGATGACGTGACACAGATCAGGCGGACCCAGTTCGCGGAACGAGGCTGTAAAGGGACGGGAGAGAGGTGAGCGACAACTCGTGGAGGTTTGGCTGCAGCACCGCCTCGCCCAGCAGGAGCGTGCCCGCTCGACCAGGCCCGCCCGGCGGCGCAGGATCCTCGCCAGCGCTCCTCGCCCTCGTTCGGACACTCGTGAGGCGCGACGAGCGATCGAGAGGAGCGGCGGGGCGGCTGTGGGCGGTCAAGGGCGGGGGACGGAGAGGGGAGAGGAGGGGAAGGGGACGACGCACCGAGCGACTCTGTGCGCGAGATGAGCGACTCTCCGAGGTCGAGCTCGATGAACTCGGGGACGTCCTTGAGGTACTCGCCCATCGTGGCGGCGGGTCGAGGGCGGCGGAGCGGGGGAGGACGTGTGGGAGGGAGGGGAGGCCGATGGGGAAGCTGCTAGCGCTGCGGGTGGTGGGCGCGAGGGCTGTAGTTGCTGGCTAGCACTGCTCTGCGGTCGACTGGCTCGAGCGGGTGCTGGTTGAGCGAGCCCTCGTCGTCGTCGTCGTCGTCGTCTCGTCCTCGTCCTCGCGCCGCTCTCTCGCACCAGCAGCAACGCTCTTTGCCGACAGAGTGTACCCTGTAGCCCTCTACGTCGTGCATGCTCTCCGTCCACCGAGACCTCGCTGTCAGGGAGGCTTCCTCAACTCTCTCCCCGTCTTCATCTCTCGGCCAGCCTCTCTCCTCGCTGTCGCGCCCTGCCGGGCCGCGCACCTCCTGGGCCTGTTCACGAGGTGTCTCGACACTGCTCTCGGTCGCGACTGCCGACCGCCGGCGCTGAGCGGCATCGGCTGTGCACCCTTGCCGATCTCGCATCTGCGTCCACCGCTTCCTGCGCGCGACGAGCACGTCTGGCCTGCCTGGACAGCAACAGCGCGAGGGCGAAAGGGCTTGCGAGCGCGTCGCACAGCCGACGTCGATCGGCTGCAGCTCAGCTTCTGTTCCACGCACGCTCGCGCTCCGAGTCGCCGAGCGACGCTCGTCTTCGTTGCGCTCGCTTAGACGGCTTCGTCGACGAGCCGCGCCACGCGCATCGAGAATGTGCTCCGTCCGCCAACCCGGTCGCCACAACGTCGTCGTATGCGGCCCTTGGCGCGCTAGCTTCGCCGTCGCGACCTTGCCGGCGTCTTCGGCGACTTCTCCTCGACGACCTTCCCGCACGATACTCAGCTCTCCCTGCCTTCCCCTCCCACCTTCCAGCACCTGAACGACCATCATGACCGTCGCAACCGCACTGGCATCCACCCTGGGCCCGAGGGACAAGCTCCCGCTCCGGCGCGACTCGTCGTCGTCGGTCGACTCGGACGACTCGTCGAACGCGTCCGAGACGCCCATCTCGTACGCGACCGACCCGAACCGCCCCAAGGGCGAGCCGACACCGCGCACGACTAAGCAGAAGGTCGACCGCCGCCCGCCGTCGACGTTCGTGCGTCGCCCGTCCTCCTTTCCGATCCCGCAGTACGCCGTCCTCACCTCGTCGCTCTCCCTCCCTGCGCGCAGTACCTCAAGCCTCGCTCGGAGATGACGCTCGCCGAAAAGATCTGCAACCTCGCGACGTGCCCGACCAGCATGCACGAGCTCAAAGACGAGTCGATCGACCGCGGCCCCGTCCCGCGCCAACCCGTCCTCTCTGAGAACTGGTACATCGTCAAGCACGCGCTCGTTCCGCTCGCGATTCATCAAGCGAGCCACTACCTGCTGCCGAGTGCGTCCTCCTCTCCCTCGCCTCGTCTCATCAAGAGGCCGCCCAGCTCACTCTTACTCGCGTCGTCCCTCCTTCCCGCCTCCTGCCTGTCGACAGACCTCAAGTGGCCCTTCTGGTTTGCCTGGCCGTTCTACATCGCCGCCCTCATGCATTTCGCGCTCGGCTGGGTCGCTCGCCTCAATCGTGCGTCCTTGTTCTTCCTCTTCGACGTCCTCGCACTGTCACCATGGCCTGACGCGCCAGCTCTTCCGCAGGCATGTGCGTCGAGCTCGGAACATTCGACGAGAAGAACATCGGCCGCGACCGGACGCCGGACAAGTCGGTCAAGCACCTCGCCGCCGGCATCACCGGTTCGTCCTACTTTCCTCGTCGGCCTTACCTCGCGTACGTGCTCACGAGCCTCGTGAACGTCGCGCAGCCTACATGATCGTCCGCACCGGCTTCACGTTCTACCTCCACTACTCGCCGGACATCTCGCCCCTCACCGACTTCACGTGGACCTACCCGCTGCGCCTGGCGGCGTGGCAGGTCACGCTCGACTACTTCTTCTACTGCTACCACCGGTGCGTCTACCTTCGACCTCTCTCTGTCTCGATACCTGCTTCCTGGGCGTCGTCGCCGGCCTCACAGTGTCCCGCACGGACCCGTCCTGACCTTGCCTCGCTCGTTCCGCAGGGCGTCGCACGAGGTCGACACACTCTGGTTCATCCACATGCACCACCACACGACCAAGCACCCGACCGCCATCCTCGCCATCGTGCGTCCCTGCTTCCTCTCCTTTCTCGCCTCAACGAGGTTGAAGAGAAGGTCGCAGACTCGAACCTGACGACGTTGTCGCCCACAGCTCGCCGAAGAGTACCAGGAGGTCCTCGAGGTGTTCCTCATCCCGCTCACGGCAACGCTTCTCATCCCCATGAGCTTCTCGGAGATGTGGATGACCCTATGCTACACCCTCGTGCGTCCCTTCTTCCTTCCTTTCTTCGCCTTCTCTCGTCCCTCGTCCTCCACAGCGACCCAGGTCTGACGTCTCGTGCATCGTCCTGCAGTACGTCGAGATCCTTGGACACTCGGGCGTCCGCTCCTTCTTCGGCCACCCGATCCTCACCGCCCCGCTCGAGCCCCTCGGCATGGGCCTCATCGTCGAGGACCACGACCTGCACCACCGCTTCGGCAAGAGCGGCCTCAAGTACGTCCATCTCTCGCTCTCTCTCTCTGTGTCTCGAGGCGGCGGCTCTCCTTGCCCGAGTGCACGATCGAGCCGAACTCGAGCTGACATGTTTCCCTCGCGCAATAGCTACGGCAAGCAGAGCCGGGTCTGGGACCGCATCTTCGGTACCTGCGGCGAGCGCATCGAGACGTACGGCATGTGACGAGCCCGGTCGTTGATCGTCGGGCGCGAGTCGAGTGGGAGGGCCGCCGAGTTGAGAAGGTTGCGAGCGAGAGGGGTCGAGTGCGGCCCGAATCGTCTGTAGATACCGTGTTCATCGCTGCACTTCTATCTGTCACAAATACTTGCGCACGGCGAGCCGAGGAGCACCTGAGAAGCAGTCGTTCTTGGCCACGTTCGGGCTCGCTCGCCTCGCAACTTTCTTCTGCGCTCTCGCTCTCCCTCTCGCTCTCACAGAGAACGCTCAGTCGGCGAGGAACGGCACGAAAATCCAACACAGCGTCGCTACCGATCGAGACACTGGCACAAGTCCCTCCTGAACTCCTCGTCCGGGCACTGGTCGACGAGCTTGACGTCCCTGCAGCCCATGATGACGGGCCACGCACGCTCGAGCGAGTGCCCGAGCACCGGGTTCGACGGGCCGCCGCTCTCGTTCGGGCCCCACTGATCGTGGATCCAGTGGCCCTCGGGCGCCTCCATGAGGGTCGAGATGGCGCTGTAGCGCTTGTAGGGCTGCGCGAGGATGCGCCGTTTCGAGACGGCCATCTGCGCCGACCAAGCAGCCTGCAAGAGGGAGAGAGCGAGTTAGTGAGACTGAGCGACGAGCGAGAGGCACAGGCCAATTGAAAAAGAAAGAGAGAGGGACGCACAAGTTGGCCGCCTGGAGGACAGATCTCGCCCGCGAACACGTTGTACAGCTCCTTGACGACCTGCAGACAGATGCACGCAGTCAGTGCGATGCTCTTCGACGCCTGAAAGAGATAAGAGATGGCGAGAGACGCACAGGAAGGTTGACGGGCGCCCTCAAGTCGTTGCCGCACTCGCTCCTGACGAGCGGGCCAAAGTGGGCGAAGCCCGTCTCGTCGGCGACCTCGGCGAGTCGGGGCTTGGCGATAAAGTCCCACGCGAGGTGCGGCTGGAGGAAGTAGGTCGTGTCGGCGAGCGTCGTCGTGCGCAGGTGGGCGAGCGGCGCGGCGAGGTGAGGAGGTGCGGGCGAGGCCGACTGCCACGCGGGCGAGATGGACGACAGGGTCGAGTTGTAGTGCAGGAGAATGTGCTGTTGGCGAAGAAGAAGGGTGAGAGGCTGGATCGAGGCTGAGAGGACGGACGAGAGGAAGAGGAGCGCACCGTGAGGTAGGTCGCGCCTTCTCGACCGAGGTTCGGCAGCGGCACGACCTCGTCGCCCCACTTGAGCTTGAGGCCTTTGCGGATCTCCTGCTCGGTGCGCATGCCCTTGTTGTACACGACGACGCGGTTGCTCCGCTTGCGCACAAAGTTCGACTCGCGGATGAACGAGATGTGCGCCTCGGCACGCGCGAGGTCCTCGTTGTAGTACGCGATGACGAGGTCGACCGAGCGCGAGATGGGCGCCGAGGCCGAGACGGGGCAGACGGTCGTGCGCAGGTAGGGCGGGAGGTAGGCGCACGCCGACGACAGGGACGAGGTCGTCGCCGGCGTCGTGATGAGGTAGGCGAGGAGCGGGATGAACGGCACAAAGCTCAGGATCGACGGGAGCGACCCTCGGTCGGACGATGATGCCGAGGCGGACGACGGGATCTTGTACGAGTGGGCTGGAGGCGAGCTGAACGTGACCGACGACGCAGGCGAGGGCGGTACCGTGTCGGCGTGAGACCCGGCGGGCGCGAACGGCGGCGCAGGCTTGCGCGACTTGATGAAGGCCTCGTACAGCTCGGTCTCGGTCCACGAGAGGGCGACCGACCCGCAGACGTAGACGAGGACGATCTGGATCCAGTTCTCGCGCAGCGCGACGCCCTCGCGCCCGAACGCCGACCACACGAGGAGGATCAAGTTGCGCGGGAAGATCGACACGGCGGCGGGGAGGGCCGAGGTCGTCGTCGTGAGGTGAAAGAGGAGGGCGACCGAGGCGAGGGTCGTGAGGACGAGGGTGGCCGAGAACGAGACGTAGCCCGATGCGCCGAGGGTCGGGGCGTGGGCCGACGGGAGGGTCAAGTAGGTGACGGGGAGGAAGACGAGGGAGGTGAAGGTGGCGCTCTAGAGGAAGAAAGGGTCAGTCGGCGAGTGCCCAGAGGAGGAAAGGCGAGGACGCACAATGGCGCTGCCGGTGAAGAACAAGCTCAAGGGCGCCTCGTCCGCCACGCCGTTCTTGACCATCGTGAGCGCCGCCGCCTCGAGCGGGATGCGCACGAGGGCGAGCACGAGCGCACCGCCTCGCGCCGGCACGCCGATGAGCGCGAAGCCGACGAGGAACGTCGTGGCCGAAGCCCCGGCGAGGAAGGGCGTCGACGGGACGATGTGCCACAAGTTTGAGTGCGACAGGCGAGTCGAGAGCCAGGGCGAGAGGGCGAGGAAGGCGGGGATGGCGAAGACCTGCACGCGAAAGCGAGTTGTCAGTCGTGTCGCTCTCGTCGACGAGGCCGACGAAAGGAAAGACAGGGACGCACCTCGAGCGCCTCGCTGAGCCTCGGTTGCCCTGCCCGGAGCTCCAACACGCGCAGGTTGAAGCACACGGCGACGACGGCGCCCGTCGCCCACGCCTGCCGCCTCGTCGACGCCGTCGTCGCGGCCAGGTGCGACCCTTTGCCGAGCTCGAGCACGCTCGGCGACGTGTGCGCGTGCGTCATGCTCGGCCGTAGCCAGCCGTAAACGAGTGCGGCAAGGGCGAGGACGAGGAAGTGGGCGAGGGGGAGGGCGACGGTCGAGCGGCTCGAGAGGCGGGCGAGGCGCGAGAGCTGTCGCGCTGCGGCGGCCGAGGCGACGACGAGGGCGATGTGCGACAGGAGAACGGTGCGGGGAGCTGGCCGGTGGTGGTGGTGGTGCTGCAGAGGCGGGAGGGGCGGGGTGTGGCTCCGGGACGAGTGTCGCGAGTGGGCGGCCGTGGTCGACGAGGCGGACGAGTCGCGGCGGTCCTGCTCGAGCATGCTCTCGACTTGTTGCAGGACTGGGTCGTCGTCGTACTCGCGCGAGGGGCGCATCGTGCGCGGTGCAGGTCGCAGGCGCGGAGAGGTCGAGGTGGGCGGGTCGAGTCGAGCGGTGCGGGCTGGTCTGGCGGGTCGCTGGGGAAGCGCTCGCTCTGTGGATGCGCTGTCGAGTGCGCTCAGCCGAGCTGCAGAGGGAGGAGAGCGAGGGCGAGCCGGGCAGAGGCGATCGAGCTGTCGACCCGGAGGCTGGACGACCGGGAGCACCTCTCCCTCCCGCTCGAACAGGGCAGTAGCCGGTGCGCTATGGCCGGGAGCTCATGGAGGAGGCTTGCGCCGGTGAAGGGGGTCCAGGCTCGGGGTGTGGACGACTCTCTCCTCGTCCTCTTCCTCTTCCTCTGCAACTGATGAGAGCTTTCTCGCGCGGCCCTCCCGTGCTTTGGCCACCTGGATCGTGCAATACACTCTAGTAGCATTGCTCGAGAGTTTGGCTGAGGCAGGAGTCGGCAAAGCGAGAGTCTGAGCAGAAGAAAGTCGTCTCGTTGTCGCCGAGTCCTGTCGACGCGCTCCAGGTTCGCCCCGCTCTCGCTCCAGCCGCTCGGCAAAGACCTCGGACATTGGTCGCAACAGCTCGATGCTTTTCAGGAGGGGATAGAGTAGGCGGTCGTCGGGCCAAGCGCGTTTACTTGAGCGAGACGAGCTGTGCGGGCGCGAGGAAGGGGTCAGGTCGGGCTGTGCGGTCGGTCGATGGACGGAGAGAAGCGCGGGACGCACCTTGACATCGAAAAGAAGCGTGCTGTTGGCCGGGATGCCCGCGATCTTCTGGTTGCCGTAAGCGAGCTTGGCGGGGATCTTGAGCTTGCGCTCGCCGCCAACCTGCATGCCGGCGACGCCGAGGTCCCATCCTGCGCGAGTGCGGCGTGTCAGTGTAGGGGTGACGATTTAGGAGAGGTGCGGGAAGGAGGGACAGGCGAGGAAGAAGCCAAAAAGGGAGATAGGGAGGGAAGGGAGAGGCGAGAGTTGACGACGCACCCTTGATGACCTGGCCGCGACCGAGGGTGAACGTGAGGGGTGCGCCCTTGGTGTTCGAGTCGAAGACCTGTGCGGCAAAGTCCAGGGCGAGCATCAGTACGAGGTCGAGAGCGCTCGAGCGCCCGTCGATGCGTCATCGACGGGTTGCAAGAGTACGAGAGGACTGGCTGCGACGCACCTTGCCGTTCTCGAGCTTGCCGATGTAGCGCATGCCAACCTTGTTGCCGCTCTTGGCCGCCGCGCCGGTGCCGACCTTCGAGTCGGTGACCTCGAGGCCGCCGGCGATGACCTGCGTCTTAAGGCCAGCCTGCGCGCGTGCGGGAGTGTCAGTGCCGCGCTCGACAGCTTGGACAAGGAGAGAGAGAGAGACGAGGGCGCACCTTCTTCTCCTCCTTCTTGGCGGCGGGCTTCTCCTCCTTCTTGGCGGCGGCGGCGGGCACCTCCTTCTTCGGGGCGGCGGCAGCCGGGACAACGACCTCGCTGTCCTCGGTCTTCTGCTTCTTTGCGAGCTTCTTCTTCTGGTTCTTGCTCAGGCCGGCGGCCGACGCGGCCGAGACGGTCGACTCGTCGGCCTCGACAGGCGCGTCCTCGACGGCGGCGCGCTTCTTGGACCTGCAGGCGGTGCAAGAGGCTCGTCAGGGGCCGGACGACGGGGCGAGAGACGTTGCCGAGCACACAGAGGGACGGGCGACGCACGGCTTCTCCTGGATCTCCTGGATGCGGCTCGTCTCCTCCTGCATGTCCTCGTCCGAGCTGCCAGCAATGAGGCCCTCGAGCTCGTCCGAGTCGTAGTCGTCGCCCTCGTCAAAGTCCGAGCCGTACTCCTCCTCGTCGTCCGAGGGAGGCTGGTCAAAGTCCTCCTGGCGGATGTAGTGGCCGACCAGGTGGACCGGGCTGCGGGCGGGCGAGGGTTCGTCAGGGTGTGGCTCGCTCGAGAGACGCAGAGAGCTTGGACGCACTTCTCGCCGGTAACCGAGAACTCGACGACCTCGACGTCCTCGACGAGGGCGACGTTGACCGACGCCTGCTCAGTCTGCGAGTGCGGAGCGACCACGAGGTTGGCGTCAATTCGCCTGCGCCGCGGACACGACAGGGGGAGGGAAGTGAGACGCACCGCGTTGGGGCGGAGGACGGCAAGGACCGTCTCCTTGGTGATGATCTGGGGGAGCTTGATGTCGTCGTCGCCCTCGTCGTCCTCGTCGTCCTCCTCGCTGTCGTCGTCGTCCGAGTCCTGCTCAAACTCGGGGTACTTCATGATGACGGCCGAACGAGCCGAGCCCTTGACCTCGGCGCCGTACTGTTGTAGAGGGAGAGGGCAGGCCAAGGTCAGTGCGAGGGGCGAGGGGGGAAGGTGAGGGAAAGGGAGGGGAAGCGGCGCACCGAGATGTTGGTGATCTGGATGGCGGTGTTCGTGTTCTGGGTGAGGGTGGTGCCCGGCTGGAGGACGACCGACCTGTTGCGCGGCGAGCGAGAGGTGAGCACGTTGAGCGAGACGAGGGACGAGGGAGGGAAAGGACGAGGGGTCGTGGGAAGCTCGTTCTAAGGCGGGAGGGGGGCCTGGGGACTCACCAGAGACCGAGGATGATGGGGGCAGACATGGCTGTCGTGTGCTGAGTGTGTAGAGGGTGAGGAAGGAGGGAGGAGGGAAGCACCAGGAGACGAGCTCGAACTCGCACCACGAACGACCTCTAGCTCGACCGCATCACTCTCGGTCGGCCAGTTCTCCCGCCAGATCTACTCGTACAGCTTCTATCACCATGTGCGTCCCTTGAACCGCCTCTTTCCACCGTGTCGTCGTCGACTGACTTGTCATCTCCTCCTCCTCATCTCCTCGGCGACTTGGCGCCTCTCCCTCGCAACCAGGACGGCTCCCACCCGCTCCATTGCCATCGTCACCGACTACGACTGGTCCTACGCCGGTGCGCCGACCGCCTCGATGTCACGAGCGAGCCGGGACTGACCTCGCCTTGACTCCCTCCCCTCGTTCGACCCGCTGCAGACCAGGATACGGACCGGTGCGTCCCACTTTCGCGACACGTACTCCTGCGACACGTATCCTGATCGTCCATCCTGCAGCTACGTGTTCGAGGTCCTCGCACCTCACCTTCGCTCCTCGCTTCGGGAGGGCAAGAAGACAGCGCAGTGGACCGACAATTGGTGCGTTCGCTCTTCTTTCTCGCTCTCAGACGAACTGTAGACTCATCATTATCTGTCTCTGCAGCGCCGAGCACCTGCGCCGCCTGCACGCCGAGGGCTTCAAGCAGAAGGACGTCGAGGGTGCTCTCCACACGCTCCCGATCGTGCGTCCTGCTTCTCGACAGCGACACGCCCAGCCTCAAGGGCGCCCTCGTACTGACGAGTATCCCGTGCACCTCGTCTCGCAGCACCCGGCCATGCGTCGTGGGTTCCGCAAGACCAAGGAGCGCCAGGACCTCAAGACGACGATCCTCTGCCTCTCCAACTCGAACTCGGTCTACATCGACACCATCATGAAGGTGCGCCCTCGCTTCCACTCTCTTTCGACTTGTCGCGCGCTCGCCCGAGCCGGCCAGCTCGACGACGCAAGCTCGTACTGACCTTCTCAAATGGCCTTTCGCCCACTCTCGTCGCCGCCGCAGCACCAGAACGACGCCGACCTGTTTGACGAGGTCATCACCAACCCGGCCAAGTTCCGCGACGACGGCCTCCTCGAGCTCAAGCGCCGCGTCGACCCGAACGGCCCGCAACACGGCTGCAAGGTCGGATGCTCGCCCAACATGTGCAAGGGTGCGCCCGCTCTCTCTCTCTCTCTCTCTTCCCTCTCTCGCCCTGTCCGTCAAGACCACTGACGGTCGAGTGTCTCTCGTCCCTGCAGGCGCCGAGCTCGAGGCGTGGATGGAGCGCAACGGCGGGTGGGACTCGTTCGACAAGGTCGTCTACGTCGGCGACGGCTCGAATGACCTGTGCCCGGTCCTGCACCTCCGCAAGTGCGTCCTCTCTCTCTCTCTTCCAGGGCCGCCTCTCTCGATCCGACTGACCTCGAGCCCCGTCGCGCTCGCTCGCCCGTCCACAGGCAGGATGTTGTCCTCGTCCGCTCGTACCGCGAGCTGTTCCGCCGCCTGCAGGACTCGTCGGCGGCGCACGTGAGCGACGTCAAGTGCACGGCGGTGCCCTGGGGCGGCGCGTGGGAGGTCGAGAAGTGGCTCAAGGAGGAGCTCTAGACGAGCGGCCGGCGGTCGGGCGGTCCGAGCGGGCTCGAGACGTTAGAAAGGGCGGCAGGGCGCGTCGATATGCAGTGCTCTGTGTTCTGTGGCCCTCGCTGTCTTCTCTCGAGTGCGTGGGCGTGTGCGAGCGGGGCAGTCGCGAACTACGAGAGAGGAAAGAGCGAGAGCTGCCGGCTCGACGACGAGCAAGCTCTCGGCGTCTCTCCCGGGCCGGTCGAAGCGTACGCGCTCAGAGAGACGTCAAGAGTTGCGAGCTAGACCGCGTTGCAGGTGCTCGTCGCCCCTCCTCGCGCCCGTTCACCGCAGCCGGAACAAGTCCCTCGCGTCCGCCCTCGCACCCTGCAGCCCCGCCACCGTCGCCAGCCCCTCGTTCGAGTCGCGCGCCTTCTTGTGCCCCTGCCTCGGGCTCCCGCCGCCGTTGAGCGCCGGCCTCACCGCCGCGCCCGCTCCTCCTCGGCGCCCGCTCCAGCTCCCGGCGTCCTCGAGCCCGAGCCCAAGCCCGTTCGCCGACGTGCGCCGGGGCCCTGCACCTGCTGCACCGGCGCCCGCTCCTGCTCCCGCTGCTGCGCCCTGCTGCGCGTGCGCGTGAGCCGGGACCGCGCCCGGCTCGGGCCCGGCCGCGAGCGCAAAGTAGTCCTCGCGCCGAGCGCCGGCGGGCCCCGCTCCTCGCCCAGCTCGCGCCGACGTCATACCGACGGCCGCCTCGTCCTCCTCGACGCCAAAGTCGAGCAGGGCCCAGCGCGACTTTGTGCGCGGCGGGACGCCGGCGACGGCGCCGTCGGCGAGGGCGGGCGAGATGGGGAGCGCGATGCGGCCCTTGCCGCCGCCGCCGCCGTAGCCGTTGAGGCGCGACGAGGACGAGCTCGACGAGAGCGAGGCGGGGAGGTACCGGTCGAGGCCGAGGGACGAGAACGACGCCGAGAGCGAGTTGGTCAAGGGCCCGAAGAACAGCGACTCGTCCTCGGGGCGGCGGCGCGGGTGCTGCTGCTGCGCGTGCGTCGGCTTGGACGGCGAGTGTGGGGACGAGGTGGTGGACGAGGCTGAGGAAGAGGGCGGGAAGAAGGCGAGTTGCGAGGCGGGAAGGCGGGCGACGCGCAGGGTGCGCTTGGCGAGCGGTGGGGAGGCGCCGTCGTCGTCGGTGGTAGGGAAAGAAGAAGGCGGGTGTGCGGCTGGAGGCGAGGTTGCTCGGGACGACGACGACGGGACTGGCGAGAAGGATGACGAGCCTGCGGCCGTCGAGGGCGACACGCCGCGCGAGCCGAGGTCCTCGATCGACGGCCGACCGCCCGACAGGCGGCCGTCAAAGTATGACGACGTCGTGCGCGCAAGGTGAGCGTACGGGCTCGAGGGCGCCCGAGGTACGTCCAGCGACCCTCGCGCGCTCGGCGTCCCGCCGTCGCTCCACACCGAGTGGTACTCGTTGTCGTCGTCGGCGAGGAGGTCGATCGGCGGGCCGAGCGCAGGCTGCGCAGCCCGAGCGCCGAGCTCGAGGGCCGATGCGGCGGCGACTCGTCGCGCCTGCGGGCTCACGAGCGCGCCATCGCGTTCTCGACGGGCGGCGGCCCCGCTCAGGCCCGCGGACGAGGCCGATCCGGCGGCGCCGTTGCGCTCCCACACGGTGAGGTCGCCGTTCTCCTCGCGGGCGATGCGCTCGACGCCGAACGAGGACGAGGGGAGGTTGCACTGGTCGAGAGGGATGAGGAGGGTCGAGCGGAGGTAGATGGGGTCGGACGGCCACAGGCGGTTCGAGGATCGCAAAGCTTGCGGCTGCAGAAGCTTCAGTGTGTCAGACAGCTTCGACTTCCTCCAGAATGACGCGCAGGAGGCACGACAGGCCATTCGAGGGCGAGAGGAATCGGTCCGACGCACCGTGATGCCGTACTGCAGCGAGATGCTCGCGTACGAGTCGGTTTTCTGGACCTGTTGCGGCAACATCAAGTAGTAAGTATTGGTTCGAGGCAGACGAAAGAACCCGGCACGCCGGCGCTAGAGCGAGGGGACGGCGGACGCACCTTGTGGACGATGACCTCGCGCTCCTTGGCGGCCGCGCCGTTCTCGCTCACGCCTCGCCTCGCAGCAGGACCGTGTTCGACGGCCTTGCCCTTGCCCTTCGAGTCGCGGCGGAGGACGTAGCCGTCTGCGTCGGGCGAGCCGACGAGCGCCCCACTTGACGAGGCGGTCGCGGTGCCGAGAGCGGCGACGCCGAGGGCGTCGTTGGTGACACGGCGCAGCGAGGGTCGGGTGACGTCCGAGTCTACGCGTGCGAGGTTAGGGCGGCCTCGAGGCGAAGGTGCGCGGGACGACGAGGGAGGCTCGTCCGGGTCGACAGTCGAGGAGGGGAAGGGCGAAACGGGACGGCGACTGCGCAGGGTGGCGTGCGACGAGGGCGAGGGCGGTGCCGATCCGGTTGCTGGTGGCAAGAGGGACGCCGAGGTAGCGCCGGCAGAGGCGTCGTCGTCGTCGTCGAGGAGGCTCGAGGTGGCATTCGGCGAGGGCGGGAGGCGCAGTGGGGCGTGGTCGAGCTGGAGCGAGGTCGGGGTCGGGGTGGAAGTGCGCGAAGGCCCAGCGACGGGGCGGGCGGGCATCTAGCCGTGCATTCAACAGAGGGAGAGCGGTGGTGGTGGAGCGAGACGGTGCTGGTGGAGCGGCTCGAGGGGAGGCGATTCCGACGCGTTACGAGCGGAACTCGAAAAGGGCAAGTCGTCCAAAAGCGAGAGGGTCTCGGCTCGAGCGATTCGCCCCCCGACCTCGTCGCCTCGTCGCCCGCTCGCGCTCCCTCCCACCTCGCTTCTCACCCACGACGAGCCCCTCTTGCTACAGCTAGCAGCCATGGCTCAGAACATGCCCACCGACCCGACTCGCCTCGGCCCCGAGGGCACCGTCGCCCCGACGCCTCGTGCGTCTCCACCTTCTCTCTCTCTCGTCCGCCTGACCCAACCCGTGCTCACCTCGCTCCCTCTCCACCTCGTCCCTCTCGCGCCGTGCGGCCATGCAGAGAACACGCCTGCGGTCCACACCCTCACCGGCAGCATGATCTCGTGCGTCCACTCTCTCTCGTTGCGGTGGCGCCGTCGAGTGTTCCCCCTCGCCCCCCTTTCCCGCTCTCGCTCGACCTTCCTCCCGCCGCAACCGCGTCATCCCGCCCTCGTCTCGACCCCTGGACCAGCGAGCACCTCGCAGTCTTACCGAGTAGCATCACTGACTCGAAACCGCAACCCACAGGCGCCCGCAGATCCCGCCCACGCTCGGCGAGGAGGACGAGGGTACCGAGACCATCGGCTCGCGCGACGCCCAGGGCCTCGGTGCGCTCGCCAACAACCCGGCATTCGGTCCGTCCCACTCTCTCGAACCTCTCAGACGCGCCCGTACTGACGGATCTCGTCTGGATCTCCCCCTCCTCGCCCTCCCCCACCTCGCTCGTCCCCGCACCCTCGCCCTCAACTTTCGCCTCGACCTCGCCCCGCCTACGCCGTACACCTCCCTACCACCACGTGCAGCCCAGCTCGTCCAGGGCCGCCTGTCGGGCCTCATCGGCCGCTCGTCGGGTTACGTCGAGTCGCTCCCGACCGCGGTTCAGTACCGCCTCACGGCGCTCAAGGGCGTCCAGCGCGACCACGCCGTCCTCGAGGCCGAGTTCCAGAAGGAAATCTTTGAACTTGAGAAGCGGTTCGCGGACCGCTACAAGCCCCTGTACGACCGCCGTCGCGCCATCATCGAGGGCTCGGCCGAGCCCATGGACGACGAGGTCAAGAAGGGCGTCGAGGCCGAGGAGGAGGAGGGCGAGTCGGACTTTGAAGACGAGGACGACGACGAGGCGGCGGCTGACAAGCCCGCGCGTGGCGTCAAGCCGACCGACGCCGAGCTCGCCGAGGCGCCCAAGGGCGTCCCGGAATTCTGGCTCACCGCCCTGAAGAACCACCTCGGCCTGTCGGAGCTCATCACCGAGCGCGACGAGGAGGCCCTCAAGCACCTCGTCGACGTCCGCGTCGCGTACCCGGCCGACAAGAGCGGCTTCACCCTCGTCTTCGAGTTCTCGGCCGGCGCGCAAGAGTTCTTCGCCAACACGACGCTCGAGAAGACGTACCTGTACCAGGACGAGGTCGGGTACGAGGGCGACTTTGTCTACGACCACGCCGAGGGCACCAAGATCGAGTGGAAGGAGGGCAAGGACCTCACGACCCGCATCGAGACCAAGAAGCAGCGCAACAAGAGTCCGTCCCCTTTTTCTCTTGTCCTCTCGAGCCGTCACTGACTCTCTCCATTTGCCTCCTCGCCCTGTCCCGTCGCCGTCCCTCGCTCGTCGCCTCGATCCTCCTTCCCACCCCTGCCCCACCTTCTTCCTCCTCGTCCCCCCCCCCTTTCTCTCCCTCTCGCGCACACAGACACCAACCAGACCCGCATCGTCAAGAAGGTGGTCCCGACCGACTCGTTCTTCTCGTTCTTCTCGCCGCCGGCGCCGCCCTCGGCCGACGACGACGACGACGCCTCGATCGCGAGCGACCTCGACGAGAAGCTCGAGCTCGACTACCAGATCGGCGAGGACCTCAAGGAGCGTGTCATCCCGAGGGCAATCGACTACTTCACTGGTCGTGCGCTGTTGCACGAGCGCGGCGCGTTCGACGGCGACGAGTCGGACGACTACGACGACGAGTTTGACGAGGAGGATGAGGACGACAGGTGCGTCTCCGAGCCACGCGCTCGTTCCCCTCCCTCCTTCGCCTCCTTCTCCAACATACCCCGTCGTCCCGAGCGGCGGCGGCGCGTCGAGCCGAGCGCTCGTCGTCATCGCCTCGCCCCTCGACCCTTCTCGATCTTCCTTCCGTCGCCTCTCGCGCCTCGCCCGCCGACCTCCCTCAGCATCTCTCGACGCCCAGGAGGACGAATGAGCACTGACGAGTGTTTTGCACCCCGCCTCGTTGAGGTAATCGCAGCGACGACGACGCGCCGCGCCGTGCCCCGGTCCCGCCTTCCCAACCCGGGTCGGCGCCCGAAGCGCAGGAGTGCCGCCAGAGCTAGATGCCCCGTCTCGTCTCGTCCCGCAGTAGTCTCCTCCCTCCCTTCTTTTCCCCCCTTCGACAGCCCTTGCTCCCCTTTCTCCTCTCGAGCGCCTGAGTGGCCGCTTTTCTCCCCCTTCTCTCTATTCCCCTGCCTGCACGTCGTCGTTCCTCCCCCTTCCCCTCTCTTCCCTTTCAGTGTCACGCCCCGGTTCGTCACGAATGCCAAAGGATTTTAGCTCCACTCGTTCGTCGCCGAGAGGAGAGATTCCTCGTCCCGCGAACACCTCGTCCTCGCTTCGGCGGCCAATCTCGCTCCGTCCGCCCGGATGCGCTCGGCTCTCTCGCGCAGGAGAGCTTCACAGAGTCTCGGCAAAGCTCTTGGCGGTCGGCGCAGCCGTCGCTCGAGCGACGCTCGGGCTCGAACCGGACGAGAACTCGTCCACCTCGAGGACGTCGCCGCGCTCACGTCGGGCTTTCAGCGGTCGCTCTTCGAGCTCGACAACTTCGGTGCTCTCGTCGACCTCGTCGACCTCGTCCAGAGGCTGCGAAAGCTGCGTTCGGCTCAAGCTGCGGCGACACGACTCGATTCGACCTGAGCGAGGCGGTCTTCTCTGCAAGGCTGCGTTGCTCTCTTGCTCCCGCCTGCAGCTCTCTGCCTCCTCAGATATCGAGTCCAAGCTCGCCGCAGCTATCTCGCCGAGCGTGACCGGGAGCGAGCCTCGCGCGAACGAGCCGAGCGGAACGAAACTGGCGTGAGCGGCTCGTGCACGACGAGCGTTTCGAGACGACCGAGACTCGCTCGCCGCCTTTCTTTGCGCGTGAGTCGCAGAGACAAGGTCGCTCGGCTCGTTGGTCTGACAGAGCTACAAAGCGTTGCCCGGACGAACCGCTAGCACAGCAACGGTCCGGCTTCTGCTCAGTCTCGGTTCGCTCTTTTCCTGCGCGCCCGTGCGCACTAGAACTTCTCTCGGACACTCGCTATGCAGCGTGTGTGGCGCGAAAGCAGACGGACAGTCTGTGAGCCGGGCGGGCGAAACGTCGCAGTGTGTCGCGCTGAGAAGGAAGAAGAAGCAGAGTCCGCCTGTGGTACAATCCTGCGCATCGAACGCATCTGGATACGTTTCTGTAACGTGGACAGATAGTCGTAGCGAATGCTGAATGCGCACGTCGCCGTCCAGTCAGCGACGCCGTCGTCGAGTCGGCCTTCTCAAGTTGGACTTCCTCGTGTGCCGGTCGAACGCCAGCTCAAGCTGTGTCCCCTGAGCCCTCCTCAGACCGCGAAACAGGCTCTCAGAGCTATTCGCTCGCCAAGGTCGGGCTGTGAGCTGAGAGACCGACAGTATTCGCCTCTCAAACGAGAGCTCGAGCCTCGTCCTCTCCTTCCTCCTCGTCCCCCCCCCCTTCTCTCCCTCTCGCGCACACAGACACCAACCAGACCCGCATCGTCAAGAAGGTGGTCCCGACCGACTCGTTCTTCTCGTTCTTCTCGCCGCCGGCGCCGCCCTCGGCCGACGACGACGACGACGCCTCGATCGCGAGCGACCTCGACGAGAAGCTCGAGCTCGACTACCAGATCGGCGAGGACCTCAAGGAGCGTGTCATCCCGAGGGCAATCGACTACTTCACTGGTCGTGCGCTGTTGCACGAGCGCGGCGCGTTCGACGGCGACGAGTCGGACGACTACGACGACGAGTTTGACGAGGAGGATGAGGACGACAGGTGCGTCTCCGAGCCACGCGCTCGTTCCCCTCCCTCCTTCGCCTCCTTCTCCAACATACCCCGTCGTCGAGCCGCAAGGTCATGCTGCGGGTCCAAGCGCATCTCGCCTTGCCTTCCTCGCGCTCGCGTCCTTCTCAAAAGCGAATCTCTCGCTCTCCTTCCGAGCAGGGACGAACAGAAAGTGCACAGACGTTACAGCTGAGACCGCTCCGCTACTCGTCGCGCTTCTTCTTCCGCTTCTCGGCCCAGGCCACGCTGCGAGCCTTGCGCTTGGCCTTGGCGCTGCTGGTGCCGGCCTTCTCGCCCTTGTCGGGCGGCGGTGCTGCCTTCTTGAGCACGGCGAGCCTCTCCGACTGCGAGAGGGTGACCCTCTGCGGCGGCGAGAGGTCAGTACCGGCGCGTGCGGGGTCGAGATTGCGAAAAGTGGACGCACCTCGAGAGGTTTCGGCTCCTCAGGCTCGACCGCCTCGGACTCTCGGGCCGCCCGCTCGGCCTTTGCCGCCTTCTTCTGCTTGAGCTTGAGCTTCCTGCGGTTCACCTTGAGGCCCGTGACCGGGTCGAGGACGCGCGCCTTGTGCTTGAGGCCGTACAGGAGCGTCGGGCCCTGTGGAATAGAGGGAGAGGGTCAGGCCGTGCTCAAGAGGTACAAGCAACGCAGAGAAAGAGAGAGAGGACGTACGAAGTAGTCGAGCATGGCCGAGAGCGGAGCTGGAGGAGGCGGCATCTCGATCTCGCACGAATGCTCAGGCCGCAGCTCGACGCAGCGGGCCTTGGTCGAGCCGACCTGGACCTCGAGCACGACCGAGAACGAGCACGACATGGGCTCGAGCGCGCAGCGCAGGCGCGTGCGCGCCTTGTTAGGCGCGACGTGCGACACGGCGGCCGGCTCGAGGTACTTGCCCGGCGGCGCGACTCGGCGTGCAGCTTGGCCTCGACGATGCACAGGTCGGTGAAGTTGAGCTTTTCACCGTGGTTGACGTGGTCGCGGCGGCGGATGAGCTGCAGGACGAGATGTGTCAGTACGCGTCGATGCGGAGGAAGAAAGTCAGGGACGCACCTCGGCGGTCAGGTAATCGTCGTCGCCCGGCTCCCGGTCTGCGCCCTCTGCACTCGACGCACTCGACGCACTCTGATCTCGACGTTGGGCGTTCCACGTCCTCGTCATGTCGTCGTCGCCCTCGCGCTCGACGGGCCAGCCGCCGTCACGCGCATCGACGTCGACTCGACGCTCGTCGCCACCCTCCTTGTACTTGCCCTTGCCCTTGGTCGAGGTGTTGCCGACGCTCGAGATGACGAGCTGGCGCGCGTCGTCGTCCCAGGTGTAGGCGGTGCGGGCGAGGCCGGCTTGGAGGGCGGCCAGGCGGGTGTGGAGGAAGAGGTCTTGCCACGAGGTGCGCAGGTCGTCCCCGACGGGCCAGAGGGCAGTAGGCGAGTTGTCGGGAGGAAGGGGCGCGGCCATGGGCACGTCGAGGCTGATGCGGGCGGACGAGGTCGAGTCGTTCGGCGCGGTCGAGCGAGGGAGGGGGAGTGAGGGTGAGGGTATCGGGCGAGGCCGAGTTGAGGGGTGCGAGGGCTGAAGGTAGACCGACTGCGACTGCACGCTGGTCAGCAACGTTCCTCGGGACTGAGGGAGAGAGGGAGAGCTCCAAGGAGGGACGAACTGATGAGGATCGAGGGGGCGGTGACGGGGCGTGCTTGAGGTTCGACAGGGAGCTCGGCCGAGCGAGTGCAGCTGTGCGAGCCTGTTGGAGTTGCTGACAGGCAGCTTGAGCGGTGTAGTGAAGAGCGAGGCTGGTCCACCCCGCCGTCTCCTCCTCGCCCGAGGTTCGCCTCTTCTCGCTCTCGACCACTCGCTCTGCCGAGCTCCGATACAGCTCGAACACCTCGCCACTCGCCGCAGCTACCATGCCGCCCAAGTCGTCCAAGTCGGCGTACGCCCGCTCGAGCGAGACGGTCCAGATGACCTTTGTCGACCTCGTGTGGATGATCCACGAGGTGCCGCTCGGCACGCCCAACGCCCTGCCCGCACTCGGCTCCCCGCTCCCCTGGTACATCCTCCCCGCCCCGCTCGCCAAGACCAAGTGCCCCTGGACCCGCACCCCGAACGACGCCTCGCGCCGCCTCGAGTCGATCCACCGCGAGGCCGCTAGAGGCCTGCGCGAGTACGAGCGCGCCAAGCGCGACGCCCAGGACCCGGCTCAGCTGCGCGCCGAGGCCAACCGCAAGAAGAAGCTGCGCAAGCTCGCGAGCAAGGCGCGCAAGGACGAGGGCGAGGGCGTCGAGGCGGCGGCGGCGGCGGCGGCGGATCGAGCAGCTGGCGAGGGCGAGGGCGAGGGCGACGAGGGGACCGGCGAGGCGGCGACGACGGCGCCCAAGCGGGTCCCGACGGGCCCCAAGTGCGCCTACGCGCTCCCGCCGTACCTGTCGGACGAGACGCGGGCCGCGTTCCTCGACCAGTACGCGCGCGTGCACGCCCAGTGGGACAAGCAGCGGTGGGACGAGGCCGACGTCGTCCTGCCGGACAAGCTCAAGGCGCAGGCCGTGTGGGGGAACGCCTACATCTACCCGGCCGAGCACAAGGACGACCCGCAGCGAGGGCTCGTCCTCAACCAGGACACGTTGACGTTCGAGTACCACACCGAGTAGCTCGCCGTGCAACGCAGCAGAGTGTGCTCGGTGCCGTTTCTGCGCTTCGAGAGCGAGGGACTCGTCGAGAGCGTCGACTTGAAGCGAGAGCACCTCTGAGCGCGAGGAAGCGAGTGATTGAGGATGGCTCGAATCGGGCCGCAAGTCGGCGTCGGCGTCCCTGCAGCTGTTGCGCTCGAGTCTGAGCTGCGCAGCCTTGCAGAGAGGCAGAGACGGAGCGAGCAGGGTCGGCCGACCGGGAGGAGAGCGTGCGAGAGGGTCGCGTGGACGGGCAACACGAGCGAGAAGCCGAGCGCGGCCTGGAGGGAGGCCAGAGCAAGTCTGAGAGCACAGCAGCGATGGCAGCGCGCCTCGAGTGAGTGGCAGGAGCGAGAGCTGGTCGTCGGTCGCGTCGTCGCCGTCGGGAGCGGGGGCAGCTGAGCGTCGTCCTCTCTGTCCACCACCTCGGCTCGCTCGCAAGAGAGCTCGCAGCCACCAGAGCACCCTCAGCATGGCTCTGCGCTGGCGCACCGGCGTCGCCCACCTCGGGCCGGCCCACCTCGCCCTCGTCTTTGTCGCGTCCTTGGTCGTCTCGCTCGTCGTGTTCCGCCCGGCGTCGACGAGGCTGTACAACCCGCGCATCAGCGCACTCTACTCGCCGCCACACCCAGACTCGACCCCGAACCGCACCCCGATCCACAGCTCGGTCGTCGTCCCCGCCTACCACGAGCGCGACAACCTCGCCCCGCTCGTGCGCGCCGTGTTTGCCAGCGTTCGCGACCCGCACGCGACAGAGGTCCTCGTCGTCGACGACAACTCGCGCGACGGCACCGTCCAGGAGGTCGAGCGCCTCCGCCGCGACGAGGGCTTCAACGTCGAGCTCCTCGTCCGCACCGACGAGAACGGCCTCAGCTCGGCCGTCCTGCGCGGCTTCGAGCGCGCGAGGGGCAACAAGATGCTCGTCATGGACGCCGACTTGCAGGTGCGTCCCCCCTTTTCCCCTCCCCTCTCTCGCGCGTCCTCGAGCTCACCTTCCCCTCCCCCACCTCTCCCCTTCCGCCCACGCACAGCACCCGCCTGCCGCCGTTCAGCCCCTCCTCGACGCCCTGTCGACCTCGTCCCCTCTCGCGCTCGGCACCCGGTACGGCCAAGGCGTCAGCATGTCCAAGGGCTGGCCCCTGCACCGCCGCATCATCTCGTGGGGCGCCCGCGTCCTCGCGCGCCCGCTCACGAGCGCAAGTGACCCTATGACGGGCTTCTTTGCCATCACCAAGGAGCAGGTGAGCCCTCTCCCCTTCTCGCCTGTTCCCTTTTCGAGAGCAACTCGCTCATCCTCTCTCCCTCGTCGTCACAGTTCCACCGATCGCAGCCGCTCAACCCGTCGGGCTTCAAGCTCGCGCTCGAGCTCCTCCTCAAGTCGCCCCTGCCGGCGGGTGCGACCCTGCCCGAGGTCCCGTACTCGTTCGGCCTGCGCACGAGCGGCTCGTCCAAGCTGTCGAGCAAGGTCATGCTCAAGTACGTCGGCCAGCTCGTCACGCTCTACGTGTGGGCTTGGGGCGCCTACTTCCACCTCGCCGTCGCGCTCGGCGTCACACTCGTCGTCGCCGCCGGCGGCCGGGTCCTGCGCTTGCGGGCGAGGAAGATGACGCGCGGCAAGGAGTACCCGCTCGGCGGCTTCCACCTCGACGCGGGCACGCCGCCGCTCAGCCCCAAGGCCAAGGGCAGGAGCGCGGGCGGTGGGCGACTCGGCGGCAGCGGCGGTGGGGCTGGGAGCGGGGCGGGCCGGCTCGCGGCGTGGTCGAGCGGCGGCGGCGGAGCGGCGGGCTCGGGAGGAGCAGGAGGCGGGAGCGGCGCAGGGCAGACGGTCCTCGAGCGCAAGAGACTCGTGTAGATGTGCGCGCTCACGCAGACACTCGTCGTCTTCGGAAGTTTTGGTCCTCTTTGCGCGAGCGGCTCGAGAGCGACGAGAGCTTTCCTCTTGGGACTCGAGACGAGAGCGCGCCATGAGAGCTGCGTAGTAGCACATAAGTTACAGCTGCTGCTCGACAAAGGACACGCCCGCCCTCGCCCAGGACGCCGGCTCAGGCAAACACCCTGCGCTTCTCGAGCGGGTCGTCCCGCTCGCCCGGCTTCATCTCGTCGAGGCGGACTTGGCGCACGGCCTGGGCGTCCTTGCGGCCGCGGTACTTGACGGCGCGCGCGAGCTTGGCGCTCGCGAAGCGCTGCGACGACGGGATAAACTCTGCGGGCGGCACGTGCGAGCGGGTCAGTCTCGGGATCACGACGCTCCGACGGCCTCACGTGGACAGCACGACCTGCTGCTCGTAAGAGCTGCAGATCGCGCACACCGAGAGGGTCCAGAGAGAGAGGGGAGAGCGCTCGACGCACCCTTGTTCTCGTACAGGCACGCGCCGTTGAAGCTGCCCTCGAAGATCTTGACCGGGTTGAGGACGAACCTCGGGCCGACCTCGGACAGCGACAGGTGCGGCATGCCCTCCTTCTGCGCCACCTTGCGCGCCTGGGCGTCCGTCAGGGCCTGGGTCGACGAGGTCGTCTGCGCGAGCGCATCGGCCGAGGGCGTGTCGAGGATCTGCGAGGGGTGCCCGAGGTGGGTGAGCTTGACGCTCAGAGGGCATGGAGAAGCAGGGGACGAGGGAGAGACGGACCTGGTAGTTGCGGAACCAGATCTTGCCGTCGACGATGCTGAAGTTGATGACATGGTCGATGAAGGGCTTGGCGCGGCGCGCCGTCTTGGGGACCGCGAACGTCTGCGCGTTACGGCGAGGATGTCAGTGTCTTCGTAAAGTGACAGAGAGAGAGAGAGAGAGGGGACGGACGTGGGTGAGGACCTCCTTGATGAGCTGGAGGTGGGGCTCGTCGTCGAACTGCTTGTCAAAGACGACGACGGGCCTCGAGCCCTTGAGGCAGTTGCCCGTCATCTTCATCTCGTCCATGGTGTGGAGGTTGAGGACGTGGAAGCGGACCGAGGGCCCGTTGGGCGCTTTGGCGGCCCACAGGTACAGGTCGTTGTGCTGGCGGCGCGCCTCGAAGAAGAGGGCGTTGTTGCACGACGAGAGGTAGCACAGCTCGTTGAGCGAGGGGAGGTTGTGCTTGTCCTCAAGCTTGGTCTCTGTGGGCGTGCGCTGCCAGCGTCAGTGACGCCGGACGAGGGGAAGAGCTGATGAGAGGGAGGCGGACGAACCCTTCTTGGCGTGGGGCATGATGCTCAGGAGGTCGGTCATGAGGTGGCGCTGACGCTGCGAGATGCCACGCGAGCTGGTGACGAGCACGCGCTGCTTGTAGGGCTTGGGCGGAGCAGCTGCGGCGGTGGTGGTCTGGTCGGCGGAGGTGGACGAGGTCGAGGTTGCGGCGGCGTCGTCCTGCTGCTGGCGCTTGCGCTTGAGCGACTGCTTTGCGAGAGCTGCGGGTGCCATGCTAGCTGGCGGGTAGCTTGAGCGGGCGAGTGGTGGTGGGGAGGAGGGACTCGGCTCTCTCAGCCAGCTCGAGCTCGAGGGAGACGAGGCGCGACGGCGGCTGGTCCGGATCGAAATCTCCGCGGAGAAAGCTTCGACGCGCTCGATCAGCTCGTCGTCGCGCCTCGCTCTCGGCTCGCACAGCCAGCGCACCTGCGCGCGCACACCAACTCGAGGCGCGTCTATCTGCACAAGGCGACGCAGCGAGCACGCGTTCGCCGCCTCGACCTCGTCGCCCCACCCGACTCGCCTCGCCTCATCTCGACCGCGGCCGTCCGACTCGCACCCCGGCCCAGGGCGCGCGCGCGCAGTGACGGCGAGCATGGAGGTCGGCACTCTGGCGAGCACGGTCGTCAATGGCCATGCCCACCGCGCCTCGGTCGGCGTCGCCAGCCACCTCCCCGCGACGACGACGAGGGATTCCGTCTCGTCGTCCGTCTCGCGCGCGCCCTCGCCGAGGATGACGGCCCGCAAGACGGACCCGATCCCGCACGCCGAGTCGTTCCAGCGCATCCGCTTCTCGCCCGCCGCGTCGCCGAACCCGAGCCGCAGCTCGTCGCCCCTCCTCGGCGCGTCGTCCGGCGGCGGCTCGACGCCGCTCTTGCGCGCCTCCACCTCGTCGACGACGACGTCGTCCTCATGGCTCCTCCACCCGACGGCGGCCGTCCAGGCGCCCGACATGGGCGCGCTCGCCCGGCGCGTCTCGATGTCGCTCAACGAGTACGCCCACGCCGCCGCTCGCCCGTCGACCTACATCCACTTTGTGCGGTCCCTGCACCCGTCCCTCCTCGCCCTGTTCGTCGTCGCCGTCACGGCCACCCTCTCCAACAAGTCGCTCCTCCTCGGCTTCTTCCACGGCCTCACCTACTCGCTCACGAGCTGGCAAATGCTCTGCGCGACCGGCGGCACCGTCCTCGCCCAGCGCATGGGCGCCTACCGCCCGCAACGCATCGCCACCAAGCACAACCGCGAGCTGCACGTCATCGCGTTCGTCTCGTCGTGCGAGATCCTGTGCTCGGCCCTCGCCCTGCGCCTCATCCCGGTTCCCGTGCGTCCTCCTTCTCCCTCTCTTTCTACCTCTCCTGAACCTCGGCACTCACACATTCTCTCTCGCACGCGCGCAGTTCCACGTCTCGCTCCGAGCGGCGTCGCCCATCCTCACCCTCGTCCTGTCGGTCGCCTTCTTGCACGAGCGCGCCACCTTGCGCTCGGCGTCGGCCCTTCTCGCCGTCCTCCTCGGCGTCGGCCTCACGTCGCACAACGAGGACTACCTGTCGCTCGGGTCCCTCCTCCTCATCGCGTCGGCCGTCCTCCTCAGCGCCAAATCCCTCCTCCTCACCTACTACCTCCAGGCGCGCCTCAACCTCCACCCGCTCGACTGCCTCGCCCGCATGTCGCCCCTGTCGGCCGTCCACTGCCTCGTCTTTGCCCTCGCCAACGGCGAGCCGAGGCGCCTGTGGCGCTTTGTCCAGGGCCAGGAGTTCACGCGCGCGCACGTCGCCCAGGTCGCGCTCAACGGCGTCCTGAGCTTTGCCGCCGTCGCGCTCGCCCTCGTCGCCGAGAAGAAGACGCGTGCTCCCGCCATGGCCATCACGAGTGCGTCCCCTGTTTCTCTCTCTCCTCGTACGCCCTCCCGAACTCACTCGAGCTTTCCGACCTCGCAGCCCACGCCGCTCAGGCCACCACCATCCTCTCGTCGGTTCTCCTCTTTGGCCTGCGTCTCTCGCCGCTCAACTTTGTCGGCGTCGCCGTCACGCTCGGCGGCGGCGTGCTCTACGCGCTGTGGGACGCGCGCGACAAGGAGCGCGACGCCTGGCTGCACTACGCGGCGGGCGGTCAGGTTGGGGGAGGGGGGTTCGGGCTCGGGCTCGGGTTCGACGGCGGAGGAGGAGGAGGAGCGAGGGATCGCGACGGCGAGGGTTTGCCGACGAGGGCGCCTTTACTGCCGCCGCCGCCGCCACTCTCGGTGCAGAAGCCGGACTGAGCATGCCGGGCTCGGCCTCTCGTCGAGGAGGACGTCTCGAGGAGCGCATCATAGAGCTACGGTCTGTCTTTGTCGTAGCAGGAGATGGAGGAATGCAGGCGTGCACTCCTCTCAACGGCGCGAGCGATGCGGTCGAGCCCCTTCTGTTTCTGCCTGTCGTCGAGCCTCTCTCGCACGAGACCGAGAGAGAGAGAGCAAGGTGATTGCGACACGGACAAGAACAGCAACAAAATCGACAGGGGTGGGTAAAGGGAGACAGGAGGAAAAGATGGGGAGAAGTACGGGAGAGGAGGAGGAAGGACACGCTGCGCCACGCTCACGCGGGCCGCTGCGCCTCGACACCGAGCCAGCCCTCGTCGACAGCCTCCTTGTGCGACGACGATGGTGGCGTGTCGACGCGAGTAGCCTGCTGCGGCGCCTGCACGAGGATCGCCTCCTCCCCGTCGACCGGACCCGCACCCTTGCTCGCACCCAGCTGCGGCCCCGCAGCTCGTCCAGCACGTTCTCGCTCGCTCCCGGCGCCCTCGACATCGTCGTCGCCGAGCGCCGAGCCGTCCGTGCTCTGCAGCTCCCAGTCCTCGGGCTCGCTAAAGCCCTCGCTCGCCTCGTCGAGGTCGGCCGGGCCCGACGGCGCCCGCATCGACGCCGCGTCGTCGACGCCGAGCTCCGAGAACGAGTCGTCGCCTGCTGCTGCGGCTGCTGAGGACGAGGCTAGTGCGGCGTGCGCGGCCGAGGGTTGAGCGGACGAGGTCGTGCGGCGCATCCACCGAGGCGGCGACGGGGCGATCGAGAAGATTGGCGCCGACGTGCGCGAGAGCTGTGCGGCATTGAGTACACGAGTACGTCAGGAGGTTGTCGGCGAGAACGCGGGAGGACTGGCGAAGAGTGGACATCGCGACGCACCTCGGTCACCCTCGAGCGAAAGTCGTTCCAGTCGCGCTCGTTCTCGATGACGAACCCGAGAAGCATGCTCGGGTCGAGGCTGGCGAGGGCACACTTGCGCACGCGCTCGCAGTGGTACGTCGCCCACGCGCTGTCGGCGTACGCGTCGAGGAGGAACGCCTCGAGCTGCTGCGCCTCGACGGGACGGGCGCTCGCCGGACCGAGGGAGACGTGCTCGGCGGCGCGCACAAGGCTGTCGTCGGTCGGGAGGACGAGCGGAACGGCGGGACGAGGGTGGTGCGGGTCGATGTAGAAGAGGGCGTTGGCCTGGGCGCCGACAAAGTAGTACGAGGACGAGGGGCGGCCGCCGGCGATGCCGACCGACTGCGGGATGCGGAAGATGGTCTGCAGGAGCGAGACAGTCAGATACGAGTCCGAGGAGGAAACGGAGAGAGAAAGAGAGAGGGAGGGAAAGAAGCCGGGGCGCACCTTGACCGCCTCGTGGTAGATCGGGTTGATGCCGTCGATGCCGAGGCGCAGGTTGATGAGGACGAGCACGGGCTTCTGCCACCGTGCGCCGTCGGCCGCACTGCTCGCCGCGGCGACCTCGCTCTCGTACACGGTGCCGTCCATGCAGCTGACGACGCTCAGGCCCGCCGCGCCGTAGCCGTTGACGAGCGACTTGATGGCGCCCGCCGCCGTCGAGGGCCCGAACCACTCGCCGACGTCCTTGCCGAGGCGCTTGCCCTCGAGGGCGAAGCGGTGCACCGAGAAGGGCGAGAGCGGCGACGGGTCATCGAGGAAGAGCGACAGGAGGCGAGCGTAGGTGCCCGCATCGGCGACGGTCGTGCTCGTCGAGCCGGTCGTCGGCGGAACAGGTCGTCGCCAATCTGCGAGGACGGTAGGTCAGGGACATGTTCGACTGAGAGAGGAAAGCGAGAAGAGGACGCACCTCGGCCGAGGTGAACTTTGACGAGCGCGTTGGCCAACAGGCTCTGCCCCGTCCTCAACATGCAGCCCCAGCCCGCATCGGTGCTCAGCCCCCGCTCCTCGCTCGGCGACGACACTGGACCTGCTCGTGCGCCGCGCCCGATGCTCATGCCGAGGTTGCTCAGCATGCCGCCGACGCCGCTGCCGCCGGCGGTCGAGGACGACGAGGGTGGGTCGCACGGGATGAGGGGGAAGTGCGAGCGGTAGGTGAGGGCCGGGCGCGAGTAAAAGTCGTGGTAGAACGACGCGGGCCAGCCGTGGATCGTCGCTGGCGGAGGAGCGGGGGACGAGGAACGGCTCGAGGGCGAAGAAGGGGGGATGCCGGTCGACGCTGAGGGCGCGAACGACGGCTGCTGAGGGGGAGGAAGAGCCGGCGACTTGCGCGCCTTGGTCGGGCTGTTGCGACCTCGTCGGCCGAGGGCCGAGACGCCCTTGCGCTGCCCCTCGTCCGCCTCGACCTCGCCGTCTCGCTCGTCGTCGACCGGGGCCGGCGCTCTCCAGCCCGGGTGCCGCACGCCGAGCAGCCAGATGTCGTCCTCGCACCGGTCGGCCTGCGAGTCCGAGTCGAGGAAGTACTGCGCGGCGCGGTCGAGCATGCGGTCGAGCGGGCCGAAGCGCGCGCCGGTCGACGACGAAGCCGAGCCCTTCTTGAGCGGCGACGACGACCCGGCAGGCGAGCTCGGCGCTCGAGGCGGTGCGGTGGACGAGCGCGTCTTGCTCGGCGACGCCGTGCTGGGCGCGTCCTCGCTCGAGCCGGACTGCTGCGGGAGGTGGTGCGACGAGCTCGACGCGCCCGGCCCGGCGCCCGGGTGCAGCATGCTGCTGAACCAGCCGCCGATGCGGTTGGCGACGTTGCTGTTCGGGCTGAGCGGCACCGCCGCTGCAGGCTCGGACGACGGCGGCGCTGGACCTGCGCCGCTCGACGACGACGGGAACGCCGAGCTCGTCGGTGTGGCGCCGTTCGACGACGACAGGTCGAGCAAGGATGCCGAGCCCGCCGAGCTCGGCTGGGCATAGACGGTGGCGGGCGACGAGTGCGCGTCTCGCGCTCCCGCCTGCGCCTCGGCGTCGGCCGCCTGCTGCTGCTGCTGCTGCTCCTTGGCCTTGGAGAACAGCCGCAAGCCGCTGCGGGTCTTTCTGAGACCACGCGCGAGCCGGCCCTCGCCCGGCAACGACCCGCTCGCCGTCGACGCGCTCGCGACGCTGCTCGCGCGCGAGCTCGACCCGCCGCCGCCGCCGCCGCCGCCCGAGGCCGCGCGCTGCATCGCCTCGCTGATGCGGCGGCCCTCCTCGTCGCCCTCGTCGAGCTCGGCTCGGGCCCACTCGTCGTCCGGCGCCGCCTCGCCGAGCTGAGACGGCGCCTCGAGGCTGCTGCTGCCGGCGCTGCCGGGGCGCGACGGCGGACGCTTGCCCGCCTTGGGCCGCGACGGCTTGAGCGACAGGTTGGCGAACCCTCGTCGCGCGCTCGATGCGCCTGCTGACGAGGTCGACGCGGCGGACGAGACGGACGTGCCGGAGCCGCGGCGGATCGCGACGGCCGAGAGGGGAGCGCCGGTGCTCAACTCGGGCGACGACATGGGCGAGGTCGACGAGGGCGTCGAGGCTTGTCGGGGCGACGACGAAAAGTGCATCGAGGGCGAGGACGAGATCGAGATGGTTGGCGCGGTTGCGGCGAGTTGGTCGGCGACCGGCATGGCCGACGTCGACGAGGCGGAGGGCCCGACCGAGCGGTTGAGGAGGTTGAGCGACCCGATCGAGCGGGAGCGCGTCTTGCGCGTCTTGGTCGGCGAGTCGGGCAGGGCGGCGGCATCCTTGGCGACGGCGTACGAGGTGGGCGAGGTCGACGTCGTCGAGCCGGACAGCCACCGCGCGAGCTTGATCGACTGCGACTGCGACGGCGACTGGAGCGAGCCGTTGGGCGACGAGCGCACTTGCCGAGTGCTCGGGCTCGGGACGCCGCCGGGCGAGTCGTACGAGCCGACGAGGCGGATCTCGTCGAGCGAGGCGCCGTCGTCTGGCGGTCCCGCCACGGGCTTGGGCGAGGCCGCGGCGGCGGGCGATGCACCAGATCGAGAAGGGGTTGCGGTGAGGACGGCGGAACGCGAGCTCGACCGCGTGCGGGGCGGCGGTGCAACGGCGACGGAAGAGGACGCGTCGGGATGTGGGGAGGAGGAGGAGGGCGACGGAGGCTCGGCGGACGGTCTGGTGCGAGACGACATGGCCGCACGTGTACTCGAGGTCGACAGGATGACGGCGGAGGGTAGTCGTCGCTCGTAGTCGAGGTGGCTGCGGGCGGGGACGAGGTGTCAGCGCTGCGTGAGGAACGAGGGCGAGGTGATGGCTGTTCGAGGCTGTCGGCGCTGGATTGCGCGTCTGGGCCACCGTGTCCAGGTGAAAGAGAGGGCCCTCGAGTGCTCGTCCACCCTTCTGAGCGTCGTCGTGCCGTGCGAGTTGGCTGACGCCGAGTCGGTGTTGCCGCACTCGACCTCGAGCGGATAGGGCAGAGCGAGGGAGGGGTGACGCACCTCGTGACAGGCCCAGGTGTAATTATGTGCGAGTGTTGCGCGGCTCAGACGGCTCGTTGAGCGCTCGCGAGAAGGTGGACCAGAGGCCCCGAGGTGGAGCGCGTCGGACGACGACGGCGGCGGCTCGCTCGAGCGCAAGGCGGTGCGGCGAGTCGGTGAACCGGTACTCGCGAGTCGGCAGGTCGAGTGCGAGCGAGCACTTGGTGCGCGAGTGAGTCGCTGGGGGTCGTCGTCGTCGTCGTCCGGCCGGAACCGCTGCCTCTCTCTTTGTTCCCTCCCACTCGCTCTGTCGCGTTGCTCTCATGCGCACGTTGCTTTCGCTGCATCTGCCCGCCTCGTCAGCTGCCCCGCCACCACACGCGCGACCCGCTCGCGGTGGCACCCCTCGCCGCCAGCTCGCAGCCGCAGCTCACGGGCTCGCTCGCTCTCCTCTCGTCGCTCGCTCGAGCCGGCTGCGCGTCGTGCTCGACGAGTACAGGACCGTACTCCCTAGATGGCCGCCGCGCCGGCGGTGGATCTGGGTCGTCCCAGCTTCGCCTCACTACCGTCTTTCCTTTGCTCGCCGCGAGGCCCGCGACACGCTCGTCGCCCGGTCCAACCGGCCGCGCTCGTTGAGGGTGGCTCGACGCAGATGCTCGTCGCGCTCCCGCGAACAGCTCGCTTTCGTGCCCGGTGACGAGGAGGGCTCGCGCCGCACCCGGACCGCGACGCTTTCTCTCGTCTCCTTCACCCGCTGTTGCCCTGCAGTCGGCCCTCTGGCTTGAGCTTCTGTCGCAGGCGACGCTACGGCGTGACTTTACAGCGGCGCAAGCCTGTGCGTCCTTCTCGCCGACGGCGGATCGGCCTCAGGAGCGAACGCGCTGGGAAGAAAGCCGTGCTTGCGGTCCACGGCAGCCGCTCGGGTTCTGCTCCGGCGGTGTACTGGACGGTCGCAGTCTAGAGCTGGAGCCAATCGCACATCTGAGCCGAATGAGCGAGGCGAGCGAGCGACACACAGCCAGGGGTCGGGGCGAGCAGGAAGAGGAGGCTCGAGCCAGCTCATTCCTCCGCAGCGACGGCTGCGCAAGCGGTTGCGCGCTCGAACAGTAGCAGTGTCATGTGGCAAGCCCCGGACAGGATCGAGAGCGACCAGTGGCCTGAGCGAGCGAGAGAGTGAGGCGGATCTGGACTTGGCCGCGAGCGCGCGGAGGTTGCTCGACCACCACACCTCGTCCCGCCGCTCCGCCCCACCGCAACCATGTGAGCCCGTGTGACCGTGTGCACCTCAAGCGCAGCATCGACTGACCCTGCTCTCGCACTCGACAGGGGATCCGGCTTGTCAAAGGCGCTCGGTGAGCCCTCGCGCCTCGTCCACCTCCGTCGCGCAAGGTCCCCGATCCCACCTCTACGGCCCTCGAGCTGACCTGTCGTCTCCCGCAACCTCTTCCTCGCCCTCAACAACGCCACCTCGCACGCGCTCGCCCTCTCCCGTGCCTCCCTCACCTCGCTCCCCTCTCTGTCTCGATCAACCCTTCCCTTTCATCGCCCCGCCTCGACTCGGAACCATGCCTCGGTGCGCCCCACAGGCAAGCTCTTTGGCAACAAGGAGATGCGCATCCTCATGCTCGGCCTCGACGCAGCAGGCAAGACGAGTGCGTCCCCCCTCCCTCTCTCCTTCACGGTGGCTCCTCGCGGCGACGACGAGGGGGGTCGTGCAGGCCCTCTTGCCGTCCCTCGTCGATGCGAGCTGGACCGAGACAAGCTCACACTACCACCCGCCCTCACAGCCATCCTCTACAAGCTCAAGCTCAACCAGTCGGTGACGACCATCCCGACCGTCGGCTTCAACGTCGAGACCGTCACGTACAAGAACGTCAAGTGCGTCCCTCTCCATTCTCACGCGAGATCGAGCTCCCCTCGAGGGAACCCGCTCGGTGCAAGTTGGCGACCAGGACGCACTGACACCGTTCCCTCCCCTCGCGCAGGTTCAACGTCTGGGTGCGCTCACCTCTCCCTTCTCGGTCACGCAGCCGCAGCGAGGGACGCCAAACTGACGCCCCGGCACACACACACAGGATGTCGGCGGGCAGGACAAGATCCGACCGCTGTGGCGACACTACTACACGGGCACCCAGGGCCTCGTCTTCGTCGTCGACTCGCAGGACCGCGACCGCATCGACGAGGCACGCGTCGAGCTCCACAAAATCCTCAACGACCGCGAGATGAAGGACTGCCTCTTGCTCGTCTTCGCCAACAAGCAGGACCTGCCCGACGGTGCGTCGCCAGCTCCCTCCTCTTCCTCATTCGCCGAGTCACAGTCTGACCATCCCTTACCCTCGCACAGCCATGACGCCGACCGAGGTGACAGAGAAGCTCGGCCTGTTGAGGATGAAGGACCGCAGCTGGTACTGCCACCCGTCCAACGCGCTTGACGGCGAGGGCCTCTTTGAGGGTGAGTTGCCGCTCGTTCTCTCTTCTCTCCCTTCCCAGGTCACCATGCTCGAGTCCTCGAGGCGGCGACTGACGTGCGGGACTGACACGTCTTTTCCTCGCAGGCCTCAACTGGCTCTCGCAGAACATCAAGGCGCAGAAATGAGCGCGCTCGCCGGCCGCTCTCACCTAGATCGCCCACCAGCACTTCGCCACTTTCATCTCTGCGCGATCGCGCTCTCCAGCATATCTTAGTCGCCGTGCCACACCCCGTCTCTCTCACTCGCACGGTCCTCCCTCATGCACCCTCCTCGTCGCACGATACCCATACGCCCACTCGCTCTCGACGTCGCCGTCACCTATCTTCTAGCAGTTCTAGCCTCTCCATCGTTGTACCTTTGCCGTCGTGCCGCCTAGCACCTCTTGTCGTCCCGGCAGCCCTTCCCCCCTTTCCCCTCCTCTCTCGCTCCCCCTTCCGGTCACTCTCTCTCTTGATCGTCCTCTCACGGTAATACCAAGACGGCCCTCAGTCCTCACGGGCCCCACGAAAGTCGTCGAGCAGCAGAGAGAGAAAGCGAGAGCTGCTTGCCTCGAGAACTGCACCTGCTCGAGCCAGGTGCAAAGACGGTCTGATCACTCTCGATGGCGACGAGCGCAAGAGAGAGAGAGGGTCACGAATTGATGTCAAAGAGTATCTGCTACACCTCGTCGCTCTCCCTGCGCGCCCGCGCGATCCAGTCGCCGACCTCGTCCTTCGAGAAGCCGCGCTTCTTGCGCGACCCGAGCCGCACCGCCTCGTCGCTCGCCGGCACGACCGGCGCCCTGGGCTCGACGCGCCCCTCAAAGTGCACCTTGCGCGGCGACACCGGCGGGAAGCGGTACGCCGCGAGGCCGGGAGCCGTCGGCGAGGGCGCGGGCGGGTACGACACGAGGCGCGCCGACTTGCGGTCGGACGGCGACGCGCGCGTGCGGGGCGACAGCGCCGGGACGGCCGGCGCCGAGAAAGCGCGCAGGACGAGCTTGGGGCGCGGGGCTGAGGCGGGTCGGCGCGCTTCCTTGGGCGGGACGGGCGGCGGCCGGTCCTCGGCCTCTTCGAGCGCTCGGACCTCGACGTGTGGGTCGACGGCGGCCGGGGACGGCAGCGGGCTCATCGCTGCCGCAGCGACGAGCTCGTCGACGAGGTCGTCGAGGATGGACGTGCCGAGCGACGACGACGTGCGCGACGGGATGGGCCAGTCGACGCTGGCGGCGACCTTGCTCGCCTCGGCGCCGACCGGGGCGAACGTCGACGCACCGAGCGCCGCGCTAAAGTCGACGGCGAGCGCTGTGTTGCGGCTGGCGGTGGTCGACATGTCGAGCGACGACTGGGCAGTCGTTGGCGCCGACGAGCGACCCGACGAGCGCATCGTCATGGGCGTCAAGGTGCCGCCGTGCTCGGTCGACGACGCGTCCGAGCTGGGGACCGAGTTGCGCGTGTTTGCCTGCCGGCGAACGGCGGCGACGGGCTCGAGGCGCAGCATCTGGGGCGGTGCCGGGAAGGCGTCGAGGGTCGAGGACGGGAGGTCCGACTCGGCGAAGCTCGGCGCGAGGCTGTAGCGCGAAAACGGCCGGCGCTCCTCGCCCGGCGGCAGGGTGCGGTGGCCGCGGCACGCCTCGGCGTCGGGCGATGCGCTCGGCAGGAGCTCGTCTCGCGCCGGCGGCGAGAGGCCCTCGGACAAGCCCTCGTCGAGCGCGACCGATCGCGGGAACGAGTTCGAGCTCGAGCTCGACAGGAGCGACGGCCTGCTGAGGGTACTCGCCGGCGACATGCACCGGGCTGCGCTCGGCGAGAGGCAGACGAGGACGTCCGCTCCACTCGGACTCGGAGACGACGACGACGGCGAGTCCTCGGCGACCGAGCCGAGCATCGACCGTGGCGACAAGGGCGAGATGTCGAGGCGAGTGCGCGATGCTGGCGACGTCGAGGAATGCGGAGGAAGCCCGTACTGGGTGGCAGGGACGGACAGTCGGTCGAGGCGGCCGAGGCGGGTCTGCTGGCCGGCGGGAAGTGGGTGGGACGGCGGGAGCACCGCCGATGCGGGACGAGGCGGTCGAACAGGAGGGATGACGGCGGGCGCCGAGTCGCCGTGAGGGAAGAAGCCGTCGCTGCCGGGAAAGGCGAGCTGCGGCGAGGCGGCGATGAAGCCCGACAAGTCCTCGTTGCTCGACCGGGGTCGAGCCGGCTCTTGGACGGCGATGGCGGTGCGCGCCGCCTGCTCTTGGACCCTGGGGCCGACTGGCGAGGCGGAGCGGGCCGTGCGCGCGCTCCTCGACGTGGGCGAGAGCCGCGGCGACGCAGGGACCGCCGCCTTTGCGCGCCGTTCCTCGAGCTCGGCGTACCGGTTGACGCTCATGGGCGCGGCGGCCACGATGCGGATGGGCCCGCGCACCTTGGCGCCCTTGAGCCGGCGAGCGGGCGTGCTCTTGGGCTGGCCGTACAGGACGGCGCTCGCGACGGCGACGTCGGCCTCGTCGAGCTTGTCGGGGTGCGCGAGGAGCACCGAGAGACGGTCGCGCGGGAGGCGGTTGAGCGAGTTGCGGAACGAGTGGAACGGCATCGCCGGCGCGGCGACCGAGGCGGGCTCGTCCTCGTTCGAGCTCGCACTCGACTCGGACCACCTCGACGACCTCGCCGGCGGCAGGTGAGGCGACTCGAGAGACGTCCAAGGCGTCGCCGATGACGAGGTCGACATGCTGGGCGCAGCGGACCGAGCGGACCCACTCGAGCCCGGCCTCGCCGTGCGGGACGAGGTCGGCGGACCGCCCGGCGCGACGCCGTAGTCGCCGACGACGAGGCGAGGTACCGAGCGGACGCTGCGAGTGTCTGCGAGCGTCTGCTCGGCCTCGCGCTGCTGCTCGATCGCGTGGGCGAGGTACTGCTGCACCTCCTGACGCTGTCGCGCCTTCTCCTCGTCGTGCTCTGCCCGCCCGGAAGCGGACCTGCGCTGCGAGCGCCCTCGACGGCTGAAGCGGGAGGTTGAAGTGGTCCAGGCGGACGCCGAGAGGGCGAGGTTGGCGTCGAGGAAGGATGGGCGAGACGACGAGCCTTTGGCCTTGGTGCGGGTCGAGCTGTCGGTCGCGGTGGACGGCCGAGAGTGGACGTGGCCCATGCTGTCGACGGGGGACGGGTACATGTCAGCTCGGCACGTCTGGCGCTGGGGAACACGGCCTCGGGCGGGACTCACTCGTTGCGGATCGTTGACGCGGGCGACAGGTGCAGGAAGGGACGAAGAGCGAGTACTGCTGCAGGACGGGACGCCTCTGTCAGGTCCGTCACATTCAACGCGGCTGGTCGAGAACGAGAACTGGAACGACCGGCGACGCACCAGCGATGCCAGGGGGTGTCTCGCCTCGAGGTGGACGAGGTCGCGCTGAAAGTGGTCGGGTGTCGGCGTCGGCGTCGACTGGGCCGGCTGACAGCGGTTCCGAGTAGCGCGGTCGACCAGCTAGTGTCGAGTGCCGGTGCTCGCGCTCAGGCAGGAGCTGTGGCGGGAAGCAGAGAGCTCGCCGTCGACGGTCGGCGACGTTGGCGGTGGCCCTCGAGCGCCATCGGGTCCTGACGCGCGGGACAGAGTCGCGCCGGGTTCGAGTGCTGAGGGCGACTCAGCCCCGGGCGGGCGAGGGCTCATCACAGCCGAGTCGAGCAGTGAGCGCGGTCGGAGAGAAGGGCGGGACCAGGGCGGCCGTGTCGCCGACTGCTCGTCGCGGAAGGCTAGCGCTGTGGATCCCTCGGTCTGAGACTCTGCTGCTTGCCGCTTGCAGGCCGCTCGCACTTGAGGTGAGGCAGAGCGGTGGCCGGTCGTGCGCCGCATGAGGAAGGCAGTCACGGTCACGCCGTCGACAACCTCCTCGCGCTCCGGCCTGCGCTCGCGTGAGCTTCGTACGCGCTCGTGGCGCGGCCGTACCACTGTCTCGGAAGCGCAGCGACAGCAGGGGCGACCCGGGCGGCGGCGGCGACCCTCGAGCAGGAGATGAGCATGCGCGTCGACTTGCGGACGGACCTCTCCTTGTCGAGAGCTCTCCCTTGCGGCGTCTCTGCCGTTGTCGAGGCAACGAGCTCGCTCAGCTTGACAGCATGTCTCGACGATATCGGCTCTGACACCCTGCCCGTCGCCGCGAGGAGCGCGAGGCAGACATGGGCGAGGACAAGCTCTCGCACGTCCCTCGCAAACTCTCGACACGACACGGGGCAGCTCAGCCGGGCAACGATGCCTTGCACGCCCGCTCTTCGACCTCGCTCAAATGGCGAGCCAGCCCGTGTCCTTCGAGAAGTACGGGCAGTCGCGCGGGTTGACCGGGGCGATGCCGGCGCCGACCGCTCCCTTCATCTCGCCCCACTTGGCCTCGGACACGCCGATGGCGGCGCCGGCTCCACCGAGCATGCCGACGCCCTGGATGCCGCCGTCGAGCTCGATGCGGATCTTGGGCGCGCCGGCCGACGTCGCGACGCTCGGGCGCACGGCGGCGACGGCGGGAGGGCGACGGTACGCGACGGCGCGTTGGCGAGGCGGCTCGGCGCAGAAGTCCTCGACGGGGCACTTGCCGCACGGCATGTCGGTCCAGCCGATCGTGGGCGCGTACGACCGGATGAGGCGGTACACGTACTGCGTGCCCGTCTGCGACTCGCGCGCCGCCGCCGCCGCCGCCTCGTCGTCGTCGTCGTCGTCGTCGCCCATGCCCGCATTGCGCTCACCGCCGCCTTGGCGCCTGCTGCCGCCGCGAACGCCGTCCTCGCTCTCGCTCGAGCTCGCGTCCGGGTCCGACGACGAGCGCTTGACGCGCCTGCTCCCGCGCTTCTTCCTCCGCTTCGACGCCTTCTTGCCGCCGTCCTCGTCGTCGCTCGCGGCGCCGCCCTTTTTGCGACAGCGGCTCGGCGCGTCGTCGTCCGAGTCAAAGTCCTCGGACTCGGACTCGCTCGACGCCTCGGCGTCCGACGCGAGCTTGGCGCGCTTGCGCCGCGCCTTGCCGTTGGCGTTGCGCTTGCCCTTCTTCGAGCTGCGGCGGCGCGCGTCATCATCCGACTCGCTCGACGACGCGTCCGACGAGCCCTTGCGGCGCTTGGACGACTTGGACGACGCGCGCGCCTTGCCCTTGCCCTTGCCGTCGGTCTTGCGCGACGACGCCGTGTCGTTCGACGTGCTCGTGCCAAATGTCGACGCGTCGCGGTTGACGAGGATCTTCTCGACCTGGCCGTCGTACACCATGAGGTCGAGGAGCGCCTCGACGTGCTCCTGCTTGAGCTGGACCGAGATGACCTCGAGCTCGCTGATGTTGCGCAGGACGTCGTGGACGGTAGGGAGGTACGGCGTGGCGGTGGCGGGGTAGATGGGGCGGAACTTGACGGGGTCCGAGGCGGATGGGTCGGCGATGGTGATGGAGCGAGGGATGGACTGATGGCGGTACACGGGTGGGGGGCGGAGGTAGAGGTAGGGAGGGCGAGAGAAAAAGCAGAGGGTCAGTGACCGGGTCGAGCAAGGTCTCGAGGAGAGGGCGAAGAGGGGCCGGGCCGACGCACCTTGTCGGTCAGGTACTTGTGGACGACGCGCTTGAGCATGTCGACGAGCTCCGTGTCGAGCTCGTTGTCGGTGAACCAAGGCCCGCCCGTCAACTCGACCGAGGGCTGGATGCCGGAGAGCATGTAGATCTTGCGAGTCGGGTTCTGCGTCGAGGAAAGGCGAGTCAGGGCGGCTAGGTCACTTGCAGCGCGTGGAAGCGATGTCGAGTCGCCCATCGCGCAAGGAGGAACAGGCGCGGGACGCACCTTGACCGACTTGACCGTCTTGACCTGTTTGCGGCTCTCGAGGGCCTTGAGCGCCTTGGTGACGGTGCCGCTCGGCAGGCCCGTCTTTGTCGTGAGCGTGCGGCTCCAGATACCTGTGCGCGGTGAGGTAGTCAGGGCACGGCCGAGACGGTGGAAAGAGTGGACCGCGAGGAGCGTACCGAGGTCGCCCGACTCCTTGATCTGGTCGAGGACGAGCTTCTCGTCGGCGTCCATCGAGCCCATCCTGCAAGTGCGTGGGTCAGGCGGGTAGTCTGAGACGTCGAGAGGGAGGGGACGCACGCCTTGGCCTCTTCCTTGCCGAGGAAGCGGAAGAGGATGGCGCCCGAGTCGGTCTTGAGCATCTGGAGGAGGTTCTGTGGGGCGTCGACCGGGTCGCGTGTGAGCGACGCGCGCACGGGACGATTCAGGAGGCGAGAGTCGACGGACCTTGCGGAGGAGGCCGTTGATGGCGTCCATAACGCTCGAGTTGATGCTGAGGCCGCACGAGGCGAGGAGGTCATGCTGGCTGATCTCCTGCGAGAGGACGGGGGGTGCGAGGGTCAGGGATCGCGCGTCTCGGGGAGTGAAGGAGGCTGTGGCGAGGCTGGACGGACCCCCTTTGGCGCTGCGAGGCCGTGGTTGAGGAGCTTGAGCTCGAGCGGGGTGAGCTTCTTTGCCGAGGCCATGGCGGCGCCTGCGCCCGAGTTTGAAGCGCGAGGCGGCATGATGAAGGTGCGGCTACCGCTCTGGCGGGGCAGCTAGTCGCCCGAGGCCGAGGGCGGTTGTGGTCGAGGTTGAGAGCCGTGAGTCGGCCAGACGAACGACGACGACGACGAACCCACCTCGCTCGCCTCGTTGACTCGTCCAAGTCGAGCTCGTGCACATGGACAGCACCTGCGAGCCCTCGGTGCAGGCCCACACGCTCGTCCTCGACCTGTTCCCGTTCGACTCAGCCTTCTCTCAACCTCTGTTCGCCTCGGTCCTCGTCCTCTCGAAAGGCGCCGTCCTCGTCTCTGTGGGCGGTCAGCCGCTCCCCTATGCCTTTGCCAAGGACTCGAGCGTCGCCATGACCGTGCGTCCCGTCTCCCTCAGACCCCGCCGCCGCCGTGAGCTCACCTCTTCCTCTCCCCACCAGCGTCCGAATGCCCCTCCTTCAGCGACTAGCCTCGGCCCTGCATCGTCCTCGACCTCGTTGGCGGCACGACTAGGTGCGGCACCATCTCGCCGAGCCTGCGACCGAGCGAAACCTGACCTTGCTCTCCTCCCGCAGCGAAGCGCTACGCCTCGCAGGTCTTCCTCACCCTCGACCTCGCCTCGCTCGCCGACGGCGCCGCAGGCCCTTCTGCCGCCGACCGCGCCGTCATGTCCATGGAGAAGGCCCTCGTCACCGAGCTCGACAAGGTCCTCGAGCGAAGGAAGGCCTGACTCGCGTGCTCGCGTCCCTCGGTGCGTCGCCACGTCCTCTCCCTCCAAGTTCCCGTGCGGACAGCTTTCGAGTACATTTCGGCGGCCCTGCGACTGACCGCTTCCTCGTTGCGCAGGTCTCGCGGCAGGCCCGCACCTTGTCGCTCTCGTCCCCTCGCACTCGCAGGCCTCGCCCAAGCTCTCGTCGTCCCTCCTATTGTTGTAGTCCCCTCGTGCCGTGCACCCATTCTTCTCTCGTTCGTGCGACTGTGTGACAGAGAGCGCGAAAGAAGAATAGAATGGCCCGAGGGGTATCAATGCACGTCGAGAAAAAGCACAACCTCCTTCCTCCTTCTGCTTCGCCGCCGCCGCCCGCATGTCTATCAGGGCCGACGCTCGGCCCGCTCGCATCGCCCATGCGCTCAAGTGCCACGCGCTGCACCCTGCCCTCCTGCCGCCCGGGAGCGAGCCGATGGACCTGCTCGGCCCCTCCCCCGCGCGACGACCGTGCGCGGTGCCCGCTCAGACCCCCTGCACCGTGCCGTACTCGCTCTCGACGCCCGGCTCGAGGAGCGCGGCGTGTCCGAGGATGAGGACGCTGCTGCTGCCGACGAGCCAGAAGAAGGACGCGATGGGCGCGCTGATCCACAGGATCGGGATCCCGACGATGAAGAGGAGCATGTACAGGTGCTTGGGCTCGACCGTCGTCGACCCGAACTGGACCGGCTCGGGGATGAAGCGGTTGATGCCGACGTAGCCCTGTGCGTCGACACGAACGAGAACAGTCAGTGAGGTGCCGCTTCGACGAGAGGGAGGGTCCGACAGAGGGAGGAAGGAGGCTCGGGACGCACACCGATGAGGAAGGCGAGCGCAATGAGGAGGAGCGGGTTGGTGAGGAGCGAGTAGACGGCGAGGAGGAGGATTACTGCGAGGGGGGCGAGGCAGGTCAGGGTCACGCGCACGACGCGACGGGCTGCAAGGGAGCGAGGCGGACGCACGGAGGATGTAGTTGCCGGAAAAATAGTTGACGTTGTACCTGTATGCAGCGCACGTCCTGTCAGTACCCGGCTCTGGCGGCCGGACGGGCGAGGATGGTCCGGGGAGGGAGAATGGGGAGGGCGAGAGGATGGCGAGCCCACTTGACGCGTCCGGTGGCGACCTGTGGGACGAGGATACAGCGTCAGTGGCTGACTCGTGGCCAATACTGCGAGTGCTCGAGGCATGGCCCGAGTCGCTGTGCGCTCGACCAGCGACAGGCTGTCCGGGAGGAAGAGAGGGCTCACGCTCATGTCTGCGGGCCTCGACACACGCTGCAGGACACAGGTCAAGAGTCAGTGGTCCGATCTGACACTGGTTCGCGCTCGGCGAGCGTGCGAGTGCGCGTCGCACGAGCGCATCGCCTCGTCAAAAGGTGCCGCCGGCTCACCTGCATGTCGAAGAACTGCGGCACGGGAAGAAGCAGAGTCAGTACCGCAGTATTGAGTACGGGCTCTCTGCGCCGGTGCAGACAGCCTCGACAGAGGGCAAGAGAGGTTGGGGCTCACCTCCTGGGGCGGGCGGAGCGACTGCAGCCGTTCCTGCTGCGGGTGCGCGCGAAGGTGCGGGAGAGGCGCATGGTCAGTATCGGTGTGGTGCGCGTGGATCTGGACACGCAGGCAACGGCGCGGGTGGGAGCGTGACTGCTGCGTCGACGCGGAGGGAGATGGGGAGGGGGGGAAGGTGACGAGGCGAGAGGCGCACCCGGAACTGCTGCACGGCGTCGGGCAGGCGCTGCATCAGGGCTTGAGGCTCCATCGTCGCAGTACGAGTCGGGTCTGAGGCAAGCGGGAAGAGGGAGCGAGACGGCAGCTTCCACGACGAGGCGCGACGACCACGGCGAGGCCACGCGCAAGTGGCTCGCCGCAACTCCGCTTTCGACCTCTCTCATGCTTCTGGGTCGAGGAACGCGTTCAATGCAGTGACAAGCAACAGAGAGAGGCACGCAGAAACTACCGGTCCGCCGCGAAGGCCTGCAGGAGGCCACGCAGGTCTCGACTCGCGGCGAGCGGCGAGAGGTCGCTGCGCTGCATGCTGCGGGGAGACGTCGTCAGGCTCGTCGGTGTAGGGAGCGAGAGACGACAGGGACGCACTGGAGGAGAGACACTTGAAGCGAGTCCCACAGCGCGTGGCTGACACCCGCCGCGTTGACGGGCGCCTGCTGGAGAGCTGCGAGCGAGCGAGGAGAGCTCGGTCAGGGACCGCTCGAGACGAGTCTGAGAGGACAAGGACGCACTGTCGAGCTCCGAGTCGGCCTCTTGCACCGACAGCGCCGTCAAGAGGTGGTGCACGGCGTCCTCGTATTGCTGCGAGGCGAGCAAGGGCAGGTCAGGTCCGGGTCCCTCGAGCTCAGGGCGCGCGAGCAGGACGTACGCCAGTGTTCATGTTCGCGACGGCGAGGTTGAAGCGGGCGCGAACGTAGCCCGGGTCGATGTCGATCGCGGCGAGGTAGTACTGCATCGCGAGGTCCGTCTTGCCCGAGTTGGCGAGCGTCGCGCCGAGGCGGTTGAACAAGAGCGGGTCCTGCATGTCGAGAGAGAGAGCGCGAGTCGGTGACGGTCACGCGAGAGAGGAAGGGGAGGAAGAGGGACGCACGTCGGGACGGACAGAGAGAGCGGCGCCGAAGCAGTCGCTCGCCTTCTCGTAGTCCTCGCTCGCGTTGAACAGGACGCCGAGTCCGACCTGGACGTCGGCGTCGACGTCGGCGGCGCCCTTCTGCTCGGCGCGCGACTGGGCGAGGCGGATGAGCAGGTTCGACAGGTACGTGTGGCGCTCCGTCATCGACTCGGGGAGGGCGGCGCCAAACAGGCCGCGGTACTGCTCAATCTCGTTGGCGTAGCTGGCGCTGCCCTCAGACGCGATCGAGTCGACCCAGCGGTTGATCTCCGCGTACGCCTCGCCGCGGCGACCCTCGTTGGTGAACGAGACGGCGAGCGCGAGGTGGGCCGCACCGCCGGCGACGAGTGGGTCGAGCTCGAGGGCGCGCTTGAGGGCGGCGATGGCGAGCTCCTCGCGCTCGTTTTGCTGCTGCTTGAGCCCGAGCGACAGCCACGCGCCGGCGTTGGTCGGGTCGCGCTGGACGTCGGCCTCCTGCTGGAGGAGCGACTCGTGCCGCTCGTGGAGCGCTGACGACAGGTCATTGACGGCGGCGTGGTGCTGCGCGTGGTGGTGCGTCGTCGCGGCCGGCGCGTGGACGTACGGGTTGTGCTGCGCAAAGGCGTAGCCGTAGCCGACGGCCGACATGGCCTCGTCCTGGCTGCGCGGCTTGAGCCCGGCCGCCGTCACGTCAAACTCGTCCCACGCGCTCTGGAGCGCGTCCCACTCCTGCTGCTGCGCGTTGAGCGTGCGCGTGCGAGGCGTCGCCGTCGCCGTGCGCCCGCCGCCGAGCGCGTGCCCGCCGACGATCATGCTCGGGTCGTCAAAGTCCTCCTCCCACGACGACTGGGCGAGCGGGACGTGCGTGTCGGCGGCGCGCGCGAACGCCTCGTCGTCGCCGTCCGACGCGGCGAGCGTGCCGCCGTCGCCCTGGAACTGGAACGCGCGCCCCTTGCCCTTGTCGCGCGACCTGCCCTCGCGCTCGGCCCGGACCCGGTCCTCGTCGTCCCACATACCCTCGAGCGTCTGGTAGCCCTCCTCGAGCTCGCGCACGAGCTGGGCGTTGCCGGCCTGCCGCTCGGCCCACGCGTGCTGCTCGTGCGCGTGCTGCGCGACCGGCTCGCCCGGGCGCAGGATCGGCGGCGCCGTTCCGCCGACTCGACCCTCCTCCTCGCGCTCGACCTCCCACGGCACGCTCGTCGTCGCCGCGAAGCTCGACGCCCAGCCGTCGTTGCGCGCCTCGGGCTGCGACTGGGCCGTCGCGCCGCCCGGCTGCTGCTCGACGACCT